CAGTCGCCACAGCATGCAACCAAATCTGTCGGCAAAGCAAAGCCGTTTCACGATCAACCTTCGACCGTTGTGCTGCTGACAAATCTGGAAGGCCATATAAGTCCAATGGCCCGCGCACAGGTGGGACAACGCTACTCCCATGAGCATGTGTGTCAAACGTACCACGCGGTGGAGCACCAAGAAGATGCGACACTTTGCCGTGGACGGCACCCCAAACTAGAGCGCGCCAAGCAGGAGTGCGTAGCACATCTTGGTCTGAGCCTCTGGTAATGTCCAATTCCAGGACAGCCACATTCTTGGACTCAAGGTGCGAAAAGGGTTTAGGGCCTGGTGGGGCTCCAGCGTACAGATGAACAATCCACTCTGGGGCATTGAGCAATGCACGACGGCGACGCCGATTGAGATGCGTCAAACCCTTTAGGAGCTCCCATCCTGAAACTTGAGCAACATCCTCAACAAGTCCCTGCAAAGCTGCTTGGGGAACATCTGCCAAGAAAGGCGCGGCCTGCAACGCTAGTTGGGCTGAATTGGTAGATCCAAGGCTCACATAGTCCTGCATGTGATCCCACCAGCTCTTTGACATCAAGGCTTTGACAGCTCGGATGCGAGAGGTACCTTCGGCCACATTCGCCTCCAGAGACTTCAAGTCCTCTAGCCGCTTTTCTTCTAGCTTGCTGATTAGCACCAAGGCTTCTGATTCCATGATCTCTGGACACCCACCTTTAACCCTCAAGCGAAAGGCACGACCCGAAGGAGCAATCAAACGGCATCGCGAGGCAGTCCAATCCAAACGATACCCCAGCTGCTGGATGACAGAACCCAGCGGCACGATGGTTTGGGCACTAGATGTGGGAGGCAACAGAAGAGTACCAGCAGCAGACAAACGCATAGCCGAAGTCTCCTTTCCAGCCAGTGACACGACAACGGGTTGCGCACTAGCCCATTCAGCTTCGGAACTTGCAGCGCGAAGGGCATGAGTGGCCCCACTGTCTACCAAAGCCAAAAAACTAGGACTACCATCTACTTCCAAAACCTGCCCAGGCTCAATGGCTGTGAGATGGATGGTCTTAATGCTCGCTTTAGGCTCCTCCTGTGCTGCAGGTTTGTCTTCAATCGCCGGAGGCTGCGCGGGAGCGGCTGGGGTGGATGCAGGAGGAAAGGCTTCGGAAGAACTGGCAGCTGCAAACATCATGCGCATAAACGCTGTGAAGTCCTCCGCTCGGCCTGGGCTCGCGCCCGGCTGGATTGCAGTAGACGCCTGATCAGCCGTTGTAGGCCTGTGGCCTGCAGCATTGTTGGTGTCTCCTCCACCTGGCTGTCCTTTCCCCTTTGGGCTTCCTCCAGCTACCGGGCAGTCCTTTTGGCGGTGTGCCTCAGAGCCACATGCTAAGCACTTTTTGCTGCGCTCCTGACGAGAAAGTCCTGACATGTCGTGGCTAAACGTGCACTTAGGACCCCGCCTACACCCCGAAGTACCCATGAAAAACTTGCAGGGCTTTGAAGCCTGCGGCTGCCCACTGGCCTTTGGAGATGTTCCCGGACTGGGCGTGCCTACAGCTCGAACCTTAGGGGCACTCACACCTGTGGCCTTAGAGACTGCAAGGGCTTCCATCTCTGCAAGCAAGTGCTTGTGGTACTCCAGGACTGCAGACGAAGTTGGTTGAGCATCCATTTTTAACATGGAACGAAGCATAAACGTTCGAAACTTCGCTTCTTCATGCTGCGCCAAAACTTGGCTAGTGATGGTAGTGAGGCTCTTGGACAAAATGGTCGAGTCCGGAGGTGACATGTTGCAACTTTCACAGCGATTGTACCAACGAATCCACTCACGCAAAGACTTCACGGCTGAGGAGGGATCAGATGCTGGAGTGGGCTGCATGAGATTCTTCTGAATAACCTCCTTTTCTGAACCTCCACCTGGTTGGTACGTGGTGTGCAAACGGAAAAGGATGGAAGGAGCTGATTGATTGCATTTGCGGGCCACAATGTCTGCTTTGATAGACTCTGGAACTGCCGCCATAAGCATACTACAGATCCTAAAGTTGACACGCGCCCATCGCCCTTGAAGCAACTCAGCCGGTACAACTGGCTCAACCTTTAGCCTATCCAAGGGTGATGACGAAATCCAAACCCCATAGGCCGTATCAACCACACCCAAAACCTGACGCCACCACTCTGCTGCTGTGTCCGAAACATCACCGACCAAACCCCCAATCACGACTAACCAATCTTGGTACAGAAGAGACCCTTCATCCGAAGTGAGCTCTGCCAAAGCTGGGAAACTCGAGATGCCTGGCTTAACAGCTTCAGGGTTGGTGGGAGAATTGCCGCCATCGCGTTCGGCACGAGATCCCTTGAGCATCTCTGACATGGCATCTTGAAGTTGATGCATCCCAGCAATCAGTATCTCACGATCTGTGGGTCCTGATGCACTCGCGGCTCCTGCTGGCAGTGTGTCTCTGGGTTCTGCTTGTGGCCTCTGCGGTGCAGGGCTGGAAGACCGCGCACCGGAACCAAGGAGCCCTGAGAACAAACCAGCGAAGCCCTGAGGCTCGGGAGCGGAAGGAGGCGGAGGAGGAGGCGGTGAGGATGAAGAAGGGGCAAATCCAACCCCAGTGTTGGCGACAGGATGCGAACCGAACCCACTATCACCAAACCCACTAAAGCCAACCTCCCTAGTACCCACCTGCTGCAACGCCGTAGCCTCAACTTCACCAGCCTGCTGAGACCGAATCCTCGAGAGTTCGGCCTCAGCACGACCAGCTCTCTCTTGCTCAGCTCGCAGTTGCTGCTTCAACCCATCAAGCTGTCGCGCGACTTCTGCCTGAATCGCATCATGCGGAATAGATGAGGACTCGGTGTGCGGAGGCCTGTCCGGAGACCCGGACCCGTAGAGCAAGGGAGCTCTTTGCTCCATGGCAGCAAGCTGCTCCGCGTTGGCACCAGTGAACAACGGCATCGGCACTTGACACTCATCTTGCAGGACGCGGCCTCCTCTCTCGAGGGGCTGTAGTGGTCGCGACGGCCTTGGAGGAGAAGTCAGTGGACTGGGAGCCCACCCTTGCGGCAGTGGCTGTACGTTCGCCGCGCCACCAAACAGAGACTGCACTCTTCCTAGCAACTGACTAGCAAAAGCCTGAGCCCCAGTCTGCATGACCGCTGACGCCCCGTACGCCGTTGATCTGGGCGTTTCAAAGCCCTCAGCACTACTTCCAGGATTCGCTGCAGATGGGTTGTACCCTGAGACGCCTGCGGCAACATTGATCTGAGCGCTAGCCATTCCACTTTCGGTGGCCACACTGAAACCCTGAGTCACTGCAGTTGCATCTCCATGTACCCCACTCGCATCAGCGACCTCCGTGGTAGATACTGCTTCATACGTAACGCCAGCTGTGCCCAAGCCTCCAACCTGGCCTAGTGTTCCATCGCCTCCTGTCCTACCGACTGCTGAAACTCTCGGTTGGCCGGCTGTTCCAACAGTTTCTTGTGGCAGCTGAGGGGATGGCACTAGACCAGCTGTGGAAGTCGATGGCCCCGACGACGCATCCATCATAGTTTGCTGGATTCCATCCCCAATAGGCTGCGCAAGCCCAGAGGGCGATGGCACTCCAACTCCGGCGGTTGTACCATTCACTGTAGTCTGCGGTGCATCCCCGCCTCCCCGCACTCCAGGCAGAGAGGCCGGAGAAGCCACCGCTCCGGTTGCTTCTGGCCCAGGCGTTGGGCTCATCACCTGTTGAAGGTGTTCACCCTGGGTGGCCATACCCTGCAGCGAAGCTCACGCAGAATGTTTTCTATGGCTGGGCGCAGAGGCGACTCACGATCTCAACGAAGCAACAAGAGAACCGACAAACCAACAAACGACCTGTACAGCTTTACAAGTTGTTGGTTACAGTACACATGGCTCAAGAGGCTTTCCTACGCAGCCTTCCCCTAAGCCAAAGGATACAGGAAACACACATGTACAAGCCTACCTGAAGGAAACTATACAAGTGCCGGCAATCCCTTCAAGCAGACTACACACCTGTCTAACCTGATACCTGGGCATGCAGTGAGAAGCATTTCAACAACCGGAGTTACCTTATTTATAACCCCAATTACTAAATGCCATGAACCTTTAAGTAGGGGTTTAAGAACTCAGAGTTGGGGGATTGGAGTTTGTGGTGTATGTCCGGATATGTATGGTTGGAGATCTCTAAACTGTGAACAGCTGACACTCAGACTCCACATCCTTAAACTTACAGCCGACACTTGCAAACTTCAAATCGTTCTTCATGTCATGAATGCTTGATTTGGAGGTCCTCATACTAAGGATCCGATCCTTAGGGCTTTAAATGGTGACACTTTTTCTGAAACCCCGTTCACGTGGCGTTGCAGTAAGACGACCACCTAGGTTCTGCGTGCCTCCTTTGTAGGTACCTTGACCTCTCCCTGCCGCGCTTGATTGCTTGTCCTATGCTAGGGCAAGCATGGTCATGCCACGAGGACCTGTCACCTCGCCAATCCTAAGCACTAGGCCCATAACTTCAAGACCTCAAGTCCTGGGATCAGGGTTTACTTAAAGGTTCATGGGACTTAGTAATTAGGGTGACAAATAAGGACTTCGGTTGTAATTACTTATAACCCCTATTGAGGTACTTATAAGCCTACTTACTAAGTCCTATGATCCTCCAAGTAACAGGGTCTGACTGAGGTGCCCTGTCGCCTTCTATGCAGCTGTAATCAGCGGAGCCCCCCACTGGGGAGACCCATCTCCGAACATCTTGGTTCGGCTTAAAGTTTTCGTGCTTTACTAGTTCGTTGTTGGGAGAGGATGAAAACAGAAAATCTTTATTCCTTATTGGGTTTAAGTACTCATAAAAATGTAAAATGCTACCCAACTATGACAAAGTTTTGGCTTTAATTAGCGCTTGAGGGTTCACGGTTTAGGGCTTTAGAGCTCTAGGGTTTAGTTTTAGGGTTCAATTTTTGGTTCAGGGCTTCGAGAGAAGAGGCCGCGCCTTTTGGCCACTGTAGGCCCGAGGCATTTCAACGAGCTTGTGCATGGTCATGTTCAGGAACCTCCGCAATATGGGAGTTTCCGAAATTAGGGGTACCTTGGGGTCCTTCTAATCAGGATCCTACTATTTAGGATACTATATTGGGGTCCCCTATTTTCGGGAAACTCCCATATGGGGTATAGGATTTAGGGTTTAGGGAGTAGGGTTATAAGTACCTTAATTGGGGTAATAAGTTTTTACAACCGGAGCTACCTTATCTATAACCCCAATTACAATGTCCCATGAACCTTTTAAGTATAGGATTTAGGGTTTAGGGAGGGTTTAGGGTGGTCATGTTCAGGATCCTTCGTAACATGGGGTATAAAGCTAAGGCTTTAGGGTTTAGGGTGGTCATGCTCATGAACCTTTCCATCATCGGCCATTCATAATCAGATTCGGGCTTGGAGGGTCTATTACAGCATAAGCATACACTAGCATAATAATCAGCAACAGTAATGCATAAAGGATTGTCTAGTAATAGCTATGATCAGGAACCCCGAGGACTGAAAGATTGTGCAGTACACATAAGTCCAGGCAAACCTGAGAAATCAAAGCGCTGTTCGTAAACTTTATGTTGGGTATAGGAATACTGTTGGTCATTCTTCCGACGACCCCCTTCGGGACAGTCCGCAATGCATGCATGCATAGAACTTAAATCCCAAACCCTAAACCGCGGATTCTGATAGAGGTTTAGGGTTGTGGGGTCTCCTTGATTTGGAGGGCTCCACAGGATTATGAGGGTTCAGGGGTTGAAGTCGGAGGTTCATAAAGACAGAAGCCAGAATAGCTGCACCTACTTGGAGGATCATGGGACTTAGTAAGTAGGGTTATAAGTACCTTAGTTGGGGTTACAAGTAATTATATTCCCAGTTACTAAGTCCTATGATCCTTTAAGTAGGCTTGGCGGTTGCACCATCCAAACATGTCGAAAGCGTGCCCTAGAATCCTAGAGCTCCCCGAAGCCTTAAGCCCAGCACCCACCAGAAACCTAAAGTCCCAAACCCCTAAAACTTCCCCACAAGGAGCCCTAAGACCTCAAATTCCCCGAACCTTTAAGCCCTGCAGAAGTTCCTTACTTTCGGATGCTGCGCCGTTGATACAGTAGTCCAGCAGAAAGTACGCAATTGCTCGGCCGTGTACGTCGGGCTGCAGATCGGCATTTGCGTGCTGTCTCCCCAGAAACTCCAATATCCCTTAATTAAGGAATATACCTTAAATTATAGTAGGATCCCTACTAGGATTTAAGGAATATTCCTTAATTAAGGGATATTGGAGTCTCTGGGCTCTCTGCAAAGTTCACGGCAACAGTCGCTGAGCGCCAACACGGGCGAAGCGCTGGGTCATTGGCACGAACCACTTAAAGGCTCATGGGACTTAGTAATTGGGGTTATAAATAAGGTAACTCCGGTTATAATTACTTATAACCCCAATTAAAGTAATTATAACCCTACTTACTAAGTCCCATGATCCTCCAAGCAACGTCTGTCGACACTGTCGGCAAGCCTTCGGGCGAGCCACGACATGAGGTACGAGATGTTTTGGAGCCAAGTCCTGCGCCGGAAGACGCAGCCTTGGCATTCTTCACCAGGTGCCCGTCTGGCGAGTTTGCAATCGCTAGAGCACTTGTGATTGAGTCGATTAAGCAATTATTGCCATCGGCGCTGGCTTGACGAAATTGCAACCCGTCGCGTTGCTCGTTACTCCCCCAAAGCCCGCCAAACGAAAATCCCCAAAGCGTAGGAGACATTGCACCCTACAAAAGACCAGAAAGCCGGAACGTCATGATCCTCATACCCTTAAGGTAAAGTGTAGGGAATATATGCAGCAATCATCATAAGCCCATGTTCCAACTCTCCATTCCCCAAAGAAATCCCCAAAGCCTAAGAGCCCTTAGACCCCACCTAACCCTAAACACCCTAAACCCTAAAACCTAAACCGTTACCTCCCCCAACATCTTCAAGCGTGGGACCCCCCCTAAACCCTAAACCCTAAACCCCGAAACCCAGATCCCGCAACCCCAAAGTTAGAACGCCTAAGGCCTTAAAGCAGACTACAGCTTCGTGTTTAAGGGTTAGGGGTTCCGGGTTTAGGGTCTACTATACCCCCTTAGAACCCTAACAAAAATAATGGTGTTCATATTCTCTTGGGTTCTATATGAAGAAAAAGCGAAACAATAATTCCGAAGGAGACTATAGTCTAGGGTCTACGCGGCCTTAAAATTGAAGGGTCTCAAACCAGGACCAAAAGGGCCTCCAAGTGCGGAAAAATCTGAGCTTGTGCTCACATACCCTAGACTCTGAACCCTTAAGCCTCTGTATGTTTCCCCGGAGCTCCCTTTGAAGAAGTTGTGGCTTCGAGCTTATAGGGTTTAGGGTCTAGGGTTTAGGGTCTAGGGTTTAGGGTCAGGGATTTAAGTTGAACGGTCTCCAACCCACATGTCTTGACAGGCTCCGAGTTCGGCGAGGAGCCATCGGCCAGGTGGGGTGCCACTGCTCTTGGCCTGCTGTTGGGACGCTGAGGTGGGACGGGCTGGGCTGTTTCAGGTTTAGGGTTTGGGGTACCCCCTAAACCCTAAACCCTACACCCTAAACCCTAAACCCTACACCCTAAACCCTAAACCCTACACCCTAAACCCTAAACCCTACACCCTAAACCCTAAACCCTACACCCTAAACCCTACACCCTAAACCCTAAACCCTAGTTAGTACATGCCAATAAGCCCTAAGCACGAAAGCCCTCAGTCCCTCAGCCCTCCCCGAAGCCCGAAACCCCAAAATAGCAAAAATGGGTGATTATTGAGGCCCCTATATTATAGTAGCCTTCTAGATCCCTTATGGTAACCCTTTAAAGGAACCCCGAAACCCCAAACCCCGAACAGAGCTTTGGGGTTGGATCTAGACGCTTAGGGATTCGGGCTCGGAGCTTCTACTTTACGGTTTTTAGAGTTTAGGGTTTAGGATTTAGGGGTTTAGGGGTTTTGGGGTTTAGGGTTTAAGGTTTAGGATGCCCCATTGTAGAGGTTTAGGGTTTAAGGTTGCAAGGGTGTAGTGGCCCAGTTTGGGGTTTAGGGTTTAGGCTCGATTTTGGGTGTTGCTTTGCGGATTGGGCTTCGGGTCTGGATTTGGAATGTTCGCTTCCGGTGGCGGAGGGGGGGGAGGCTGTCCCAATGTACTTGGAGGATCATGGGAGTTAGTAATAGTAAGTAGGGTCATAAGTACCTCAATTGGGGTTATAGGTAATTTCATTTGCAGTTGCCGTACATAAAACCAAAATTACTAAGTCCCATGATCCTTTAAGTAGACCCTAAACCCTAAACCCTTATAGTATAGTACCCCTACAGACTCCTTAAAGGGACCCCTTAAGGACCCCAATTACTAAGTCCCATGATCCTTTAAGTAGCAGACGGTGGTTGGGAGCATCTTTCAGGGGTCCCGCTCTGCGGGAGCTTCGGATTTAAGAACAAGTTGCAGCCCCCCAAAATCTGCCATCTTTAAGGAACTTTCCTGAAGGACCCCTTAAAGGTAGGGGCCTTATACCCGTATGCTATGAATCCCTATACAGTATAGGAACCTTAAACCCTTTCAGAACCCTCCTTCAGGTTTGCAGGAAATCAGATCAGGGAACCCCGAAAATGGTAGGTTCTGAAGCGCCCGGATAGGTTTTCGATTTTGGAGAAACAGCTCAGGACTTCGAGGACATGGTTTCATTCATTTTAGGATTTAGGGTTTAGGTCATGGTTTCGGCTTTAGGTCCCCTCTGTGGCACCTTCAATGAAAGCAGCGAGCCCCTCAAAAGTGCCACTGGGAGTGTCAGGGCGAAGGGCGACCTCCCCCGCCGGCACGGGGTCGTCGGGTGCACTCAGACTCCTGCTTAAAGGATCATGGGACTTAGTGATGGAGGATATAAGTAAGGTAACTACAGTTATAACTACTTATAAACCCAATTAGGATACTTATAACCTTACTTACTAAATCCCATGATCCTTCAAGTGGGGAAAGGGTTGCGCGGCGCTACCTGGCAGTTGCCTCCCGCGCTGGGTTGCACCTTTATGGCAAGAGCCGCATTGCAGACAGCTGCGAACCGAGAAAAAGGCCAAGAGCCGGGTCTCGGGACGGCAGAAGATGGTGACACGGCCGCAAGGAGTGGCAAGAGGAAAAGCTGTGAAGTCAGGACAAAGGAGCCGCATGACACCGAACGCAGCAAAAGAAACCGGGCTCCACATCCAGATAGCCAAGGAAGTACCCACAAATCGGGAGAGCATGCGACGGACATGAAATAGAGGTCCAGCAGCGACGCCGTCACAGCATCAAGTCCGAGGTCCTAAATCCTGAACCCCAAACTCCTTAGCCCGAAATCCTACTTTGCATTTATTACCCTAAACCCCTAAACCCCTAAGCCCGTAAACCCCGAAAGCCTAAACCCCCAAACCCTAAGCTCCTCAAACTCTAAACAAAACCCTACACCCCAAAACTCCTAAACCCTTAAACCCCCACGCCCTAGACTCCTCCAAAACAAAATCCTTAAACTCCCAAAACCTAAACCCTAAACCTTGACTCCTAAACCCTAAACCCTAAACCCCAAACCTGAATCTCTAAACCCTAAACTCCTGAACCCTGAAACTCTCAGCGCCTGAAGGCAGAATCCGGCACCCGGCCGGAGAGTGCCAGGCGTGGGAGCCTCAGATGAATGTACAGTAAAAGCCATGAAGTTGGTTTAGGGTTTAGGGTTTAGGGTTTAGGAGCCATGAAGTTGGAAACCTGATTAAGGCCAAATAGTGCTGGGATTCCCTATACATGACTCTTGGGGATTGAGGAATACTCCCTACATTAGAAGCCCCAAAAGTTGGAAACCCATAGCCTCAATCCTTGAGAAGAATGTAAAGGGAATCCCAGCACTATTTGGCCTTAATCCGGTTTCCAACTTTATGAAGTGTACTGTAGGCATCTCGGGTTTAGGGATTGAGGATTTAGGGTTTAAGGGCTTAGGGCATTTAGAGATTTATACGTTAGGGATTTCGGGTTTGGGGATCAAGGGAAGTTAGGGATCTGAGGTTTGGGATTTAGTTTAGGAGTTTAGGGCCTTCGATTGATAGTGCAGGAAAGTATCAGGGCTGTTGAGGATGCTCTTGTTTTAAGCCTCCTAGCTTAGGGTTCGGGGTTTAGGGGTCAGGGTTTAGGGTTTAGGGTTAAGCACCTACTATTTATGTACTCTCCCAAAACTAACCAATACAGCTGCCATCCTTTGCTCAAGAACCTAACAACTGGGTCCTTTGGAAACCCCAGTGCTAAAACCCATCATACCCCTTTCAAAACCTTATCGGAACCCCTGAACTCCTAAGCCCTAAACCCTAAACCCTAAAGCCTAAACCCTAAACACCTAAACCCTAAACACCTAAACCCTAATTACTGCGCCCGTTAAACCGAAAGGGCTCCTTGCAGCATTGGCGCCATGGCTGCCACCAGTTCAAACCAGGGGCCGGCTCTGTGCGTATGCTCTTTGAGCAAAACGAGGCCGGTTTAGGATTTCGGTGGTTGTCAAAATTAGGGTCCCTTTTTGGGTCCCTCTCATAATACGGCACCATATATTTAGGGTACCCAAAAAGGGACACTGCTTTTGACAACTACCCATTTGGCCTTGGGGTTTAGGGTTTGGGGTTTGAGTTGGGGGGTTCAGGGTTCAGGGCCCCTCAAACAGCTGTGACTTTGGGGATCCAGTTCTAGCGCGATAGCAACTGATAGCACATCTGCATGTTCTGGGCGGGCTTCCATCTTTACAGCTTTGGGTCTTTTTGGCATAAGGGCACTTAAAGGATCATGGGACTTAGTAAATAGGTTATAATTGGGGTTATAAGTCCCCTAAGTGGGGTTATCCTAATTATAACCTACTTATAACCTTACTTATTAAGTCCCATGAGCCTTCAAGTAGACCCTAAACCCTAAACCCTTATAGTATCCCTATAGATTCCCTTTAAAGGGACCCCTTAAGGACCCCAACTACTAAGTCCCATGAGCTTTTAAGTCAGTCATGGCTTTCGGGCCTTGGGGCTCACGCTTTCGGAGCTTCCATAACTTCTGTAAGACCTGAGCTGCAAAACCAGGGAGTGAGAAGGAGTCATGAGGTCAAGGGCTTCGACTGCGGTTTAGGTTTTAGGGTTTCGGGTTTAGGGTTTAGGGTTTAGGGTTTAGGGTTTAGGGTTTAGGGTTTAGGGTTTAGGGTTTAGGGTTTAGGGTTTAGGGTTTAGGTTTTAGGGTTTAGGGTTTAGGTTTCAGGGTTTAGGGTTTAGGTTTTAGGGTTTAGGGTTTAGGGTTTCGAGGTTTAGGATTTCGGCGCAGGGCTTTGGATGAACAGGCACCTTAAAAGCCGCCATCAGCTCCATTACGATCTCCTGCACCTTGCAAATCTGCATCTCCCCCAAGACTCGGGCCGTAACGGTGTGCGACCTTGTAAAGATCTGTCTTCTCAACGTCGCGCTGAACACCCCTCCTGCAAAACTCAACAACCAGCCAATTTAGGGGCCTTCCAGACTGGCATGACCCGTATGCACAGCCCTCAATAGAACCAGTGCTTTAATCGAAGAACCTGCAACAAGATGAGTTTTACACGGTTCGAGTATTCCCTATGAAGCCTAACTCCTGCCTGCGGGTTGATGCTCAGAAATCTTAAGGGTTTAGGGTACAGGGTCAGGGTGGACCTTTTCATTTTCGGCGGACGCCGCGAACTCATCTTCCGATCCCACCCGCCCGTCCTGGGGTAGCATAATGTATGGGTCGGAAAAAGTGATAAAGCATGTACCTTATAGGTCTCACGAAAGTTTAGTGCAACATACCCCCAAACCCTAACCAGTACACCCGAATCGAAACCCGAAATACACGCTCACCCATGGTCGCTAAGGAGCGGTGCATACACTAACGACTAGCAAAAACCCTTAAACTCTGGGGCCAACTATGGAGGTTTTTGGCTTTAGGATTTCGGGTGCGGGATAAGGTCTGTCGGATGCGAAAACTTGGTTCATCCCTGAACCCTAAACCCTAAACCCGAAACCCTAAACCCGAAACCCTAAACCCTGAACCCTAAACCCGAAACCCTAAACCCTGAACCCTAAACCCGAAACCCGAAACCCGAAACCCTAAACCGGCCTCGATCCTGAGTTCCCGAGCCCGGGTAATGCTGACCGGCTCAGTCGTTATGGATCAGGGGTATTTGGAGGTTCATGGGTAGCTTTAAGGGTTCCTTTAAGGGTCCCTTTAAAGGGATCTTTAGAGATTCTATAAGGGTATAGGGTTTAGGGTCTACTTGAGGGTTCATGGGTAGCTATCAGTGCAGTTATAAGTCCCTAAATTGGGTTATAGCTATAGTTACCTTAATTTTAGGCCCACTTATAACCACCCATGAACGTCCAAGTAGGACTGTATATGCCCTAAACCCTATACCCTAAAACCTAAATAATGAACTCTAAACCTTAAACCCTGAAGGTTATTCAATTCACCAGGTGTGATGTTTTGTATGCCGAAACAAGTTTGTTCATGGTTGGGATACTATAAACATGTAAATTTCTATTCCTAAGTGGGCTTAAGTACGTATAAAAATTCAAACATGCTACTCACCAACTATGACAAAGGAGACGGGCCATAATCTGGGCATCCACTCTGCCTCAGGCTTGGGGTTTCTGTAATAAGACATTCAGCTAGACCCCAACTGCCCTCCCCCAAATACCCACTATTGAGGACCATCGGCCCTCTTTTGAAGAACCTTTGGGGGTCCTGGCAAAACCTTTAAGGGCTTGGGGCATAGGGATTTAGGGGTTTAGGGTTTAGGAAACCCGGATCCACAGATCGAGGCCTCCCCAGGTTTAAAGGCGTTGGCTGAACCGAAAGGCATGGACTGAAAAGCGGCTTCTCCTCCCTCTGGGAGCGACGCACCGGAGGACGCTCAGCAGACCTCACTAGGGTGGGCCTCTCCACAGTGCATCCCGCTCTGCGATCTTGTTCAGTCTTACTCCGGGTTGCCTGTGTGGGAATGGCTTCGGTCTATTCCTGAACTCTGAATTCATAAACCCCTGAGCCCGCCCAATAAGAACTTGCCAACCTACCCTCCATCCGAGAGCTTGCGTCTCGGGGTTTAGGCTTTCTTTTAGGGCATATAAAAACCCTGAACCCTAAACCCCAGACCCTAAACGCCTAGACGCTAAACCCTAAAAACCCTAAAAACCTTTAAAAACCCAAAAACCCTGAAAATCCTCAAAACCCTAAAAACCATAAGCCTTAAAGGCCCTAAAAGTTTAGGCCTGGAGCTCGAGCTCGCTTGGTGCGCTCTTGAAGAGGCGCAGTTCTCTAGAGCCTTAGGGTTAAGGGGTTTAGGGTTCAGGGTTTAGGGGTTTAGGGTTCAGGGGTTTAGGGGTTTAGGGTTTAGGGGTTCAGGATTTAGGGGTTTAGGGTTTAGGGGTTTAGAATCGGGGCCTGAATATTCAGTTCAGGGTAGGGTTCCTTTAAAGGGGTTACTTTGAGGGCTACTAAAAGGGTTCTGTATCGGGGCCTTGAGAATTCGAATAGGGTTCTGAGACATATTTTAGCAAAATTATAACAAGGAACCCCCAAATGGGATTCCGAGGTATATTGTACTACAACTATAACCTTCGGAAGGTATAATAAGGAACCCCCAAAATAGTTTTAGTAATTATTCAAGCCCCTACATTAGACCCTTCAAGATGCATTATCGGAGGCTGGGCAAGCCACGGTTTAGGGTTTTAGGGTTGAAGGTTGGCAGACTCAAGGTCTTGGGACTTGGTACCACAAAAGCTATTTGTGAGTTTCCGAAAATAGGGGACACTAATATAGTACCCTACATAGTAGGATCCTTATTATAAGGACCCCCAAATAAGGTGCCCCCTAATTTTCGGAAACTCCCATTTGGGAATCGTCCACCCATTAACCCTGAACCCTGGAGCCCTCATACTAGGTTCGGGTTTCGGTGCTGGGCGTCGGGCTGAAGGCAGGCTAGGGTGCTTGATAATAGGGCCTTGATAATTAGAACAAGGCTGATTAGAATGTCTCGTCCAGTCAGACAGAGTTGGGGTGTTATCTTCCAAATGAAACAAAGAACTACAGCAACCCGAAACCCAAAACCGATTGCCAAAGAAAGGCACCAAGCATCGAGACTTCCCTGCGAGGTTCTGGGAAGCATTCTGGGGGGCTCATGTTTTGGTAGGTTTTTTTGGTTTAGGGTTTGGGGCTTTAGGATGTACTATTCTGGATCTGCTTTGTTGCCGTTCCAATACTTAAAGGCTCATGGGACTTAGTAAGTAAGGTTATAAATAGGTTATAATTAGGATAAGCCCACTTAGGGGACTTATAACCCCAATTATAACCTACTTACTAAGTCCCATGATCCTTTAAGTAGAGGCTTCAGAGTTGAAGCCTAGCATGCTACTTGGCTCCGTTCACAGGTCCGCACTGCGGGATGCGGCGCTCACAGACAAGCCCATGCACCCGAAACTTCCCATCTAAACCTAAAATCTTGATGCTTAAACAGTGTTTAACACGTAGGGCTTAGGGTTCAAGACAGATTCCATTACTTTGCAACTGCCGAAGCTTGTCTCTGAGGCCAAGGGAAGTGTAGGCCCAATCAGACCGGCTACAGAATCCTACAGATCGGTAGGCTGTCGTCGTATGGAAAATAGAAAACAAATTTGGCAAAGTCCGGAGACTCCAATATCCCTCACTCAGCAGCCCTCACCTGACACTGACCGTAGGAATCAACAGCTACTGCTCAGGAACACTACTTATATCCACCATTATATGCAATGCTGGGTATAGGCCTATGCCTACGTCAAAACAGCACCGCTGCTTAAGTAAACTAGGCTGTTCAGCAACCCACTGGGAAAAAGTATATACGTTTTGAGGCTTCTTAGTTCCTAATAGGAACCCAGAAACCTGAAAGTAAACAAGTGTACCACTGAACAGCCTGGTAAAGGATATTGGAATCTCCGGTAGCCTGGCAGGATCACCCGCCAGGCAGGTTCCGGCCTTTGCCAAGCCGTTGAAATTCCGCTTGAACGGAAACGCAAACGCCTCGAAAGCACGCGTCCCGACACAGCATTGCTAAACTACTGTTTTAAGCTTTTCAAGAGTTAAGCCCAGACACGAGACAGCCCCGAAATGCCTCCGTCCGGCCTGGCGACTCCCACCAGCAACAAAACCTGAACCCTTGGTGTTTAGGGTTGAAAGGGTCGAACCGCAAACAGAAAGCCGTGCAGCCATTGCAAGACTTGATACCTCAGCAAGAATCCCTGAAGCAGTAGTGAACACCCAAGCTTGCATCTACAAAGCGTTTACGCTTCATGGTTCTGCTGTTCTGCTAGCATACTATAGGGGCTGAATGATTACCAATACTATTTTGGGGGCTCCTTACTATAATTTTAATACAGTGGCCCCAGAACCCTTCTCTAATTATGAAGGCCCCTATACTGAATCCCTATACTAGCCCTTATAGTATCCCCTATGGCCCCCCTTTAAAAAGGAGCGCCATTCTGTCTATGAAGGCCGCTATACTACACACGCTATGACAGGAACCGGACCATTCTCTGAGATGAAACATTCTGGCCCCTGCTCTGTGGGTGTGGACTTTTTTTGGAGTTCAGGCCTTGTGCTTAAAGGATCATGGGACTTCGTAATTGGGGCCCCTTTTAAACTTTAAGGGATCTAAAGGGGTACTATAAAGGTTTAGGGTTTAGGGTCTACTTAAAGGATCATGGGACTTAGTAATTGGGGTTATAAGTAAGATAACTACATTTATCATTACTTATAACCCCAATTAAGGTACCTATAACCCTACTTACTAAGTCCCACGAACCTCCAAGTGGTCGTGACCTGCCTATGCTGGCCGAACGCATGCAGTCAAAGCCATTGAGTGAGTAGCGGCTTCAAGAGACTGACGTTACCCGGCACTCAGCCGCGATGAGCTCTACCCGGCACACCCTAAACCCTAAAAACTAAGCCCTAAGGCTCTTAACCCTAAACCCTTTAGCCCTTAACCATAAACTCTAAATCCTAGACCCTTAACCCATGAACCCTCAACCCTAGACCCTAAACCCTAAACCCTATAGATCCCTTAAAGGAGCCCTTAAGGATCCCTACAAAAGAAGCCTCAACTAGGGGCTCGCAGGGCCCTCAGACTTCACTTCCCACTTGACTTCCGATCCTTCTGCCTGAAGGCCAGTGGTCTTTAAGGTTTTAGGGCTACGGTTTAGGGTTTAAGGTTTAAGGCTCTTTTAAGGTTTAGGGCTAGGGTTTAGGGTTTAGGGCTACGGTTTAGGGTTTAAGGTTTAAGGCTCTTTAAGGTTTAGGGCTAGGGTTTAGGGTTTAGGGCTAGGGTTTAGGGTTTAGGGTTCCTTAGGGCTCTTTAGGGTTCTTTAGGGTTCTTTAGGGTTCTTTAGGGTTTAAGGCCAGGGCCTTTAATGTTGAGGGGCTCCTTGGGTCTACTTGGAGGTTCATGGGCACTTGAAGGCTCATGGGACTTAGTAATTGGGGGGTCCTTAAGGGGCCCCTTTAAAGGGAATCTGTAGGGGTACTATAAGGGTTTAGGGTTTAGGGTCTACTTGAAGGCTTTAGGAAGTAAGGTTATAAGTAGGTTATAATTAGGATAACCCCACTTAGGGGACTTATAACCCCAATTATAACCTACTTACTAAGTCCCATGATCCTTTAAGTAGTTATAACTGGGCTTATAAGGAGGGTAACTATAGGTATAACCCATATTGAGGGACGTATAACTCCACTTATACTACCCATGAACCTCCAAGTAGGGTTTAGGGCTTTGGAGCCTTAAGGGTTTGGGGAATTTCGGGTATTGGGTTTTGGGGTTTTGGGTTTTGGGTTATTTGGGGTTTAGGGCTTGAGGGTTTCAAGTTTAGACTTGTTGGGTTTTGGTGTTTAAGTTTGAGGGTTTTAAGGCTTTGAGTTTAGGGTTTGGGGTTTAGGGCTTTAGGGTTTAGAATTTCGGGTTTAGGGATTTCGGGTGTGGAGTTTAGGGGAGCTTTTAGGGTTTGGGGTTACTTCTTATCTTTCTGCCTGCAGATCTGCTTGAAGGAGGCACTGGCTTCTTAAAGGGTTTAGGTCTCCCGAAACTCCCCTAAACCCTATACCCTAAACCGCTTGGGTTTGGGGCTTTGGGCTCAGGTTCTCTGGGGTTGGAGATTGGGCTTCAGAGCTTAGCCAGTGGGTCACAAAGCCAACAGGGCTCGGGTTCTGCGTTTAGGGTTTAGGGTTTAGGGTTTACGATTCCGGTTTTGGGGTTGGTGAAATGGTTTTAGGCTTGGGTTTAGGTTTGGGTTTAGGCTTAGGGCTTGGGGGGAAGCAGGGCTTTTCGCTTCTTAGTCTTGGCCGACCCTAAATTTACGAAACCCCAAAATCCACATGCCCCGCCTGGATTGCCCGAATGTGCGTCCCGAAACCCGAAACCCTAAACCCTTCAGCCGTGATAGCTGAAGACCGCCAGGCACCCAACCCCAAAACCCGAAATCTGGGCCTGAGATCTAAGGGGCTTGGCTTTGGCCTTAACGGGATCAAGAGCTTGGGGCTTAGGGTAAAGGGGTTCGGGACATTCACGGCATGAAGCCTAAGCCCAGTCGGTTGTCCAGTTCGGAGGACATTCCGATTCCGGAGAACACCAAGGAGCCGTCGCTGTACTTGTTGCGCGAGCCTCGACTGATTTGCGTCCGCAGTGAAGTCGGCGGAAATGGGCCGGTATTGCCACGAAGCCTGTGGACGCCATGCTGCAGATAATTCGCCAGCAGGGGGTGAAGGACATCCACCGCGAAGACAGCTACGCGGGTAGTGCCCAATCTTGGAGCACGCCTTACAGACAGGAGTCTGGCACTTGGAGGAGTGCAGAAGTTTCTGGCCCTACTGACTTGCAGTTGCTCCTATTGCCACCGAAGGGCAGCTCTCAAACCGACATCGTTGAGCTCAAGCGCACAATACTCGCAGGAAGGGCTTCGGCTTAGGTTTAGGGCTTAGGGTTAGGGGCTCAGGGCTCAAAATCTTAAGGTGTTCAGGCTCGGAGTTCTTGCAGCTTAGGGTTTCAAACGACCCTCCTAATTAATTAGCTTGCAAGGTGAGGGCAGCGCAACCGCGCTCTAGCCCATCTGACCTTGCTGACCTTCAGATCCTGTAGACCAAGCCCTGCACACAGAAGCCCTGTGCAGTGGACGACGACGTCGACTACGCAAACACCAAACCCTCAGCAATAAACTCTAAAGCATACACCCTACGGACCCTACGGCGACGACGACTGCTGCTTTGCGAAGAAGAGACGGAGATCCCTGAATCGAAACTCTGATGAAGTTTTGGGCTTAAGGGACGTTTAGGAGTTTAGGGATGTTTAGGAGTTTAGGGTTAGTAAAGCCTGCGGCCCCAACCACAAGCCCGAAACCCAGACTACACAGCTCAAGACTGGATCACAGACAAGAAGCCCGAAAGATGATAATGGGAGGCCAAACGGGGGGGTTTAAGATTCGCGGGGTAGGGATTCCTTAATATGAACCCTATTATGCGAACCTTAATCCCTACTAAACCCCCCATAGGCTGAAAGCCCCTTTGGCCTCCTATGAGATGATGCATAATCCAGCCCTCAACCCAGGATGTGCGGCCTTGCTACAGACCTTACCTGCGCACCCGAACCGAACATAGATCCCCCCAACCCCAATAGCGAAAACTACACCCTAACCCAGCGAAGTTCGGTTCAGCCCAACACCTAAACCTCAGTTCCAGGACCCTGCACCCTAAACCCTAAACCTAATTCATTGTTGGGATAGGATTATAAAAGTACATGACTATTCCTTATTGGGTTTCAATACCCATAAAATGTAAAATGTTACTCAACTTTGACAAAGAAACCTCTGAATTCCATGAACCCTAAACCCCAAACCCTAAACCCTGAACCCTAAACCCCTAAACCTCCGAACCCTAAACCCTGAACCCTAAACCCTGAACCCTAAACCCTAAACCCTAAACCCCTAAACCCCTAAACCCCTAAACCCCAAACCCTAAACCTCTCCTGCCTTCCTCTTCGTGGTGCGCATGCGGGGTTCACCTTGGGTCGATCGGCTCAGGGTTCAGGGTTTAGGATTCGGAGGTTTAGGGTTTAGGGTGGGGGTTTAGGGGTTAAGGGCTTAGGGTTTAGAGGTTTAGCGGTTCAGGGTTTAGGGTCTGGGGTTTAGGGGTTTTGTGTATCAAGAAGGTGTCCCTTGATTCCAATAGCCCCCAAAAATGGCTAGACCCTAAGCCTCAACAAAAGGGCCTTAGTAGATCGAAGAGGATTTTGGGCGCCTGTGTGGTATAGTTATCACAGGGAACCCGAAGGAACAGTATTGATACTTACTTCGGCTTCTACATCAACCTTAAACATTACTTGGAGGTTCATCGTATATACGTGGGCTGATACGTCAAGTAACTATAGTTACATCACAGATTAAGGGACTTATAATAACTCCACTTATATCTACCCACGAACCTCCAAGTAGTGCTGTGCGTTTTGAGTTTAAGCTTGTTGACGTCGGACTTGGAATGCGTGTCTTTGGGGTCAGGGCTTGGGCAGCAGAGATCGGAGTCTGGGCTTTGGAAGGGTTCAGGGTTTAGGGTTTAGGGTCGAAAGTTTATGGCTTCGGCTTCTGTTTATCGACCCTTTTCTGCTCTGTTTAAGGTTTAGAGTTTGGGGTTCAGGGTGTGTGGTTTCCGGGTGGGGTTTAGGGCCTCGGGTTTAGGGTTTAAAGGCTATCATGAGGGGTTCTTTGAGGATGGTGGATTAGAAGCTCATGGGAACGTAAAACGTAGTAGGGTATGACTCGTCTGGGCGAATATCTGCATAACCGATTGCAAACCGAGTTAAAGTATCTAGTTCTTACAGTCACACTTGTAAACTCTAGCTTTCCGTTTCACCCTAAACCCTAAACCCCTAAACCCTGAACCGCTAAACCCCTAAACAGGAAAACCCTAAACCCAAAGCCCTCACCCCAAGGGTCCAAGTACCTAATAATCATACACTCGCCAGAATCCTAACCTACATAACTTCTGTCCTAAAACCAAGTACCTAAGGGATTGGGTCCTGTTTTACGTGGACTATCTATCTATCTATATATATATATATCGGGATCCTATTGCCAATTACTCCGACCCCCATATTCCGACCTCAACCCGACTCGACAACTGTCTCTGTCGCTCGTTTCTAGACCCAAGAGTAGCTTAGGAATAAAAAGGGTGCCCTTTTTAGTTTACAGGGGCTTATAAGGGGACCTGAACCCCCAAAAAAGGGAATAAGGGCCTACTCTAGATCCTAGGTTTAGGTACCGGACGGCCATCTGTTTTGTCGTCGTTCGCGATGATGCCGTGGAACTGGCAGCAAGATTTGGAAGTTTAGGTCGGAAGGAATCTTCAATGGCGGGATAGGGCTTAAGGTGTAAGGTGAAGGGTTTGCGGCTTAGGGTTACGCTGCAGGCCTACACCCTGCAATAACTCATATAACGTAGTCCTTGAAGCCCTAAAGCCGAAACTCCCTAAGCCCTAAACCCTAAACCTCCAAAATCGATATTCCATCACGGTTCAGGGCTGAAGGAAGGGTCGAGAGTTTAGGGCGCAGGGCTCATTGCCCGCAGGTGTGCGTGATTCATGATGGTGGCAGCTACCTTAATTGCAAGTTGTTGATGTTCATGTAAGTACCCACTATCCCTCCACGAACCTACTCCCTAAACCCTAAGCCTACTCTCTGAATCAAAACCTACTCCCTGATCCCTAAAGCTATTCTCAGAACCCTAAACCTTTTCCCTGAATCCTAAAACCGAACCCTTAACCGTAAACTCGAAACCTAAACCCCAAAGACTCTAAGCCCCTTCCATCCTTGAGGTTGATGCTTCGCTTGTGGGGGCCTTTGTTGTTGGCGGGCTTCTTTTGACATGCCAGGCATTGACCGCCGCGGTTGGCTCGTGTCAGTTCCCACTCTGCATGGGAGAATAGGTCCCAGCTTTTCAGCTCTCTGCATTCTCGGCATCGGCTTCTGGGCCAGCGTGCTTCACGCATAGCTTTCCAGTCGATGTGCTCGCCCCGAAGGTTCCGTAGGAGCAGTGAGGGACCTTCCGCCGCACCACGCTGAAAGAGCCAGAGTGGGAACGGCCTCAGGATCAGCACGTCGGACCTGTCGCGGACGCGACTTGCCACCACTGTGCCGTAGGCCGCATGAGTCCTCGAGTCCACGTTCAAGTCCAGCATCCCCTATATAATCTCCCCAGCTCAAAGCTAGACACCAAAACCCTACTGAATGGATCACGGGACTTTAGTAATTGGGGTTATAAGTATAATAGGATAACTTCAGTTATAAGTACTTACCACCCCAATTAAGGTACTTATAACCCTACTTACTACGTCCCATGACCCTCCAAATACGTCTGCAGCCCTACCTAGAGGCTTATTCCCTACCCCCTGTTTTAGGGTGCCTGGTTCTATGGTTAGGATCTGCTGTATGGATGAGTAGATACCCTACAAAAAGGGGTAGGGTAGGAGTCTACAGCCCTGCTCTCGAACCCTCAGACTTATTTTAAAGCTAATCGGACCTTTTCGAGCATCCCAGGGATAAGGCACAACAAACCCTAAGCCCCAAACCCAAAGCACTAAACCCTAAACATCCCCAAACTACCCCGACACGCTTGAAGACCCAGACCGCTTCACACCTTACGTTTTGCACCACAGCAACATCGAATTTCCGAATCCCTTTCCAAACCCTGTCATCACCTCAGCAGTAGGGTTTGTTGTTTACCACCCAACTCCAAACCCCACGCCCGAAACGCAACCCTAAACCCCAAAAGCGTTCCCGCTGAGGTGATGACCAAACGCCAGGAGCGGTACGACCAGACCGTAGCCTCGTTTGCCGGGTGTCGGGTTCGGGATAGGGTTTAGGGTTCAGAGGGTAGGGGTTTAGGGGTTTCGGGGTTTAGGGTTTAGGACTTTTAGGGTTTAGGCTTTAGGGTTTAGGAGTATGAGCTTTCAGAGGGCCGGGTTTGGCTGGCACGAGTGAGGTTGTAAGGGCTTTGACGTTTGCAGCTTGGAATCGTGGGGTGCGGGTCATGGCGCCTTGCTGAATATACCCTACATGCCCTACGCACGCACATGAATCCGAAATCTTAAACTTCTAAACCTCAACTACTAAAGCATATATCCTAAACAACAGACCCAAACTCCTACAACTCCAGCCTACATTCTTCAGTACCCCTAACCACCAAAACCCTCAACCTGAAAGACCCCAGAGACTCCAATATCCCTTAATTAAGGAATATTCCTTAAATCATATTAGGGATCCTACTATAATTTAAGGTATATTCCTTAATTAAGGGATATTGGAATCTCTGGGACTCGTGGAACTCTGAAACTCTGCACCCTGTACTTGGAGGGGCAAGGGACTTAGTAAGCAGGCTATAAGTAGAGTTAAAAGTACCCTACATGGAGTTACCCCAATTATAACCCTACTTATAACCTACTTACTAAGTCCCCTGCCCTTCCAAGTAGACCCTTGACCTGCAATCCGCAAGGCCCCAAACGGTAAGTCTTAGAAGCTGCCCCCACCCTATAATAGTGACTATAAGGATTATAGTACGGCCCTATGATATTCCTATTATACTTACGGTAAAACTTTCAAACCGTAAAACCGCACATCCTGAAACTAAAACTAAGCCCGTACGCCCTTGCACCATTCTAAAAACTCAAGCTCGCCCGTAAGCCTAACGACCAAGCCCCAAGGCCCTAAACCTTTAAATCCAGAGCCTTGAAGCCTCAACCCTGAACCGTTAAACCCTGAACCCTAGTCCTCTATAGAAACCCTTTTATTAGAGGATCCCTTAAAGGAAGACTTTCCCGAACCACGGCATATCTTACACAATCTGCAGGATGCGATCCTACAGTTTATGCCTTCAACTCTGTGGGCGAGTCCAAATAACTACTTTATTCCGGATCTTCTGCCTGCCCCCTGAAGCAGATCCCTTTGGCAATCTCCTTGCACAAGCCCCGCTGTTACACCAAAGCGTTGCTCGCTAAACCACCACTTCTTGAAGGTAGAAGAGAGGATCCACTATCCGTCATAACCTTGTTTGAATCCCGAGCGAACCCGGGCGTAGGAAACCTATGATAGAAAAGAGAACCCTAAACCCCAACAGACAACAGACGACCCAGGCTCAAATCCTGGTCCAAAAGCCTGAGCTTAACCCTAAAGCCGTTAACCCGAAAGCCTAAACCGCAGAGCCTTCACATCCCAGGTTTCCCCCATAGCCCCTTAATACCCTTTGTCCTAGTATTTTGGTTTAATCAGGAGACCAAATGGAAAACGCACAAGCGTACTACTGGGGAACCAAGTACGTCTCAAAGCGGGTGAGGCCCCGTGTACCTTTATAGTAGATGCTTAAGCCTTAAATGGGTCCCTATATAGGTACTTTAATGCCTAAGTTTCAGAGATAGTTACGCTGCTGGAAACTTGCTTCTGACCCGACGGCATGAACGTTGTTCGATTTCTCTCCCCCTGGGGCAAATAGTCGACGTAACATTCGCCTCGACATTGGCAGCAGACATTCCCTCTGGCTTTCCCAATGCGTCTCGGGATAGCACCTTTATGACGCTGCTGGGCTCGAACTCCTCGTCAGTGTGGATCTCGTCACCATGCTCGACATCCTCTTCTGAGAAGTCGGAGTTCCCTGATCCCCAGTCGACCTCTGTCGACGCAGCTGCTCGCGCGAGTTCTGGCGTGCGGGATGAGGATTTCTGCCACAAACCCTAAACCGTCGTGCCTGCAAGCGCAAGCACCGGCGCCGGAGGTGGAAGGCGAGCCTGGTAAGTCCACTTGCTGCCTTTAGTCTTGGTATGGAGTCGTGGGTGCCAGCGAAGCCAACTCCGTGAGGATCCATCTTCCTTTCTGTCGTAAGAGTGTTGAACCGGTGATCGAAGACAGAGCAGCTTAAAAGCGTGAAGTCATAAAGACTGGCAACGGCGAGTTAGGACAGCTTCCTTGAGCCAAAATGGCTACGGCTCAAGGAAGCTATCCAGGGTTTAAGGTTCAGGGTTGGTCAGGGATTAGGGTTTACGGGTTCGCGGTTTGGGGTGTTGGGTTCGGGATTCACGGTTCAGGATTAGGGTTCAGGATTTACGGTCATGGGATTAAGGTCTAGCCTTTATGGGTACCATGGAGCCTTAAACCCTCAACCCTCTCGAACCCTTGCAGGAACCCCTAAAGGAACCCTATTATGGGTACCATGGAGCCTTAGGGGGGTGAGGCCCCTGCTTTGAAGCGAACCTTTCGCCCGCTTCTTTTCTCCAACTCCTGGTTGCAGGCCGCGGGTCGTCTGGGGAGGTTAAGAATTAAGGTTTGGGGTTTAGGCGTTTAGGGTTTAGGGTTTAGGGTCTACCCTAAATCCTAAACCCTAAACTCTAAACCCTGGTGCTTGATTCAGTGCAGTGGTTTGGTGTCACTGTACAGCTAAAATCCTCAGGGCATCGGGCCATGGGCTTTGGGCTTCAATGTAGGGGCGAAAAAAGATCAGAATATGTTAGAAGCTGCCCCCACCCTGTAATAGTGACTATACGGATTATACTAGGGCCCTATTATCTTCCTATTATACCACTATTACAGGGTGGGGGCCCCTCCTAAAGAATATATAGGGTTTGGGGCTCCTTAATACTATGACTACAATAACGAGCCCACAGGAATCATCTAGGTCGCTACTCAGGCTTCTACATTAGGCTTAGGGCTTCCCGTTCGGGAATGCGGCTCTAAAGTTCCCAGCGGCTTGATCACGGAAGAGTCTGAAATCCCCAACCAGCTTAACCCCAAGTCCTACACCTCGAACTGTAAACAGAGCTGCTGAACCCTAAACCCTAAACCCTGAACCCTGAACCCTAAACCCTAAACCCTAGGACGCCGAAGCCCTGGACCTGAAACCTTAAACCGTGAAGCGTTGACTCAGGGCGTCCAGGCTCCATGGGGCCTGGGTTTTAGTGACTAGAGTTTCGGGTTTAGGGTATGTGCTGAAAGCTTCTGTCTTCTCTTTAGACTCCTGCTGCGTCAGCCTTAGCTTAGTTGCTGAGTTCATAAGCCCCGAAAAGTGTACACTTTCAGGTTTATAGCGGGTAGTATTATCCAAAAAAGTGTAAAGTGTATCCACTCAGCTACTAAGTTAGCAGTCTGCAGTCTACCCTGAATCCTGAATCTTATACAGGAGTGAACCCTGAGAGAGACGTCTGGCAGGTAAGCCGGGGTGGATCCCCGATACGGTCTCGCAGCAAAATTAATCGCAAAGGGTTTAGAGTTCGGGGCCTTCGGGGTTTGGGCCTAAGGGAGTTTGGGGTTTAGGGTTTAGGGTTTAGGGGTTTAGGGTTTAGGGTTTAGGGTTTAGGGGTTTAGGGTTTAGGGTTTAGGGTTTAGGCCCATGGAAACACGAATTGTCGTAGTCCTTGACTCCAAAAGTTCCAAGGCGAAGCTTGAAACTCAACCCCTAAACTGTAGCCGACAAAACCCGCACACTCCACACTCCATGAGTCGTACGGAGGCACCCTAAACCCTAAATAGTTTGAAGATGCCCTGCTTCTACAGCCCTTAGACGGTGTGAAAAGCTGTGCTTTCTGGAGATCCCGAACGAACATCAACCCAACATGCAAAACAAGGTAGTCATAGTCGTAGTCGTACTCGCCGTCGCCGTCGCCGTGGTGGTGATGGTGGTGATGATGATGGTGGTGGTGATGGTGGTGGTGGAGGTGGAAGTGGAGGTGGAGGTGGTAGTGGTGGTCTACACCCTGCACGTTACAAACCTTTGAAGCAATTCTGCAAAGCATTTTCTCCTGAACTTGGAACCCATGCGCAAATTACAACTTTAACTGTGTCTCATGGATTATAGCAACCGAAACCCTAAACTCCCACTCCTAGACCCGATGTCCATGTACCCCTACATGGGTAGTTGCCAAAATCGGGGTCCTTTTTTGGGTACCACAAATAGTAGGTGTCGTGCTATAATCAGGACCCAAACAGGGACCTTAATTTTGACAATCACCCACAGCCCTAAACCCTAGGCCTTAAACCCTAAACCCCAAGCCCCAAGCCCTAAACCCTAAACCCTAAGCCCTAGACCCTAAACCCCAAGCCCTAAGCCCTAAGCCCTAAACCCTAAACCCTAAGCCCTAAACCCTAAACCCTAAACCCCAAGCCCTAAGCAAGCCTTGAGGCACCAGAGCCTTCGGTTATCTTTGGTCTTCCTTCAGAGCTCATGGGGCAAAAAAGGCGCAGGGCGCAAAAAGAGGGTTTACGGTTTAGGAATAAGGCTTAGGGTTTAGTTCAGGGTTCAGTTTACAGTAAACCCCATAAAGTTGGAAACCGGATTAAGGCCAAATAGTGCTGGGATTCCCCAAACATTACTCTTAAGGATTGAGGCTATTGGCTTTCAACTTTTTGCGCTTCTACTGTAAGGCGCAGGGCACAAAAAGACGGCCGCAAGAATCGGAATATGGTTTCCACAAAAGCGCCTTCAAGAGATACTGACTAGAGTAGAACTTTGTAGTATATTGGAGTACAACAAATTACGCAGGGGCTACAGGAGGACATGGGGTGGGGGGGTTTCCGAAAAAAGGGTTCCAGTTTTCCAGTCTTGTTAAAGGGTTCCTTAAAGGGATCTATAAAGGGTTCTATAATTCTATAAAGGGTTTAGGGTTTAGGGTTTAAGGGAGTTTCCGACAATGGGGGACCCTAATATAGTACCCTAAATTGTAGGATCCTTGCTATAAGGACCCCCAACAGAGGCACGCCAAGTTCTCGGAAACTCTAGACCCTTGTACACCCCTTTAAAGGAACCCTTATAGTATCTTTATAGCAACCCCCCTAATTTTCGGAAACTCACCTTTTGCTGATCAGGATTCAGGGTTTTCGGTTTCGAGTGCGGAGCTTCACGTTTGAAGTCATACGAGGCCTCATTAGGAGTAAGCCATGTAGCCGACGGGGGATGTAGGATTTAGGGTTTAGGGGTTTAGGGTTTGGCGTTAAGGGTTTAAGGGTTTTGTGTCTACGGTTTGAGTTGAGGTTTATATCTGAACCCTATATATATGTGTATATATATATATATATAAACACTGCCTTTGTCAGGGTTCTTTATAATGACTTCCTTATCTAAGCCCTAAGCCCTAAACTCCTAAGCCTCAAGCCCCGAACCCCATTCAGGCCTCAAGCTTCAAAGCCAGAATTGGGGCCAGGGAGCTTCAAAACCCCAAAAACCCTGAACCCTAAACCCCTAAACCCGTAAACCCCTAACCCCTAACCCCTAAACGCTAAACCCCCAAACCCCCAAACCCTAAACCTCGGTTGGTTAGGGCGGGCTTCAGATCTTCAATCCGCAGGTTGCAAACCCGAAACCCTGAACCTTCTGAATGGGTAGTTGCCATAGTGAGGGTCCCCTTTTTGGGCACCCTAACTAGTAGGTGCGGTATTCCAGTAGGGACCCAAAAAGGGGCCCCAGTTTTGACAACCACTCAAATCCTAAACCTCAACCCTAAATCAACAATATTGTAAACGCTAAGCCCCTAAACCAACAACGTTAAACCTAAACCCTCAACCCTAAACCTAGTTCATTGTTGGGATAGGATTAACAATGATAAGTTTATCCCTTATTGGGTTTAAGTACCCATTAAAATGTAAAATGTTATCCAACTATGACCCAGAAACCCTAAAGCCTATACCCTAAACCCTAAACCCTCAACCCTGACTAAACCCTCAACCGACTCTCATCTTTCGTCTGGCGCGAATGCGGCCGTGCGACAGACCCTGCTCCGTCTCGTACAAGTTCCTTGGGTCGGCTACCGCGAGTGGTCGTGGGGTTCGGGCTTATGCTTTAGTGTCTCGATTTGTGAAAGGATTAGGGCTTACAGGTTCTAAAGTCATAAAGATATCAGATCAATCTAAGGTTTAGTGGTTATGGCCTTCTGGATGCGAAGGGATTGGGGCCTGGGCTACCGGTTTAGGTACCGGGTACACCTTCAGGACCTTGTGCCGAAGTTTCCGGAAACCCTGAGACCCTCGACCCTGAACAGAAGCTAAACGAAACGCGACAAGCAAAAACACCCTACAGCCTCAGGACGCACGGCTGAGGGTTGGCTCTAAGGTCTCATAGGGTCTCGGGGTTCAGGGCGTAGGACGTTGGTAGCTCGAAACCCTAAGCCCTGAGCCCTAAAATCCGAAGCCCAGACAAAACCCCACCTTCGTTTAACCAGGCCAACACAAGGAAATCGAAACACGGAACCCCAAAACTTAGTCGCTGAGTTCATAAGCCCCAAAAAGTCTACACTTTCACTTTGATCTAGATTTATAGTGCTTAGTATAATCCCAAAAAGTGTATATAAACTGTATCCACCCAGCTACTAAGAAAACTGTAGGTTTCTTAGAGTCAAGGAAAGCCCTGAACCCTGCACCGGGCTCTGCATCCCAACTCTGAAATATGTGCTTGCCAGAGAGCTACAGTACCGCCTTGTACGGGCTTCACCAACTAGAGCTACGGCAGAGCCGTACGAAGGAACCCTGAGGAGCAGTATCACTCATTTCTCAGCCTTCTGTAGTACCGCAGGGCAACCCTAAACCCTAAACCCTAAACCCTAAACCCTAAACCCTAAACCCTAAACCCTAAGCCTTAAACCCTAAGCCCCAGGCCCTGAAACTCTTAAGCCCCAAACCCTAAACCTTAAACCCTAAGCCCCAAACCCTGAACCTTAAACCCCAAACCCCGAACCCTAAACCCCAAACCCTGAACCAAGCCAAGGTTCATCTTCCGGAAGATCGGATGGCTCGGAAGGATCTGGCAGCTTGAGAGCCCTAAATCCTATCTTAAAAACCAGAAGAAATTGTAGTAATACTACTGTTGATGGTATAAACCCTGCATTATCCATAGCAAGGAATATACCATGATTCCCATAGTTTAGGGCCCTTCAGGTCATGCAGGATTTATACCATCAACCGTACTAATGATAACCTTATGTTCTTGAAGGACTCGTGCTTGTGGTCTGTATGCAGAGTTTAGGGTGAGGGCTCCGCGTTGGGGGCTTAGGGTTTTGTTGCAGGGTCCAGGGTTTACCTACAGCCTCGTTTTTGGGACCTTAACTATAAGATTGGCTTAACCCCAAAAGGAACTACAATGGAGACTACAGGTAAAACTTCGGGGCGTGGGTTTTAGGGTTGCTTCGGGTTTGACGGTATAATCAGGATGTAGGGGTGTAGGGCTTAGGGTTCAGAATTTTGGCGCTTGAGACAGCTTCGGGTGTAAGAGTGCTGGATGTGGGGTTCGCTTGTTTTGGCTCAGGGTGTGCGAAGGCTTTGGGTTTCTGGCTTTCGGGGTTCTGGGTGGAGGTTTGGAATTTGCGTCGCTGGGTTTACGCGGTTTGGACCGCAGAGTGATGAGCACTCCAGAGCTCCTCGCGGTTCTTTTGTAGGTCCTCACCACTGGAGGAGTCCCCCCACACAAACTGGTATACCGCGAGGACAATGATTGCTGGTTCTGAATCGATACGGAGCTGAAACAGTCTCCCCGGAATGTGAACACAAGTGCGTATGGCAGGGGCGGAGGCCAGGGATTTATCGATGAGCAGGAGGATACCAGCCTTTCTGTTACTATTGCCACTGTGGATTAGGAAATGATCCTCAGTTTGCCACTCCGATTCCAGGGACCAGTGCGTTTCTTGAATGATACAAAGATGCACCGGAGAGCCCATCTCCTTGCATTGCCGGAGCCAGGTCTGGATCTCCAACAACTTGGGCGAGGAGAGACCACCCGCATTCCAGGTAACCAGTCGCCAGCGTGGCTGTCTGGAGTAAGTGCAGGTGGTTTGTGACTGGGGACGAGGGCCAGTGGAAGATGTGGCAGAGGGGGGGCTTTGTGCATAGGGTGTCGGTCGTAACATCCTCAGCGGCTTAGGGCTTAGGGTGTCCTTCCGATTGTCTTGCAGTTTTTCAGATTCTAGACAAATTTCGCCGCCGTGTGCAGTCTATGAACCTCGCAGCCACAGAACTCCCCGAAACCCTGTAAACCCCGAAATCCTAAACCCCCCAAAGCCCCAACCCTGGAACCCTGAACACCTAAACCCCGAACCCACCAGTCCCTAAACCCACTAAAGAAAGGCAGAGCCGCCGGTGAAGCCAAAAAGGGGCGACCCTGTCGGTCTTCTACTGCCGGTTCCAATCCTTCTTCAGTTGATGATATAAATCCTGCATTACACATAATAGGGAATATAAGGCTACCTTTAAGGGGCTTTAAGGGATCCATAATAGGGTTTTAGGGTTTAGGGGTTGATGATATAAATCCTGCATTACCCATAATAGGGAATATACCATAAATCCCATAGTCTAGGGTCATCAAGGTAATGCAGGATTTATATCATCAACCGTTCTACCCAACATAAACTCCCCCCCCTAATAAGACCCTTGAAGCCCATAATGGCGCCTAGGGTTTCGGAGTTTGGGTTTAGGGTTTCGGGAAGGCCCCTTAAGCCCATGATCCAAATCATCTTTTGAATCATACCTTGGGCTAGTGCTCTAGCGAGCATGGAACTGAAATGGCTCGTGAGGAACACAGAGCCTGAGAGCCCAGCCTCTTGACGCAGTAGCTGCTCGACAGTGTACCTGGGCTGGAAAAGCGAATCATCACAACAATAGAACCCCGAAAGGGAACCTAAAGACAAACCCTTCAAGGTAATATCCCTGTACAATGGGGTAAGTTGTAAGGCCGTACTATATTTGAATCAAGACCCTTACGGAACGACATTGGTGAATAGTCTGACCCCTATGCTACGCAATAGTTCTATAGTCTGACTTCCAAAGGGACACCTAGAGTTTAAGAGGCATTGCGTTTGGAGATTTCTGTGTGTAGGGTTTAGTATTCTTGGCACTTAGGTTCTAGGGTCCAGGGTTTCGAGGGGGAGTAGGGCACGGTTTTCGCTCAGGGATGAAGGTGTAGGGCTCTGCCTACTTGCTGAGCCCTGCCGGCCCCAAGAAAAAGCTCTGATCGTAAGACTTACCGGCGAAACGGGGCCCACTCAACCACTGTGAAACCCCAAACCCTGACCTGTAAAACTCTAAGCTTGAGCCTTGTCGGTGCCTGTCCCGGCCTTGTAGTGCCCCAGGGCTTCAAGTTTAGAGTTGAGGGTTTAGGGCTTTCAGTTGAACGTTTAGGGGTTTCGAGTTTGGAGCTTAGGTTGTAGGGTTTAGTAGTTTAGTGCCTTTTTGGCTGAGGGCTTAAGCATCAGAGTTTAAGGTTTGGGGTCTAGAATTTAGGGTTTCCACCTGAAACCAAGTCCTAGTAAGCCTTGGGGTCTTGAGACCTACTTTCCCTGGTTTAACATTAACTGCAGGTAATGAGGTAATGCAACAACGGGGCCTTGGTGTACGGCCTGAATCAGATTGGATTTGGGGATTCATGAAAGCACTTGCCTGAAACATGATTGCGCCAAGCGTCTATAGCAAGCCCGAGGCGTATTAATCAGGGGTCTGCATTACCCTTCGTCCGAGTACCCAGGTTTAGCCATGTAGGTTCAACACTCGGAAACTCCATCAAAAACAGGCAAACGTATGAAAATTGGGGTCCCTTTTTGAATACCCTAAATATTAGGTTCCGTATTATATTCAGGACCCAAGCAGGGACCACAATTTTGACAACCACCCATGTGACTGGGAGGGCCGGGAGCCCGGCAGCCCGTGCCAAAACTGCCAAAGGAGCCCTCCAATTTCCAAGGGCAGACTCGGAAAGGGTTTAGGGTCTACTTGGAGGGGCAGGTGACTTAGTAAGTAGATTATAAGCATTGTTATAAGTACCCTAAATGGAGTTACCCCAATTAAAACCCTACTTACTAAGTCCCCTGCCCCTCCAAGTAGGGTTTAGGGTTTATGTTTAGGGACTCCCCCACAAAGGAACCCGTAACGGAACCCGTAAAGTCCCAAAGTAAGCTTCAAAGGAACCTTGAAAATGCTCTGTTTGCCAGAAAGACGCTCCAACGGTCTCCCACACTGGAAACAGTCCTTCATGGAATCCTGTTTGAAAGGGGTTTAGGGTTCCGGATTTAGGGTTTAAGCTGTGTCAAGGGCTTTCGGGTTTGCGGCTGTGGATCTTGGCTGTGGATCTTAGGATTTAGGGTTTAGCATGGTCAAAGAAGGAAGCGAGTTTCAAGAGGTCCCTTCAGGAACAGTCCTTGTTCCAGGGATCACGGACGGACTTTGAAAAGGAATATCCGTTCAGGGCCGGTTTAGGGTTTAGGGTCCATATAGGGGCCCTTTGAAAAGCCCGTGCCAGCTCTGACCGTACCTGAAACAACCCAGTAGCTACACTTTCACCTCCTCCGTGCTCATTTGAGGATAAACAGAAGATTCCCCTGTAAGCATTGTTATGGTGACATGTTTGGCCCTGCATTTCTCTTGCGAGACCCTGAAAAAAGAACTAGGCAAACCTGTGAGTTTGCGGTTTTGAGTGTTGCACAGTTGCGGTTCGGGCACCTTTGACTGTAAGTATCCGGGGGCGATAAGTGGACGCTACAATGGATTATTTAGGCCCAACGAAAGCTAAAGCGACTCATTCCGCGGAGCAAACATTAAACCCCAATAAACCCTGACACCTGCTTGGAGGGGCAGGGGACTTAGTCAGTAGGGTTAAAAGTAGGGTTATAATTGAGGTAACTCCACTTAGGGTACTTATAACTCTAATTGTAAACTACTTACTAAGTCCCCTGCCCCTCCAAGTGAACCCTACACCATGCGGAGTGTTCACTCTGTGAAGACTCCCCGCAAAACAGAACGTCGGTGCTCGGACCACAAACTCTTAGAGGAATGCTAGGGAATCAATCTCAGAATAGCGTTTTGTGGTAGATTATACGCCGATAATACTAAATGAATTTAAGGCCCCTATACTGTGAGTCCTACTTTGTAAAAAATCCCTGCCTTAGTCCAAAAGAACCCACATTCTGTGTGTGTTGGGGGACTTGCTTTGCTCAGAGATCTCTCTAAAAGAAACCATTGAGCAAAATAAGCAGGATGTGCAAAACATGCCGAGATTCTGAAGTTTAAAAAAGGCCATTGAAACCCTAAACCGTCAACTCACTGAATCCCATGCTTTGAAACGGAGGCGACGGGAGGCTTGCATTCGCGAGGATTTATGCTTTAAAGTTCTACAGTATTAGGGTTTTGGGTTTAGGGTGCTAAACCCTGAACCCCTAAACCCCAAAACCCCAAACCCCTAAACCCGAAACCTCCAAACCCTAAACCCGAAAGGTGAGCAGATGCCAGACCCGGAATTGCGGGGAGCCCAACGCCCCCGCTTGTTTCCCCATAATCCCAGGAGTTTAGGGTTTAGGTCCGAGGGTCCAGACATTTAGCTAGGGTTTAGGGTTTAGGGTTTAGGGTTGAGGGTCCCGATACTTAGCTTGTATTTGGGTTTTGGGTTTTGGGTTTAGGGATTTAAGGGCTTAGGGGTTTAGGGCCCCGTTGACACCCAAAGACAGCCTGAGAGAAGAGGACCTCGGATGCGAGAACTTCGCGAACTTGGTTCGCCTCGCTTCCTTTCTCCTTGCCAGACGGGCTGGGGACTCATACGGGAGTTTCCGAAAATAGGGGACCCGAAATATTAGGTGCCGTACTATAACACGGACCCAAAAAGGGACCATAATTTTGACAACCACTCGTTTCCGGAAATAGGGGACCCTAATACCGCACCCTAAATAGTAGGATCCACATTCTAAGGACCCCAAAATAACGTACCCCTTGTTTTCGGTAACTCCCATATGGGCTTTAGAGGAGGAGCTCTGAGGTTAGACTTGAAGTGTGAGAGCAAGGGTCCTTTATTTGGAAAGCTGGCTTAACCCCAAACCGCAAAACCCTGAACCTTGGGGCCTAAGGCGTAGGGTTCACGGATGAGCGTTGAGGACCCTAGCTCAGGTAAACAATGGTTTCATGTTCGGAGATCCCCTAGGAAAGCAATCACAGACCAAGGGAGCAAAAACGCAGGGAATAACAAGAACCATAACAAGAAGAACAACCAAGGAGAAAAAATTGCTACAGATCTATATATATATATATACAAACCCCAGAGCCGTAAAACTGTACTGTTTGAAAGTGCTGGGTGCGCGGGCCAATCCCCTAAACCCTAAACCCTGCACGGCAAACCAAAAAGTCATAACCCTAAACCCGAAACCCCTAAACCCCAAGACCCTAAACCCTAAAACCCCTAAACCCTAAACCCCTAAAACCTGCACGGCAGACCAAAAACCCAGAACCCTAAAACCGAAACCCAAGCTTCGCATCCTCTAGGCTCGCTTCGACTGAAACATCCCTGAACTGAGGTTCTCGGGTTTGGGGCTTATATACCTGACCTACCGTTTTAGGGTTCCTTATTATGGGTTCTACATATAGTTCCTTCAAAAGATCGGTCCTTTCGGCTGCAGGTAGGGTTTAGGGGTTTAGTGTGCAGGGTTTAGAGAAAGGGAGGGTTATGTTACATTAGTTGTCCCCTTGTGCTCCTTTGCTAAGCGACGCCCTGAGCTTGCGCATCATCACACCTGTAGGACCGGCGCAGCTTGGCTGCGTTGTTCCGTGCGAACTTGCCTATGCCACGGGAGCGCCTGCCAAACCTGCCAATGCCACGGGAGCGCTTCACCTTGTCGCTGGCAGCCACGCGGAAGTATGTCAGGTCACTTTGCTTACTTAAAGGATCATGGGACCTAGTAATGAGGGTTATAAGTAAGGTAACTACACTTAATAGTATTACTTATAACCTCAAAAAGGTACTTCTAACCCTACTTACTAAGTCCCATGATCCTGCAAGTATGGCCCTTAAGGAACTCAGCGCGATCCAGCCACTTTCCGCCGTCTTGGCTGAGGGCAAACCTCTCAGCTGCAGCAGGCCCGCTTCTGGGTCACCAAACCCTGCGCCGTTGTCGCTGCAAGGTCAACCCTACTGAAAACTTAGTTGCCGAGTTCATAAGCCCCCCAGAAGTGCACACTTTCAGTTTTAGAGTGGGTAATACTAGCCCAAAATTCAAAGAGTGTAAAGTGTATCCACTCAGCTACTAAGAAAACCCCCCCGTGAGCCCCAGTTGAAGAGCCATAAAAAAAAACTATAACAAGCGCCCGAGAGCTCAAGAACGGCCATGACGCAAGAGGAGGGGGCCTTAGTGATTAGAATAGGGTTCCCTTTAAAGGGCTCCTTTTAAATGGGTCCAAAAGGGCCATTGTAAGATATAGTAATTATAAGATATTATATTATAGGGACCTTAATGATTAGAATAGGGTTTTGGGACCCATTATACTATGATTTAATAAGAAACCCCCACAGTAGTATAGGGGGAACTTTTGACCATGGAAGCAACCATCCAGGAAGACGGTGATCGACCAACCCAAAGTAGCATAGGTAACTATACCAATTATTAAGGCCCCTCTATGAACAAAGCATCTCCTTCTTGATGCGAAACTTGGGCGCCACTGACTCGATAGACTGGCCCCTCGGTGCTTGAGGGCTTTAGGGTCTGGCGTAATATAGGGGCCTTTACAATTAGATGAGGATTTGGGGTGTATTGTGTACTACAACTATGAGAATGAACCCCAAGGAATAGCGGCACTACTTAATCAGGCTTCTATGTTAGGAGTAGTTTTGTGACTGCGGAACTAACCTATGGAGAGGTTCTTTAGGGACTATCGCCTACAGTTACTGAATTATGAGGGCATATGGGATTGGGTTTAGTGTCTAGGGTTTAAGAGCTATAGCCTATAGCTATAGTTAGAGTTATTGATTTCTGAGAACGGCGTTTTCGGGTGAGTTTAGTGTCTAGGTTCAGGGACTATAGCATGTGGTGATGTTTGGGAATTCTGAGAAACTGTATGCTTGTTATTCAGGCTACTGGGGTGAACGCATCGGGTGAATGTCTATTTGCTAGATTGCTGGATTGGGTGCCCTGCTTAGATTATACCTACGGCGTGGACAGAAACTGGGAGCTAGCTTAGGGTTGAGGCTCAGCATTAGGAGTAAGGAGCTAGTGGCCGAGTTCAGGGTAGCACACGCAGTCGTGAGTATTCAATCGGGTGCATCTCGAAACCGCGACGAAGCCCCAGTTAAAAGCCCCTGAAACCCGAAAGCCTAAGCCTTAACCCTAAACCCGAAACCCTAAACCCTGAAACCCTAAACACGCACACCTCAAATTCACAAATCAGGGCTGAGGATTTCGGGTTCACAGTAGAGAGTTCAGGGTTTGGGACTATGCTATACGGGCCTGAATAATTACCGCCTCCATGCCTCAGCATTCCGGACTACAAGTGTAGTAGACTATGCCCAAAAGCCTCAAAGTCGTAGTAAACATTATAGACCGCTTTCAAGATCATCTCAGGGTCCCTAGTGGTAGACTATGCCCAAAAACCTCAGAGTCGTAGTAAACATCATAGACCGCTCTAAAGACCATGTCAGGGTCCCTCTTTTACTTGGGAGTTTCAAAAAATTATGGGTACCTTGGGGTCTTTATAAGAAGGATCCTACTATTTAGGGTTCTATATTAGGGTCCCCTATTTTCGGAAACTCCCTTAAACCCTAAACCCTAAACCCTTTATAGAATTATGGAACCCTTATAGATCCCTTTAAGGAACCCTTTAAAGGAACCCTTATAGGGTCCCCTCTTTGCGGAAACTCCCACTTGAAACCTCGCGTCTTCGCGAAGGTCTTCGTGGACCACATCAACAGAGCTCGCACAAATTAGGGTTTAGGGTTTAGGGTTTAGGGTTTAGGGTTTAGGGTTTAGGGTTTAGGGTTTAGGGTTTCAAAGGGCCCACACCCTGTAATCGTGACTACAAGGATTATATATAGGGCCCTACTATGTTCCTATTTATACCCACTACTACAGGGTGGGGGGCCCCTTCTAAGGTTTAGGGTTTAGGGTTAGGAATTTGGGGTTCAGGGGTTTACCCTAAACCCGAATAGCTCAAAAATCCTCATGGACCTCAGTCAAAAGCCTTCGCGGACTAGAGGTCTACTGAAAGGATCATGGGACTTAGGAACTAGGGTTCTTTAAAGGGCTCCTTAAACGGGATCCATAAGGATTTTTTTTCTGGGATCTTGTTAAGGGACTTGATTCAAGGTACCATTCTAGATCCCTATCAAAGCCCACGAAAACAACGTAAACACCGACATGGTCGGCGTCTGCGCGCGGCGCGCATGAAAAGAGCGCTCTGCGACCCTTAACAAGAACCCAGAGACTCCAATATCCCTTAATCAGGGAATATTCCTTAAATCATCGTATCCTACTATAATTTAAGGAATATTCCTTAATTAAGGGATATTGGAGTCTCTGGGAGAACCCAGCTTGGCAGCTTTTCACCTTGGGGATCTGAGGTCTAGGATAACCGTAAACCCCAAACCCTAAACCCTGAACCCTAAACCCCTAAACCCCTAAACCCTAAACCCTAAACCCCTAAACCCTAAACCAAAAAAAACCCAAAACCCCAAAACCCAAAACCCTAAACCCTAAACCTTCGGGATCTGAGGTCTGGGATCTTCTGGGTTTCAGGGAAGCCCCTTATGCTGGGGCCCCTGACTGGGTTCTGGGTGAGGAGTTTAGTTTAGGTTACAACAGTAGGAAATCTATGAATAACAAAAGCATGGTTGTTCTACTGACATATAGTAGCTAAAACTCCCCGTTCTAGCAATCAAGATCTGTAGTTCAATGCTAACCAAGAGCCCAGTTTAGGGCATACTTTCTTCTTCAATAACCGGGCCCGAAAAAAAGGTTGGACAAACATACGGCCAAGATGTTCTCAGCCCTAAACCCTAAGCCCTAAAACACTAAACCCTAAACCCCTAAAGCCTCATCTGAGTTCTCCCAATGGCTATCCGGAAGTTTCCGAAAATAGGGGACCCTAATATGGTACCCTAAATAGTAGGATCCTTAGTATAAGGACCCCTAAGTACGGTACCCCTAATTTTCGGAAACTCTAAACCCTAAACCCTTTATAGAACCCTTATAGATCCCTCTAAGGTAACCCTTATAGATCCTTTTAAGGTAACCCTTATAGATCCCTTTAAGGCACCCCTGATTTTCGGAAACTCCCATCTGAACTTCGGGTCGCTGAGGGCTCGGCCGGCGTCTGGCGGCTGCACGCGCCTGGGGCACGCAGTCCCAGAGAGCCCAATACCCCTTAATTAAGGAATATACCTTAAAATATAATAGGATCCCTAATATGATTTAATGAGTATCCCGTAATTAGGGGATATTGGGCTCTCTAGGGTGACCGGGCTTGCTTAAAGGATCATGGGATAATGGGAAGATAAGGTGTTAGGGGTTTGGGTGTTTAGGGTTCAAGGGTTCAAGGGTTTTAGGGTTTTAGGGCTTAGGGTTTAGGGGTTCAGGGCTTGAAGTTTGGGTTTAGGGTTTAGGGCTTTTGGGAGGGCTTAGTGCCTAGACGGATCACTGGACTTCATAACTTGAACGGCTCCTTCAAGGGGCTGCCCCTCATAGGGTTGTAGATGGGATCTGTAAGGGTTTGCGGCTTTGGCATTAATGGGACTTCATACCTAGCGACAGCATCTAGGCATCTATGCTCATAATGACTCAAAAAACCCTAAACCCTCAATCAAGGTACGTATACTCGAGTTGCGTGGATCGATCTCAAGTTTTACCGTAGATTTCGGGGGCCTGGGCCGTAAATGCAAACCCCAATCCCGCAACCTTGAGCCCTGCAACATTAGACCCCGAACCCCAGTTCCTTTGGTTGCTGAGTGCATAAGCCCCCGAAAAGTATACACTTTCAGTTTTGTCGTGGGTAATACTATCTCAAAAGGTGTACAGTGTATCCACTCAGCTACTCAGTTCCTGACACCCTAAAAGAAATCGACCCGAACCGCAAAATGATGAGAGTTCAGGTCACCACTTTCGGGCTCTGGTTGCTGGTTTTATCAGATGAGGGTGGCCGCGACTTTTTCGAGGGAAGACTTAAGAGAGTTTAGGATTTAGGGTTGAAGGGTTTAGGGCCACGCGCAACGTAGCCTCAAAGTGGATTTTGGCCTCGTCGCTGAGTTGTCCTCGATCTTGACAAGGTTCGTCTTTCTTCTCGTTCCCGTAGGTAACTTTCCGGAAAAGTCGTGCTCTCCTACTTGGAGGATCATGGGACTTAGTAAGTAGGGTTATAAGTACCTTACTTGGGGTTATAAGTAATTCTACGTGCAGATACCCTACTTATAACCCCAATTACTAAGTCCCATGATCCTTTAAGCACCCAATATTGGCCAGCGTCGCCTCGTGGCGGTAGTGGCCATGGCAGTGGGGAAGATTTGCTTGCCTACTTGAAGGATCTTGGAACTTAGTAACTAAGGTCATACGTACGTAAGGTAACTACAATTATAATTACCTACAACCCCAAATTAAGGTACTTAAATGCCTACTTACTAAGTCCCATGATCCTCCAAGTATATCACCACAACTTCACCGCCTCCACTATCATCTCGGCCAGCTTTTCTACCTCGCTTCCGGTTGCCCTGCCCGAAACTAACAAGGATCTTCCGTCATGCGCAAAGCCGACTTACCTTTGGTTAATCGGGAATGGAAGAATGGTATAGTAATAGCAGTTACAATTGTACCCCATTCCTCCATTCCCTTCTAACCAAAGGTAAGTGGCTGGCTGGGCTGGAGGCCTGCTGCTGGCTAGGCTGGGGCTGGGCTCAGGCTGGGGTCCGGGACAGAGGATTTTGCCTTTTTGCTTTTCAGTTTTGAATCTGGGGGAGGCTGGGCTGGAGGCTGGGCGTTGGGGGCTCACTTTGTTAAAACTCGAAACAAATGAAAATGCAACTCGAAGCGAAAATTACACAACTTCTATGTACCCTGCTCTTGAGAGTTTAGGGTGGGGTGTAGATTTTAGGATTTTTTGTTTAAGAGTTTAGGGTTTAGGGTTTAGGGTTTAGGATTTAAGAAGCCAGGGTCTGAAGAGTGGTCATCCTGGTCCCCAAGCCTTGAATTACAAAGCCTACTTGGAGGATCATGGGACTTAGTAAGTAAGGCAACTGTAGTTCTAACTACTTATAAACCCAAGTAGGATACTTATAACCTTACTTACTAAGTCCCATGATCCTTTAAGTATGGAACCATACTGACACCCTGCCTCGAAAAGTCCTTCACTGGCCCCCTAAACCCTCCAAACAGCCCTATACAAGCTCCGTCTCTCCTGGCCTTGGAACCGGCCCCCCCTCTGTTGGCTTTCTTCTTCTTCGGCGGCGGCGGCGGATATGGAGGCTCCTGGCGCGTTTTCGGCTTTGGGGCGTGCTGGGTTTAGGGCTTGTTTTGCAATAAAGGCCCGTGGGGTTCTGGTTGAGGGAGGGTTTAGGGTTTAGGGCCCTTCAGGGTTCTCTAAGGAACTCATATGCTGACTTTAAACTTTAAGCCCTAATCACGAAATCCCTAATCACCAAATCCGGAATCCCTCATGCCCGAAGCCTCAATCCCAATCCTAACCCCAAACCCTGAACCCTAATTAAGTTTGAAGGGTAGGGCTTTAGGCGTTGGGGCTCGGATAGCAGACGGCACCAAGTCAGATCAACAAGAGGACTTCTTTTCCCTCGTCGAATGCATTAGGCACGCGAGTCACAGTAAGCTGCCCAAGAAGATAGGTTGTAAGTAGAACAAGGAATCCTGGTAGCCTCTCCGGCTTCTAATCTATATTACCAATGTATAAGGCTGACCCATGGCTGCGGATAAGATTTAGGGTTTTGAGTTTGAGGGTCTGAGGTTTAAGTTGAGAGCAGTTGCAGGGGTATGCACGGAGAATAGCCGAGCAGAGCGAGCAGCAGGGTGGTCATCTGACGGTCGGGGGTCAAGGCGGCTTGAAAGACTAGCAATGATAAGTTGATGTGGCGGCCCCTGATGTAGGGTTTGGGGCTCCCTGCCATACCTACCCGTGGAAAGAAAGAGCGACTGAGGATCAACAGTGCAGCCCAACTGGGGGCCATGCTATTTAAGGGCATTGGGGTAGTTTGAGCTTGAGGACGTCACTTGCAACTGCCCTAAACCCTAAACCCTAAACCATTAAACCCTAAGCGCCTAAACCCCTAAACCCTAAACCCCTAAACCCCTAAATTACCCTAAACCCTAAACCCCTAAACCCATAACCCTGAACCCCCAACAATCCATGAACTTTACCTGTGGGGCCTGTGGTTGCAACGTTCCGGTCGACTCCGTTGGACTTACGACGCTTGTGCCTGCGCAGCTCAATTGGGATTTAGCGGTTTGGGGGTTTAGGGGTTTGGGCTTTGGGGATTTAGGGGTTTGGGGGGTTTGGGGGGTTAGGGGTTTAGGGTTTAGGGGTTTGGGGTTTGGGGTTTGGGTTTAGGGTTTAGGGGTTGAGGGTTTAGAGTTTAGGGGTTTAAGGTTTAGGGTTTGGGGTTTTGGCTATGCGGTTTCTATAGGGTAGCATTGCTACGCTGGTTGCTTTCCCTGTTGCTTTCTTCGTTGCCAATTGATGCCTTCCCTTACTCAGGCACATGGCTATCATCAGAGGGGTCGTCCTCCCTAGTCAGTTTTAGTACATGGTTCACATCACTCCAGCATTGCCTCTCTCAGAGTTTACGGTTACAGCCGGTATCAGCATCTAATCCCGATTTATTAACCGTGTACCATCATCAGCAGAATTGTCGGCATCATTGGACTTAATGTTGCGTTTATTCATACCACCCATTGACCCGTTGTCACTGCTCTGGGCAACAGCTTTGTCTCTATGCGAACATAGCTACCAATTAGTAGCATTGATACATTACTTCTATCTCGCAACTCATACCTCTCGGCTAAAAGAAGCTTCATGACTACAAGGACTACACCTGCTTCGCATCTTCTTGTGCATCAGGACCCTGGTGAACATCCAATACTACAGTATTGGTGTAGCTATGGAGTGCTACTGTCGCTGCAACCAATACTGTCATTGCCACAAAAATGGCCTTAACGTTTACCGGCTGGCCCTGCAATTCCCAGTCATACTGCCTAGGCCCGCGACCAAAAACGCCACATTCAAGAGGGTTCGAAACACGATAAACAAATTCGTAAACCCTTCAATGGAGGTTGTAGGCTCTTGGCCGTAGGCTCAGGATTTAAGGTGTAGTGGCATGGCTCTGGCCCAAACCTCTATGTCGCACCCCTACATTACAAGTACCTGAGCAAAAACGGGTCTGCAAACCGATGCAAACCTGGTGACGGCGGTGGAGGATTGCGTCGGAGCCGACTTACCACGGACTGCTGGCCTGTCGGCCGACAAACTTGAAGGTTCAGGCACTGCTAGAAGCAGGGTTGTAAGTAAAGCTTGATGACCTGTCACATCTATTCGGAGAGTGGTGTGGTGGCTAAGGGTGGCTTAGCGCTTGATGGGCAGTTGTGAAGCAAGGCTGGATGTGCCCGATTTTGGTATCTAACTAAGTGCAGTCGCAGTGGACATCCGGATGCCCCGAACTTCTTGAGTAAGTTAGAAGCCTAACTTTTCCTAGGGTTTCAAACAAGCACAACGATAATATTCCCGCGAACCTTATATTATATTATATTATATTATATTATATTATATGATATTATATTATACTATATTATATTATATTATAATATATTATACTATATTATATTATTTTATGTTATATTATATTATATTATAATATATTATACTATATTATATTATATTATATTATATTATGTTATGTTATGTTATATTATATTATATTATATTATATTATGTTATGTTATATTATATTATATTATATTATATTATATATTAAAACCTTATGTATTATAGTACCCTCGTCAGCCGTTCCTTAAATGCTGAACCTCTACCCCCTGCCCATCTCGGAATTCCTCCAGCCCCGCCTTGTCAATCCACAAGAACCCGCACAGTGTAAGGACTTGGGCAGTTCTCCAAATTAGGGTCCCTTTTGGGGTTTTCTTTCATAAGGGTGCCGTACTATGTTGTGGACCTAAGAAGAGACCTAATTTAGAAGTCATAAACTGGGTTGTAGTTTTGGGGCTCTGAAAAGTATCTATTTATGAATAGGTACCTCTATAGGAACCATAAGGGAAATTAAAAAGTTTACAAATTGCCACCTAGTAAACCCATGTACCCTCAATCCTAAACCCGAACAGGTTGAGGACGTCGAGTTTAGTGCTTCGGGGTTTGCGGCGTCAGGGCTTAGGGCTTAGCGAGGGGTTTAAAATAGGGGCCTTAATAATGAGAAGGGGCCCCTGAAACCATAATCATAATAAGGAGCCCCCAAAATACTATAGGTAATTATTTAAGGCCCCCTGTAGTCGAGCTTACGACCTCGGTGTCGGATTGCCAGTCGTCTTGCTATCGCCCCTGGGGAGATTGAGTTTCTGGGGTCGACGGTTTAGGGTTGAGGGGTCTATAGGGGTTGATACAAGCGGTCCGAAATGGGCAGCTAATCATCTCCAGCTACGGGCCTGGAAAACAGGGATTAACTAGTGTTTCAGGTTTAGGTTTAGGATAAATCTAAGCTCTAAACTCTAAAGCTTAGATTATATAACCCTAGACCCTAACCCTAGACCCTAAACCAACAGGACATCATGTCGGTAGTCTTGTCAAAGCACAAAGCCAGGGACCGTTTGCAGCCCCAACGTCCTGAGAAAGTGCTTGAGGTGGCCGATGCTGGATGCTGTCTGCAGCATCGATTGATCGAAAGAAGCGGCCGCCGGAATTTCGAAGCCAGAGGCACGGGATCCAGAGAAGTCACAAACTGAACTTGGGCAGAACTGCAGGCGACAGATGTGAGTCATGCACTCCTGCATTCAGGCATGTGCTGCCGCCGCTCAGGGCATCCAGGCCGACAAGTGCCGCCACTGCGGCATGGAAGTCTTCTAGGATACCCAGTAACCTAAGAATAAAAAGGCCTCTCTTTTTGGTATTGGGTAACTTTATAAGGAACCTAGGACTACAAAAAGGGAATAAGGGTACTACTGGGCATCCTAGTTATTCAAAGCGCCAAGCCTGGCCTATGTGTAAATCCAGAATACTTCCACGAACCTTGATGTTTGCGTTTGAGCGTTTTGGGATTGGCTTGGGGGGTTTTAGGGTTTGGGGGTTGGGGATTCAGGGCTTGGGGCTTCGAGATTTTCAAAGCTTACTGCAAGGAGCTTCAAAGCATTTAGACGTCAGAGTCTGGGGCGTTAGGGATTCTCGTGGTTTAGGGTTTAGGAAGAGGGTTTAGGGTCTGGGGTTTGGGGTTTAGGGTTTAGGGTTCAGGGTTCAAGGCTTTGGCTTAGGGTTTAGGGGTTAGGAGTTAGGGCTTAGGGCTTCCGGGGGGAGCTCCAGGCTCCGGCATCGAACTCAGGATGTGGACCTGCGAGTTTTTGCAGGACTGGGGGCCGGAAGGACCCAGAGAGCCCCATACCCCTCAATTAGGGAATATGGCTGAAATCATAATACGAAGACCCGAATGATTTAAGGCATGCTCCTTAATTAATTAAGGAGTATGGGGCTCTCTGGGGAAGGGTTTGAGCACGCGATTCCAAAAAGCCTGCTTTCGAAAGCCGCTGGTCGTTCGAATCGAGTAGCGCCCTGAACTCGTAGCCGTAAGAAGCCGAAAACAGACACAGCTCTGGGAGACTTGGTAAATAAGAGTTTTGCGAGATCGTCATTCATATTAACAATGTCCCAAAACCTTCATGCCGACGTCCGAGAAAGGACTGTTTGGGGTTTTCTCAGTTGCGGCGCTGAGGAAACCAACGCTAAACCCTAACCCTAAACCCTACTCTCAAAAAGAGCCTTTCAGGAAGCTGCCCTTGCGCGACTGGGGGGTACCTGTCGGCTGCAACGGGTTTGTGGTAGACGGTCCAAGGGTTGGCCTTACGTGTCGATCCGGTCTGGGAGAAGTGCGTTCTAGCTCTTCTTTGGCATGGGGGTAACCCTAAACCCTAAACCCTAAAACCTAAACCCTAAACCTTAAACCCGAGGGTTTAGAGTTTACCGTCATTGCTCTAGGCAGTAGGTTAGGCTTATGGGCGTAGGGTCCAAGGTTATGGGCTTAGGGTTTCAGACTTAGGGCTTACTTAGAGGATCATGGGACTTAGTAAGTGGGGTTATCAGTAAGGTAACTACTGTTGTAATTACTTATAACCACAATTAAGGTACTTATAACTCTACTTACTAAGTCCCACGACCCTCCAAGTGGGGTTATGGATTGTAAAGTTTGGTGTTTAGCGTCAAGGGCGAGCACCAACATCCAGTTCACCCTGCTCAAGCACGCTTCAGGATTCAAGGTAAGCCAGATGACGGCGACGACATGGGGACGAATGAACTGTGGATTGCCCATACAAGTTCCCACCCCTTCACCCTAAACCCTCAACCCTACACCCCAAAAAACCCTAAAACCCTAAACCCGAAACCCCAAACCAAGTGACACGTTTGGCTCATGTGCAAATGCATGTTTCAATGCATCTAAGCCCCATATACCTCTGTAAACGTATCATGCTCACATGATCGCTTGTAGATCTTGCCCTGCGCTTTCTGCTTGGCAATGAAGTTCAGGTAGGCCTGCCTTCCTCTGAACCGTCGCCCCGTGAAATTGGGGTTCTTGCAGCCCGAGCAACCCAGCGGGTTGCCACAGCAACGGGCGCAGCGTAAATCCTAAACCCAGGAAGACCGTCTGCACGATCAGGCTTAGGGGTAGCCGCTGCGTTCTTGGAGTCGGCTGCCTTGCAGACAGGCTTCTTCATGACACACTTGGGTTTGGCTATAATGCCCGGGCCTTAATACTTAAAATAGGGTTTCGGGGCCCATTTACTAGAATGATAATAAGGAGCCCCCAAAATAGTCTAGGTAATTCTTAAGGCCCCTATGTGACCCCGGCTTGCCGGGAGGCTTGTCCTTCCTGTTGTGGCTGAGCTGCTGGAAAGCTTCCTGCGCATAGGTTTCCAAATCGCCATTCGCACCCGGCATGGGCTTTGGGCTTTAGGGTTTAGGGTTGAGGGTTTAAAAGGTTTTTTTTAAGGGTTAGGGGTTTAGGGCTTAGGGTACCTGCCCTGGCAGAACACCAGTTTGCCAATGCACCTTCAAATTCTTTCGGCGTCTGATCAAGGCAACTGTAGGGAACGGCCGCTCGCAGAGCCTTCACACTTGACATCTGCAAGTGACACTTCACCGCAAGGCCTCATCGCAAAAACCTAAGTCCCGGAAAATCACTTCCCTCGTGTTTTCACGTGTACGACCCTTATAACAAGCCCTTATGAAGCCCGGAACCCGCATGAAGCTCTTATGAGAAGTAACTGCAGCAAATCTCAAACCCTAAACCCCTAAACCCAAACCCTGCCTGGACCCCCCAACTACCCCTTGTTGTAGCCCCTAATTGCCTCCCAATGCGAAAGATCAGAACCTTCAACGGGCACTTGGGGCTCCTGGTAAGCCCACACCCCCAGATCCTAAACCAGGCCGCGCACCGGAAGCAAGCGGCACCTGCATGGTCGAGCCCGGCTTGCGTTTGGTTTTCTTTTCTTTTTCTTTGTTTTCTGGGTTCAAGGTTTTACCCTAAACCCTAATGTAGGGTTTTGTTTCAGGGCTTTCGGTTTACGGTTCGTTTAAGGGTGCAGGGTTTAAGGTAGGGTGCTTGTTTCAAGGCTTTTTTGGTGGGCTACGGGTTTAGGGCCTAGGGTTTGCTTGAGGCATTAAAGTTTAGAATGTGCTTTTGATTTTGGTGGTTTAGTGTCTCCGTCGTTGGGGGTTGCGGCCCAGGACGCGGCGTTTAGAGCCTCGAGGGGGGGTGCGTTTAGGGCTGAAGGGCGGTATGGTCTGAATTTAGGGTCGAGGGGCTCAGGATCTCCATGTTCTAGCGTTTCAAAAGTCTAGATGAGTCTCGACTAAAGGCTCTCATCTTCAGACTTTAGACCCCGCATGCGAATCCTGCACACGGAATCACTCTTTCCTCGTTGGCCCGCCGCCCCACGCATGGCTTGGCCACCGGAATCACTCTTGAGCCCGGATTCACTCTGGATTCACTCTTTAATCACTCTTTAGGCCCCCCAGGCGTGATTCCGGGCACCTGATGCGGGCCCCCGAAAGAGTGAATCCGGGCCTCCCCAAAAAAGTGAATCGATGCCGTTGACGCCGTGAAGCCGTTGATGCCGTGAGTTTTGGCTGACGCCGTTGAAGCCGTGAGTGACGCCGTTGACGTTGTTGACGCTGTGGTTGACGCCTCTGTGACGCCGTTGACGTTGTTGACGCCGTGAGTGACGCCGTTGACTCCGTTGATGCGGTACGGCCATCAATGCCGTTATTTTACTCCACCAGAAAGGCCGAATCAGGATTGCAAGAATAATCTCAGCAGCTGGAGCGATTGAAATGCCCCGCCGATGCTGAAAAGGAAGGGCTTACCTCTCACAGGGCCCTTTTCGTAAGTAAAACTCAGAGCCTTGGAGGCTTGCAAGCTGAGAATATCAAAGGCATGCCGTGCGACCATGATGCCGGATATAGGGGCAGACCTCCTGACCTTTCTGAAGCAAGGAAAACAAAATGCCCGTGGGTCCCAGGATGAGGCTGGGAACACAGGCGGGCGACGACCGGCTAGCAGATGCCAAGCCCCCCTTTCTCGCATCTATCCTCGAGGGCAAGGCTCGCAGCTTCCACTGCCCTTGAACGCATTTCTGGCCACGCCCATCACGGCCACGGCGCTGCAGCCAGATCTTAGTTTTGTCACCAAACACGAACACGCAATGCACCATGTACTTGTAGACGCTAACACCACTACAGTAAACGCAACGGCTCTCAAATTGCATTTCACCAAAGCTAAGTCTTGGGCTCACGGTGTTGGGCCTTTTCTTCGCAAACTCCTCCAGCGAATCTGCAGCGGTCCTGAGCCCTTCGCCAACTCCTCGGTTAGGATGGCGAAAAATTACTCGGCACAGCGACGCTTGACAGCAAGCGTTTCAGAAGCTCTGGCAGCGACGTTGAACAAGTCCCGGAGAACTGGCAGTTTCGTTCCCTGCAGCACCTTGCAGGGTTTAGGGTCGGGGTCGAGGGGCTTTAGGGTTTGGGGTTTAGGGTTTAGGACTTGCGTTGTTTTTAAGCACCTTTTTCCGTCTGCAGAGAGTCTCTACTCTGGAAGCCTTGGCTTGGGCATCCTGTCAGGCCACGCTACGGTTGCGGGACCCCAAAAGGCATAGACGAGCATCATTTCATTCACCCTTTCATACGCTCAGGTACTCGAGGTCGATCAGGTTAACTTCATACACGGATCTCTGCGCCATTCTTCGTCCGAAGTCCCTAACCCCTCGAAGGCCTTGTCAAGCATCCGCTCGGAGTTGCTGCGACGAAGTCCCACCTGTTCCTCTTCCTCTCCAATGTCGACCCCATCTCCATCAAGCACGCTACGGTTTTGGGTTTAGGGTTTGGGGTTTAGAGTTTAGGGTTTGGGGTTTAGGGTTTAGGGTTGGCCAGCAATTCGAAGCAACACATCTTCAGCCCTTTAGGTCTTGAGTAACTCGAGGCTTATAGTAAACCTCAGAAAGTTGGAGAACGGATTAAGGACAAATAGTGCTGGAATTCTCCATACATAATTTCTAAGTTGAGGCTATTGGGTTTCCAACTTTTGGGCTTCTACTGTAGGGATTAGGGTTTAAGCATTTTGGGGACTGGCTCTCCTCAAGGCATACTGCAATACGTGGGCGCACCCATGACAGTAACAATAATGTCAAGAAGTATCGGAACAAGAAGAAAAGCGAGACACAACGAAGAAGAAGAAGATGCTTGTGGAGATGAGCACGACGATGATAAAAGTCTAGCGGTAAGAGAGTATGATGCTAATGCTCACAAAGCTTGTCAGCTCTGCTTTGGCAGCCCTAAACCTGAAACAGCCTGAAACCCTGAACACATCTGAAAACTGAGCCAGGTCGTTTCAAGCCCTAACCCGCCTGAACTGTCCCGCCCCAGCGGGCCGCGATCCTGTTGTTCTGCTCGATCTGCTTCTCCTTGCCAGTTTTGGTGCAGAGTGCAGCATGTGATCAAAAACAGACTGCAGCAAGGTCTTCACTATCGCTTTAGATGGCTCTTAAGTTGTTAAAGAGATCTTGATATTGGCAGTGCCTCGGCGCAATCGCATTGCTTCATGCTTGCGCATGGCTAGACCGTCAATGAGTTCAAGCGCCCCACCCCTGAAACCCTTGCCTTCGAGATTAGGGTTTAGGGTTTAGGGTTTAGGGTTTAGGGGTCGTCGTCGTAACTTCCCTAAACCCTAGACCTTAAACCCTAAACCCTCCAAGCCCCAACCCTCTGTTTTTTGGTTCATCTTGCGCTGGATATCATGACTTGACTGAGTTATTCGCTGTCACTACACATGGACTAAGCCTGCATTACTGCAAGTACCCGAAGAAAATACAGAATCATGACGGAAATTGCAAGTTTACAAAGGTTTTCATGAAGATGAACCATGTCGTCGTCGTAACTTCCCTAAACCCTAGACCTTAAACCCTAAACCCTCCAAGCCCCAACCCTAAACCCTAAACCACCCAGAACTACACCCTCAACTGTGGACCCTAGACCCTAAACCCTGGTGCTCAGACCCGAAAACCGGTAACACCGTCATCTACAGAATTATAGTATGGCATACTCCAAAGCTCAGTTCTACTTGTTACAATGAACACCCTATCCCACCCCTCTCAAACAAAAAAACAAAACCAAACCCCTTGCAGAACCCTTGTAAAGAACCATGGGCAAACCATGTAACTCCACCCAGACCTCATGTGCACCCAGACCTCATCCGCTCCCCAATGCACCTAAGCTATGGGCCAAAACCATGATAACGTCCACCCAGACATCATCCGTCCCCCAGAGCATCCATGGGTCAACCATGATAGCATCCATCTAGACCACCTCCGCTCCTCATTGAGCCCGGGTCAACCGTGCCGTTATCCCACCTAGGCCTCATCCGTTCTCCAGAGGGTCCAAGGGCTGGACCTCACCCTTCCCCAAAGCATCCATGGGCCCAAACCACAATAACATCTCCAGAGACTCCAATATCCCTTAAGTAAGGAGTATTCCTTAAATGACAGTAAGATCCCTAACATGATTTAAGGTATATTCCTTACTTAAGGGATATTGGAGTCTCTGGGTCCATCCAAATCTCACCGTTCCCACATCCAAAACCGTGATAACCTCCATCCAGATCTCATCCGTCTCCATAGCATCTGTGGGTCAAGCGTGAGCATCCATGGGCCAACTATGACAGCATCCTCGCAGACTTTGTCGTTTTTTGCGAGCATCCATTCGTCAACTGTGACAACGGCCGCCCAGCACGGCAAATGTTACATCACATCACTGAGTCAGAGCAGAGGCTGATCGCGGCAGACGTCCCCAAACTCCCTTCCCTCGTCTTCCCCTGCGAAGCCAATCTAGATGTCTTTAGATACCTTTCTGAGTTGGAGTGGGGGGTACCAACTGCCACTTACGCAACACTTCACTCAGGCTATGGCTGACACTTCCTAGTTCGTCCTGCTGTTCTGAGTTGCAGACTTTTCGCCCAAATATCATCGTATGTGCACAGAACAACGGTATGAGTGGACCTTTAAACACTACCCCATGCTTTCCTCATTCTCCACTTTTTGAGCCTAGCCACCCAGTTCCGAACACGAGGTGCCCAAAACCCGAACGTTCAATCGCTTAATCTCCAGGTTTTTTTGTGCGCCTGTGACCTTTTAGGAACCCACTTCTGTTTATTGAGGCTCTTGTATGGGAGTTTCCGACCCTAAGGGTTCCCTGATTTGGGTGTACCTGTTTTGGGGGTCCTTATAATAAGGATCCGACTACATAGGGCACTATGTTGGGGTCCCCTATATTGGGAAACTCCCATATTGCAATGCTCTTGCCTTGTCGTCGAGAAACTCCTGCCCGTAGTTGCGAAGGTCCTTGACCAAAACCCTTAGGGTTCAGGGTTTAGGGTCTTGGGGAATATTGTTCTTATTAGAGCTGTACAAACACTATAAAGGGATATGAACAGTTATCACGCATTCCGGGCTCCACGCTAAACTCTAAGTAGAAATTCGCCAAACTGCCAAACTCCCAACCAAAAGTCAACAACCCCAAACCCTACACCCAAAACCCTAAACTCTAAATTGCACACCCTGAATCCTACACCGCCTGAATCCTACACCGGTCCATGTTGGGATAGTACTAATTTGTCAACTTCTAACTCGCTATGTCCTTCTTGGGTTTAAGTACCCATGGACATGTAAATTCCAGGGGTAGAAGGAGGGACCCTGAATAAGGACCCCTAGGTATATACCCTTAATATAGCTATTATATACCCATTATATAGCCCATTATAGGGTAGGGGTCCCCATCAAGGGTCCCTCCCTTTCCCCTGTGACAAATTGCTACCCAACCTTTCGCAAAGGAAACCTGACTCCCCACCTCCCTACCCCTCAAACCCAAAGCATGAATATGGAGGTTTCCGAAAATGAGGGGGGGGACCTCATTTAGAGGTCCTTGTAGTAAGGATCGTACTATTTAGGGTACTATATTAATGCCCCCTATTTTCGGAAGCTCCCATATTAAACCCTCTAAACCCTAAACCCTAAACATCCCCCTAAACCCTAGACCCTAAACCGTAAACCCTAAACCTTAAACCCTAAACCGACCACAGCCTCGGAGCCTCGATGTGCTGAGACCCTAAACCCAAAGCCCTGACCCTAAGCGCCCAAAGGTTGGGGAGGTCTATCTGGAGCCGAAACTGGTCTTTATGGGGAGGTGTAGGATTCCTGTAGGGTTCCAAAAACATGGCTTTATGAGGTTCAGGATAGGGTCTGCAGTATTAAATGTCCAAGGGTAAAAGGAGGGACCCTTAATAAGCACGCCTAGGTATATACCCTTAATATAGCTAGTATATACCTGATATAGCCCATTATAGGGTAGGGGTCCCCATTAAGGGTCCCTCCTTTTCCCCTTTGAGGGACGATAACGGAAGGGATTTTTTCTTGCGTGGATGGTTGGGGAGAGCATCCGGCTCCAAGCTGTGGCTCAATTTGTTTTTTTGGGGGGGGGTCCAGGGTTTAGGGCTTAGCGTAGTTCATGGAGCAGGATTTAGGAGTTAGAGCTGGATTTTCAGCATTATATGTTCAAGGTCTCGGCGTTAACACCAACAACAGCCAAACAGCAAACGCAACAGCAACAGCGGCAGCACAACGTGAGTGCTTGTCACCAAAACTAGGCTGGTGGTTACCATCCTGGTTATGCTGCTCTCTGCTTCCATTTCTCTAACAACCACTAACAGGTTTAAGATCAAAAAGAGCCATATAGACAGACAAGGGTTAGGAAGTCACATGTTTAGCGATTCAGACTTCGCCAAGCCCCAATCCCACAACCCCTAAATGCCTAGAATCCCAACACCCCTACGTACTGTGAGCCCTGCAGTGCAGAGAGTTCTCTAGCTTCGGATCAACCTTTAAAGAAACCGAACTACCCTAAACCCTAAATCCTGAATCCTAGACACCCTAACTGCTACACCCTGAACCCTCAACCCTCGACCCGAAACCCTAACACCCCTAAACCCTAAACGCTAAACCCTAAACCCTAAACCCTAAACCCTAAACCCTAAACGCTAAACCCTAAACCCTAAACCCTAAACGCTAAACCCTAAACGCTAAACCCTAAACCCTAAACCCTAAACGCTAAACCCTAAACCCTAAACCCTAAACGCTAAACCCTAAACCCTAAACGCTAAACCCTAAAACCCAAAAGCTGAATCCTAAACCCTAGACGCTGAACCCTATAGATCCCTTATGGATCCCTTTAAAGGAACCCCTAGAAGGAGCCTTCAGACCCTAAACATCGCAGCCAGGCGACGATGAGGCCGGCGCCCACGGGAGCTCCAGGCGGCAGAACCTGGTTGTCTGGCTTTGGGGTTTAAGGTTTTTTTGTAAGCTCCTTTTTCCAGGGGGCGGGGCTCCATGCAGCATCCTAGAAAGCCAGGGATTAAGGTTTGGGGTTTAGGGTTCAGGGTTTAGGCGTTTAGGGGTTTCGGGGTTTTAGGGTTTAGGTGTTTAGGGTTTAGGGGTTAGGGGTTTAGGATTTAGAGGCTTCGGGCTTTAGGCGTTCAGGGCTTTGGTGGTTTGGGGCTTCGGGTTTAGAGGTTTGGGGAGTAGGGGTTTACAGTAGAAGCCAGAAAGTTGGAATATCATTATCGTATCCCCTTTAAGGTAAATTATAGGGGATCCTACCATTTATCCATATTCCAACTTTCTGGAGTTCCCTTTAGGGCTTCAGGTGTTGCGGATGGTTGTGAGCTTCATTTGCTCCAATGAACATTTCGGCTTGGAGTCTCAGATCTAGGTTCAAGGTTTCAGTAGGATTCACGCTTTAGGCTTAAAAGCACAACGACAACCTACCATCATCATCAATACCATCATTATCATCATCCTCAGCGTCATCATCATCATCGAGTAGCCAAGAGGTTTAGGATTCAGGCATGTGTGTGTGGGCGTTCGAAGGGCTCGAATGGCCGCAGCAGCGCGGAACTATCGGTAGCCCCAGTGCCCATGGAACGCACGCCTTCGCCTGGTGCCGCGCTTGCGAGGCGGCATGCAGATCTTTGACAAGACCCTGACAGGCAAGACGATTACGTTGGACGTTGAGGCCAGTGGCACGTTCGACAAATTCAAGGCGAAGTCCCAAACTAAGGCAGGCATCCCGCCCGACCAGCAGCACCTCTTCCGTACTCTTTCGGATTACAACCTGCAGAAGGAATCGACCCTTCACTTGGCGCCGCACTTGCGAGGCTGCATGCAGATCTTTGTCAAGATCCTGATGCTCACCTTGGACGTTGAAACCAGTGACAAGTTCAACGACGTCAAGGCTAAGTCCCAAGATAAGGCAGGCATCCCGCCCGACCAGCGGCACATGATATTTGCTGGCAAGCAGTTGGAGGGCGGCCGTACTCTTTCGGATGATAACCTCCAGAAGGAATCGACCCCTGGCGGCATCCAGATCTTTGTCAAGACCCTGATGCTCACCTTGGATGTTGAGGGCGAGCAGCACATGATCTTTGCTGGCAAGCAGTTTGAGGGCGGGCGTATTCTTTCGGATTGCAACCTCCAGATTGAATCGACCCCTGACTTGGCGCAGCACTTGCGAGGCGGCATGCAGATCTTTGTCAAGACCTTGAAGCTCGCCTTAGACGGTGAGGCCAGTGACAAGTTCGACAACGTCAAGGCTAAGTCCCAAGATAAGGCAGGCATCCCGCCCGACCAGCGGCACATGATATTTGCTGGCAAGCAGTTTGAGGGCGGCCGTACTCTTTCGGATGACAACCCCCAGAAGGAATCGACCCCTGGCGATGGTATGTACGATCGTGACATGCGGCAATATGAGTTCAAGATTGAAGGCACTAACGTTGCTTATACGATAGGCGAGCGCCTTGACATCTGGCCCCGCAGCCCGGTAGACCAGGTCCTGGAGTTCTGCGGCATATCGACGGGTTTGTTGGGCGCTTCGCTTTCGTTAGACTCGGACCTCACACGTGTTGGTGTATATATACGCGGTCACTGTATGCAGCGGCACGTCTGAGAGGGCACAGTGATGTTTAATTTTCCATTGTGAGGGACCTACCCTGTAGTTGGCCTCCCCTGTTCCCTGGAGGAATACGCTCAGGGTTCAAGTGTTGGATGGGCACAGTTGCGTTTGAATGTCAGCTGTGTGGGGTGTACAGCTTGCAGTTTGCCTCACCCTACCCCCTTGAGGAATAGGCTCAGGCTGAAGTTCTGGTTTTGCTCTTGGTGCACTTGGTACTTGCATGTGCCTGGGCCCAGTGTCGCGATGGCCTTCTTTGGCAATGCCTGAAGGTCTGCAGGAGTGCTGCTTTAACTTTGATGTTGGCTCCGTCTTGTCTTGATTTTGCATGTGCTCGGGGATGGCTTTTCTGCCTTAGGCGCCAGTTAAATCCTCGAACATGTGATTCCCAGCCTTAGCGCATACTGGTACGTGTCCAGATTTCTGCGCGAAGATTCCCTAATTAGATGCAAGCCAAAGGGCCGCGTCGCTACGACTCTTCGCCCGAAACAGCAGAAACAGCAGTGGGCGTTCGAAGGGGCGGTTCAAGGTCTAAAGCGTCAAAGATTCGGGCTGCGGTGTGCGTTGAAGGTTCTAGGCATTGGGAATTGATGGTTTTGGGCTGTTCAGGCCTTAGGGTTTAGGAATTTAGGATCAAAGCTTTCGGAGCAATGCTAAGCTTCTAGAAGTATGCGCCGGTCATGGTTCTTGCGTACGGCGTACTGTAGGATTTAGGGTTCAGGGTTTGGGATTTGGGTTGTTGTCAAAATTAGGGTCCCTTTTTGGGGTCCTTAATATAATACGGCACCTAAAATTTTGGGTGCCCCAGAAAGGGACCCTAACTTTGACGACCACCCATTTGGGGTTTGGGGGTTGGGATGGAGCTTCAGGGTCGGAGTGCCGCACCTCGTCCCGTCCGGAGGTGTCGTCCGAGTAGCTGTCTTCCTCGTCTACGTCTGGCTTTCAGGGTTTAGGGTTTAGGGTTTAGGGTTTAGGGTTTAGGGTTTAGGGTTTAGGGTTTAAGGTTTAGGGTTTAGGGTTTAGGTTTAGGGTTTAAGGTTTAGGGTTTAGGGTTTAGGGTTTACGGTAAAAGGGGGGACCCTTAATAAGGACCCCTAGGTACATACCCTCAATCTAGCCATTATATACCCATTATGTAGCCCATTATAGGGTAGGGGTCCCCATTAAGGGTCCCTCCTTTTCCACTTTGATTTCAACAACCCCTGCGATTTGTTGATCATTGGGTTTGTATATGAACCAACTTGAGCAGACTTCATGTTGAACAATGCGGCTTTAGGGTTTAGGGACTTACTACCCCAATAAGCCACAGAAATAAAAGGTTAAACTTTCCGATTCCTACTAAACTGCAAGAACCCAAAAAGTTTAAAGGTTTGGTGTTGGGGATCCAAGGTGTCTTCTCCTGGAGAATGATGCGGCTTTAGGGTTTAGTGATACGGGTTTGGGAAGTATCTCCCGGAAACTGCCATCCTCCACTTCTCCCTGGTCCTCCCTCTGGTCTTCGGGCTCCTTGAATGAGAATACCTATAGTCTCCATTGTAATTCCTTTTCTTGGTTAGCCAGTTTTATGGCTAGGATCCTGTAATAGAGATGTTGGTTAACCAAAAAAAGGAACTACAATGAAGACTATAGGTAAAATTGAAACGTACTCCCCGACCGAAACAAACTTACCTCGCCAGGGACCGTCACAAAACAATGAACAACGGTCATTTAGGATCTTATGGTTCAGGGTTTTGGGTTTGGGGAGGTGTATATATATATATATATATACACCTATATTATGTATACAGGTGTTATAAGGTCTGGCTCTGGATGATAAGGAGCATCACTTCTGGTGTTGCCACCATCTTCTAACAGGAGTGTAAGCACGTGACTACGACTATATCCTATACCCGCATAGATCAGACCTAGCGCTCGTGGCACTCTTCGATTCGCACGGAACTTCTCGGATTAGCAGTGGTAACAGAAGCCGTCGTAGTGATCGTCATCAGCATCGTGGGGGTGGTGGTGGTGGTGGTGGTGGTGGTGGTGGTGGTGGTGGTGGTGGTGGTGGTGGTGGTGGTGGTGGTGGTGGTGGTGGTGGTGGTGGTGGTGGTGGTGGTGGTGGTGGTGGTGGTGGTGGTGGTGGTGGTGGTGGTGGTGGTGGTGGTGGTGGTGGTGGTGGTGGTGGTGGTGGTGGCGGGGTGGTGGGGTGGTGGTGGTGTTGGTGGTGGTGTGTGGGGTGGTGGTGGTGGTGGTGGTGGTGGTGGTGGTGGTGGTGGTGGTGGTGGTGGTGGTGGTGGTGGTGGTGGTGGTGGTGGTGGTGGTGTGGTGGTGGTGGTGTGGTGGTGGTGGTGGTGTGGTGGTGGTGGTGGTGGTGGTGGTGGTGGTGGTGGTGGTGGTGGTGGTGGTGGTGGTGGTGGTGGTGGTGGTGGTGGTGTGGTGGTGGTGGTGGTGGTGGTGGTGGTGGTGGTGGTGGTGTGGTGGTGGTGGTGGTGGTGGTGGTGGTGGTGGTGGTGGTGGTGGCGGTGGTGGTGGTGGTGTGGTGGTGGTGGTGGGTGGTGGTGGTGGTGGTGGTGGTGGTGGTGGTGGTGGTGGTGGTGGTGGTGGTGGTGGTGGTGGTGGTGGTGGTGGTGGTGGTGGTGGTGGTGGTGGTGGTGGTGGTGGTGGTGGTGGTGGTGGTGGTGGTGGTGGTGGTGGTGGTGGTGGTGGTGGTGGCGGCGGCGGCGGTGGTGGTGGCGGCGGTGTTGCAGTTGTTTGTGTTGTTGTTACTGTTGGTGGTGTTGTTGCATGCCCTCAAACCCTAAACTCTCAAAACCAAAGCACGAAGATGCTTCCCAGCTGCAACGGACCCAGATGCCATGGACTGATCCAGCTCCTGTGCAGGGTTTCAGGATGGTGCTTTTGGTTTGGAGCGGAAGGGTTTAATTAGGGTTAGCGTGTAGGGTTGAGAGTTCGGAGCCTTTGAGGTTTAGGGTTTCTTTGTTGGGCTTGCTTGGGAGCTCTCGGCAGCGATGGGTTTACTAACCGACTCTGTTCGGGAGTGGTTGCACGGCATCGCCTGCTTTCTATCTAGCGCGTCGTAGGAGCGGACTATACAGCCTGATGGGGCAAGGGGTGCGCACCAGACTTAATAAACCGTAGACCCTGTACCCTTGCAGACTTCTTTAATTTAAGCACTTACAGTTAGTAAACCTGAAAGGCATCACAAAAACAATCCGAAATGGAACCCTCAATGGACCCCCTGCAAAAACCTCTAAAGGAACCTAAACCCCAACCTCGATAGTAACCCTCAAAGGGGACCCTGTAAAGGGTTACCCGAAACGCTACGTAACGACGGTTAAAAGGGACTCTTTCGAGAGACTAAACCCCACAAACCCTAACCCCCAAACCCTAAACCGCCTTAACCCCTACAGCAAACCAAAAAGCCCTTCTAGCAACCCCATAAAGGGAACCGTGACAGGAAACCTCGTCGAAGTGTTCCGTCGGTCCTTACAGAACGCTTTTGGCACTCCTTATACTATCACTTCTAGCACCCCTTGAAGGAAGCCCTACAGTATAAGCCCTAGCCCAAACCCCAGACCCTAAAGCACACCTGAGGAAACCCTAAGGAACCCTTAAAGGAACCCTTAAGGCCCCCCCACACCTTTCCCCCGTATAGAAACCCTTAAAGGAACCTTACTTGGAGGATCATGGGACTTAGTAAATGGGGCTATAAGTACATGTATAACTTACTTATTATCCACTGCTGAGTCCCATGATCCTTTAATTAAACCTCTGAAACGAACCCTTCAAAGGGGTAATCCTCCTCCCCGCCACCCTCGACAGAGTCATCCTCGGCGCTTAGGGTTCCGGGATTTAAGGTTTAAGCGTTGGGGGTTTAGGGTTTAAGCTTTCGGGGTTTAGGGTTTGGGTTTTGAAGGTTTAGGGGTTTGGAGTTTCATTAGGGCTGGGGGCCTTTACACCACAAGGGGCGGGTCCTTCTGTTCAGACCCTTATTAGTGCCAAAAAAGTTGTTGGGAGCTCTAAATGCTAGATTCTAGTTTCTAAACCCGAAACCTCAAAGCCCCTCAACCCAACAACCCCCGGCGCCCCAATTCCCTAAACCCAAAATTCCTGCACCCCTTGACACGCTGCGTCTAAACCGGTAAAACGATACCCTGAGGTTTGTGTTCAAGCTCTGGGACGGGGGTCGAGGTTTAGGATTTAGGGTTTAGGGATTCAAGGGTTTGGGGTTTAGGGTATACGGATTTAGGGCCTGTGGCTTAGGGTTGTAGGGTTTGGGGTCTAGGGTTTGGGCTGGGAACTACCGAGCCTTGAGGGGTTTGCAGACTCGAGGCTGCTATTGATTCAGCCAAAGGATGACTTCTGCGGCTCAGAAACAAGCCTGGGGGCTGAGGGGGTTTAGGGTTTAGGGGCTTGGGGTTTCGGGTTTAGGGGCTGGGGGTCTAGGATTTAGGGGCTGGGGGTTTTGGGTTTAGGGGCTGGGGGTTTTTGGGTTTAGGGTTTAAAAGTGAGCCTTTTGCAGTTATGGTCGGACTACAAAGACCTAAAAGGTGACCTACTCAGCTACTAAGCAAGTAAGTATGCCCGACAAAGCCTAGGTAGGGCTTTTGCGTCTTTGAAGCGAAACTCTATCGAAACTGTATGAAGGAATACTCGTCGTGCGTTGATAGATTCCGTAATGCAACGGTTGCCCTATACCCTAAACCCTAAACCCCAAACCCTGCACCCGAAAAACGAAGCGTTGCGCATGCGAGCTGCGAGGGGCGGATCTTCGACAGGCGGATCCGTTTCTTCATCCTGCGCCAGCATCGATGATGGGAGTTAGGATTAGGGAGACCCTTGGGGATATAGACCCTCTCAGTAAGGCCCCTTTTATGAGAGCCAGAAGTAGGGTTCAGAAGGGGTACCCTTTAAGGGGTCTCCCTCATAATACTACCTAGACGATACTTACACAGACATGTAGTAGGGCTTTTGCTACCAGTCTTGTACTGGGTTGTTGTAGGTTGGAAGCACTGCGAACAGGACCCTAAAACACACAAACCAGCAATCCACAACCCCCAAACCACCCTACTCTAAACCCTAAACCCCTCAGAAAGCATGTGAATCCAAGGCCTTAACCCCCCGAAAACCTTAAGCTGCCCTGCGGCCCTACCTACCTGCTCAGAAGCATGCGTCGTCTCTACTCCTCTCAGAAGGTATGCAACGACCAGGTTTTGGAGAACCACAAAGAAAGCTATACAACTGCACGAATTACACCAAGGGGCACCATCAAGCCGCGAAAACACCTTAGAAAGACCCTACCAACCCGAAAAGCCTAAACCATACACCTTCAACCCGGAAGGAGAAATCTGGACCTTCGCCTCGTCTTCTAACTCGAACTCCTTCTCCTTTGTCTCCTCCTCTTCGGTCTTCCATTCCTGCAGAGCTCAGGAACTCATCGTTGCAGCAGCAGCAACAGCAGGAGTAGTAGTAGTAGTAGTCGTCGTCGTCGTCCTAGTCGTGGTCGTTCTAGTCGGGGTCGTAGTAGTAGTAGTAGTAGTAGTAGTAGTAGTAGTAGTAGTAGTAGTAGTAGTAGTAGTAGTAGTAGTAGTAGTAGTAGTCGTGGCAGTAGCAGCACTAGCAGTAGCAGGAGCAGCAGCAGTGCGAACTTGAACCCGACACTCTGAAAGAATCCTAAGGCCCAGGGGTCTGAAAAGATGCGGACCTCCTTCTCCTCGTTTCTCACCGTCTCAAGGTTCGGCTTGTCCTTCGAATGTTCGGGGCTTAGGGTTTAGGGGGTTTAGGGGTTGTTTAGGGGTTTGGGGTTCAGGGCTTAGGGTTTAGGGCTTAGGGGTTTGGTTTTTTTTACACATGTTAGACCCAAACGGAGTAGCAGGTGCCGAGGGATCATACACCGGAGCACTGGGAATACTCAGAGGCCTCGATGATCCAGTCGAGGCAGTACTACCCGGAGAGAGTTCCAGCGGTGTCGCCGGCGCACTTGGATCAAAAATTGCGCAGTGCAGATCACCTGAGGAGCTTCATCCCATACCGGAGTACTCGGAGCTGCCATTGTCATACGAGGGGTAGATGGGGGGCACTTCTCCCGTCGGGGTCGGCGGATTGTCAGGTGTCCATCCCCACCTCTCAGCCGGCCAGCTCTCCAATGTAGGAAATGGACATAGGCGCCCTCGGTGGTGGTCCCCTCGGCAAAGGCGGTCGCATATGCCCCGGTCTCTGTGGAATTTCACCCAGAGGTTTGGGGGTTTAGGGTTTAGGGTTCCTTAGGGTTCAGGGTTTAGGGTTTAGGGAAGGCACGGGCCTCTTCCGTGGCAAGTCGGAGATTTCTAGGCTCAAGTGCCCTAAACCCTAAAACCCCCAAGCCCTAAACCCCAGACCCCAAACCCTAAACCCCTAAACCCCTAAACCCTAAACCCCTAAACCCTAAACCCTAAACCCCCAAACCCTAAACCCTCTAGATACCTTATGGATCCCTTTCAAGGAACCCCCATAGATCCCTTTACCTTAATTAAGGTATATACCTTAAATTATGGAGGCCTTAATATTATCATTTAAAGTATATTCCTTAATTAAGGGGTATTGTGGGATCTCTGGGTTTGTAATTGGAGAGTTTCGGGCTTCGGGTCTGTGGCTTACGGCTTCGGGTTTAGGATCTGTGCAACCGGTCGTGCGGACTGTCACGCTTCGGGTTTAGGATTTGGGATGGATTTAGGATATAAAGTTTAGGGCTTAGGGCTTGCGACTTAATGTTCAGGGTTCAAGGTTTCGGCGTCTCGCGCCACGCAGCGGCAGAAATTTCCATGTGGAAAGTGCCCCAACACACCCAGGGGTGTGGGAGGGCGGCGTCTCCACGTCTGGGATGCCTGGTTGTATATAGTTACTTTAGAAGCTGCCCCCACCCTGTAATAGTGACTATAAGGATTATATTAGGACCCTATTATTCCTACTATATTCCTATTATACCACTATTACCGGGTGGGGGCAGCTTCTAATAGTTACTTTACAAACAATTGCAAGTTGGTGCTTCGTTGTTTTACCAGCCAGCCCTCAGCCAACCACGCAGAACCCTAAAACCTAAACCCTAAAGCCTATCCCTAAACCCTAAAGGCCCTAAAGCCTAAGCCCATCCCGAATCCTAAGCCATAAAGCCTAAATACTAAACCTTCATGGTTTATGTCTGGCATCCAGATGCCCACCCCCGCCCGCCCGCACCCAATTCCCTTAGACGAAGCCTAGTCCCTGTACTGTAAGAGCCTCAGTGGTTTCAATTGGGTTTGGTGTTGTAATTACTAGGTTGGCCCTTTGAAGCCTCTGAAAAATATTCGTGAATAGGGTCCTATTCAGCCCAATAAGGAAAAATGTATAATACTCCAGGAGCCTAAATTATTACAGTATGGTCATAGCACGGAACCCTAAGGAATAGTATTCGTTCTAATTTAGGCTTCCATGCTAGCATTGAACCAAACCACTTAGACTTTTGTCGAGGTATAGAGTCCAACTAGGGATTTGGGGTCATGCTATACCGCGATGTGAATTATGTGAGGGGCCTCACGGCAAACTATTGTTCATTGACCTCAAAGCCGACACCCTCAACCCTAGCCCCGAAACCTCTAACCTTGTAGAACCCTGTGAAGGAACCGTGAAGCGGCCCTTAAAGGAACCCTCAAACCTCAAACAGCCCTCAAACGAACCCTCAAGGCAGCCCTTAAAGGAACCCTTAAAGCAGCCCTTCAAGGAAGCCTTTCAAGGGACACTTAAAGTAGCCCTTAAAAGCACGCTTGAAGCAGTCCTTAAAGGAAGCCTTTGAGAGGACTTAAAGCAGCCCTCAAAAGAACCCTCAAACCTTCAAAGGGACCCTTTGAAGCAACCCTGGCCCTATTCTAATGATTAAGGCCCCTACACTATATTATACTACAGTTGCAATAAGGAACACCCAAGATAGTTTTTGTAATTGTTTAGGCCCCTATATTCTTTTACGGACTTGCGATCGGTGTCCTGGAGGAGTGAGAGCCATTGTCCTGGCATCGCCTCCTTCTCCTCTTTTTTTAAACAAAGGCCAACGGAGCCCACCTGGTTTGAGGGTGAGGTTAGGGGTTTCGGGTTTAGGGTTCGGAGTTTAGGGTTTAGGGTTTGCCGTTTAGGGTTTGAGGTTTAAGGCTTCAAGTGTGGGGTTTACGGGAGCAACCGAGCCCACCTGATTTGAGAGTAGGGTGCAGGGTAGATTCGTTGCTTGCAGGTGAAGGTTTTGGATTCGGGATGCATGGTTTGAGATTCAGACCTTGCGAATTACGGAAAGCTTTGGGGTCTGTCTTTGATGTTTTGTTTTGCATTTTTAGAATATTCTTCTTGTATGTGAAAACTAAGAATAGCTACACATATGATGGAAAGATTCTTTCAGCACCTTTCTCCACCTGCATTGGTTTTTGCGTACGAACGAAAGGACAAGGGATGTTTAGGGAATAGGTGTGGAGTTGAGAGGTGTAGGGTTTGGGTTTTAGGGGTCGGGTTGGTGTCGCCGTAGCCGCAATCAGGATCAGGTGACGATCAGCACCCGGAAACCCGGCTTGACGAGGTCCAACCATTTCCGGGCGGCTTGGACCCCTCCTAGGCCGCGGTGACCTACCGAGCGCGTTGGGGGGAGGATTAGGTGGTCGCCCAACAGCGTCAACTGGCACTGGCAAGGCGGGTCTGTGCTTGGGAAGCCTTGGCAAAGGTGGCGACCGGCACCCACACGGAAACCGCCATGCGGCGCTTCGCGACCTCGTGCTTCAATCGCAATGGGTTAGCGAGCATACCTTGAATCTCCCGTCGATCCGCGTGAAGCCCTTGATGCACCTCATCAGAATGAGCAACACGGGAACGGATGCTTTCAGGGAAGAAGCTAAATCACGAATGGTATTTAGGGTTTAGGGTTTAGGTTTTTGGGTTTAGGGTTTTGGGTTTTGGGTTTTGGGTTCAACACACTGTTAGCCTTTGATCTTGGGGCTGGCTGTTTAAAGTTAAACCCTAAACCCTAAACCTTTGCATATCTGAACATGAGGAGTTGCTGTCAGAGCGGAAGTAGAACCAGGATCTTATATTTTGGGGTCTTTATAATTAGATAGGGTCTTGGGGCCTTTTCTACTATAAGGACAATAAGGAACCCAAAGTAGTATAGGTAATTATTAACTTACTACCCCAATAAAGCCACAGAAATAAAAGGTTAAACTTTCCGATTCCTACTAAACTGCAAGAACCCAAAAAAAGTAAAGGTTGGGTATTGGGGATCTAAGTTAAGACCCCTAAAGTACTCTCTAAGGCTGTCTCGTAGCATATTGCCCTTCGGAAGCTGCCAACGAAGAACAGCAAAGGGAACGGGAACGGTTTGGGGTCGAGGGTTTAGGGTTGACGGCTTAGGGTTTCGGGTATAGGTGTTCGGGTTTAGAGTTTCGGTTTTAGGGCTTAGGGGTTTGGGGTTCAGGGTTTCAACCACAGCTAAGGTGGAGGATTGTAAAGGCCGGCATGGTCCCACCCTGCCTTTTTGCGCATGGCCATCTGGCAGGGAAAGTCGGGAGTTTTGGGTGCTCAGGGCCAGCAGAAGAAACTCTCGGATCTAAAAAAAAGGAGTACTATAGGGGCCTTAATAATTGGAACCATGTTTTTGGGGCGTGGTAGACTATAAATACCATAAGGAACCCCCAAAGATTGTAGTGGTAATTATTTGACAAGCCCCTATTATCACAGACATGGCTTAAGCTACATGGCTCACTTCGGGGAGGTTGTGCACTGTGGCCTTAAACTGGAGCCTAGATCTCCTACACCCCAAACCCTGAACCCCTAAACCCTGTTTAGGGTTTAGGGTTTAGGGTTTAGGGTTTAGGGTTTAGGCCTAAACCCAAAACCTTAAACCCCATCCACTTTACGGTTGCAGATGGCGCCAATGCCTTCCTTCGCGCTCCAGGCAGCAGCACTTCGAGGATTCAGGCAGTTGGTAAGTAAGTAATGCAGGGGCCTCAATGAACGGGTCCATTATAGTATAGCTATAGTAAGTGACCCTAGGAATACTATTCGTAATTATTTAAGCTTCTACAGTAGGCAAACACAACTCAGAAGATAAGGCAAATGGTGGCACTCACAATCCGAACTGTAACCCGAAGCCCACACACTAAACCCTACACCCTGAACCCGCAAAAGCAAAGCCTAAACCTAAGCCCCAAAGCCCAAAACCCAAAACCCTAAATCCGAAACACTAAACCCTAAACCCCAAAGCCTAAACCCTGGACCCCTAAAACCCCTAAACCCTAAATCCGAAACACTAGACCCTAAACCCCTAAACCCTAAACCCTCAATCCGAAACACTAAACCCTAACCCCTAAACCCTAAACCCTATAGATCCCCTCATAGGAGCCCTTAAAGGAACCTAAGTCTGCCCTGGCAAGAGCTCAGGAACACAGAGAGACCCCAGAGCTCCCATTTAGGGTTTCTTCAGGCTCTTTAAAGGGATCTATGGCGGTTCCTGTAAAGGGATCCATAAGGCATCTATAGGGTTTAGGGTTTAGGGGTTTAGGGGTTTAGGGTTTAGGGGTTTAGGGGTTTAGGGCTTTAGGGCTTTAGGGGTTTAGGGCTTGGGGGTTTGAAGGTTTAGGGTTTCGGGGTTTAGGGCTTTAGGGGTTTAGGGTTTTGGGTTTAAGGGTTTAGGGTTTTGGGTCTAGGGGTTTAGGGCTTTAGGGGTTTAGGGTTTAGGGTTTAGGGTTTTGGGAATACCTACTTTTTTGAAGGCTCCTAATATAAACCCAACATAGAATTAATAGAGACCCTGCATAAATGCAGGTTCAACGTATACCTTAAGTCTTAAGTCTTAAGTCATAACTAAAGGCATATTCCTTACATGGGGAGGTTTGGGTATCTCTGGGAATATACGTAGAAGGAAGGATGAACCAGATTGCTTGAGCCTCGAGTTTGGGATTTCAGGTATAGGGTTGCTTTTGAGGGAAACCCCCATGTAAGTCTACCACGTCCACCATGACGTCTGTGGGCAGATCAATAGCCCTGGTGGCTACATCAGGCTATATCCTTTACTTCCCTCATCTCCACTTTGACTTCTTCCAGGTGCAGCTGTAGCAGCCCAAGGTTGAAGTCGATATTCTGGAGACGAATTTCAGCCTATAATTCGCCCAATTGCGCTCATGCTCAAACTGTCCATGCCTAAACCCTAGACCGGGTTGAGGCTTTAGAGCTTAGGGTTTAACCCTAAGCTCTAAACCGCGTCGGCTGTATTTGGAGGACTTGGGCTTCGGATTCCCGAGATTCCAATATTTCTCAATGCTGAAGCCTTCAGTGAATTAGAACACGGATTAAGATTTCTTCATAAGGGTGCTCCATTAAAGGATGTCGGAACTGTTCAACGCTAGATAAACCCTAAACCCTAAATCACAAGTCTTAGACTTGAAATACTGAGCCTGAAGAATGAACCCCTGACGTAAGCTTAAAACTCTAATATGGGTTCCTTTAAAGGGGTCTGTAAGGGTTACTATAAGGGATCTATAAGGGTACTAGTTTTGGGGCCCATTATAGTATAAGTATAACAAGGAAACCCCAAAAATAGTATTGGTAATTATCTCGGCTCCTATACTATCCTCAAAATCTTGCAACCTTGGAGTTTACTGGAGCTCTGGCGAGAGCCGCTGACCCTTGAAAAACCGGCACCGTACTGTTGCAATTCCTGCCTCTGCATCTGCATGAGAGTCTCAAGCAAAGACTGTAGCACAACAGAGATTTCAATCGTCGGGTCCCCAACAGAAAGGATGCCCAGCGCGGGACCCCTAAACCCTAAACCCTAGAGAGGGCAAAACAAATACAAAAATGCATTGAAATATGAATGGCCCAAACCATAATGACAATCATGATAACAGTAAGCAGCTCAAAAGTATGATGGGCAGTTGTCAAAATTATGAACCCTTTTGGGGTGCCCTAAATATTAGGTGCCATGTTATATTAAGGACCCAAAAATGGACCCTAATTTTGGCAACCACCCTGATAGCAATATAAACCCTAAGCCCTAAATGCTAAATCAAGACTGTGGCACCCTGTGCCGCGCCTGCCCGCTCCTCAGCTTTGCACCGAAGCCCCGGCCCATGGCATCTGCCACGCAATCCTGGGAGGTAGGGTTCAGGGTTTAGGGTTTGGTTCAGGGTTTAGGAATCCTAGGAGGTACTTAAAAGATCATGGGACTTATTAATTGGGGGTCCTTAAGGGGTCCCTTTAAGGGATCTATAGGGGTATTACAAGGGTTTAGGAGGGTTCATAAAGGATAATGGGGCTTTGTAACTGGGGTTATGAATAAGGCAACTACAGTCATCATTACTTATAACCCCATTTAAAATACTTATAACTTATAACCCTACTTACTGAATCCCGTGATCCTCCAAGTAGGGTTCATTGCTTAGGGTTTGGTTCAGGGTTTAGGGTTTGGGGTTTAGGGTTCGGTTTTTCGGTTTAGCGTTTGGGGTGTCTGCCACATCATCCTCTCCGGGATGTAGCCTCTTTTTTGAGGGGGGTTTAATGGCTTTGTTGGTTTGGGGTTTGGGGTGGATAAGTTTAGGGCTTGCGGGCTCTTATCTAGGGTATTGGTCAGGGTTCTATCGAGGTTGATAAGGTTTGCAAACCTTCTATGGGTGCTAACACCCTCTCCGAGCTGCTCTCTTTCGGGGGGTCCAGGGTTTTCGGGCACCCTAAACCCTAAACCCTTTTTGAGTTTGGTTTACGTTTGGGCAGCTCCCTTAAGGGGGGCTCAGGGGCGAGGGTTTGAGGTGTAGGGTTGGAGGGCTCAGCGTTTTACGGCTTCGGGCTGACAGCTTAAGGTATGGGATTTAAGGTTTAGGATTTAGGGTTGCAGGGTTTAGTCGGAGAGCAGTTTGGGAGTTTCCGAAAGCAGGGGCCCCTAATATAGTACCACAAATAGTAGGATCCTTATTATAAGGACCCCAAAATAAGATACCCCGAATTTTCGGAAACTCCCATGGGTTTAGTCCTCTGTTAAGCGAACTCCCAGAAACCCCAAGACTCCCCCCGAGTCAGGAACATGCGTGAAACTTCAAGGGATTCTTGATATGGAGGTTTCCGACAATAAAGGACCCTAATATGGTACCTAAATAGTGGGATCCCAGTTGTAAGGACCCCAAATAAGGTACTCCCTATTTTCATACTCCCACATGACTTGAAGGAAAGTTGCTGAATTCGTTTGGGGTCGCTGGCTCCGGGCAGTTCTCTTTCTGGGGATTTTAGGACTCAGGGTTCAGGAGACCGCCGTCTAGGAGTGCAGGGCTTAGGGATGTGTGGCTTGATCTGTCCGGTTGGTCTCTGGGAGTTTGGGGTAGCGCCGTTACTCTACGAAGATTAGCAACCAAACAACCTCCACCCTTAAAGCAACAAATCTCTAATGCAGCGATCGCTGAACCCCCCAACCTGAAAAGGGACCCGTATAATAGAGATCCTTAGACGCTAAACCCTAAATCCCAGAACCTGAACCCCAAAACCCCAACCCCAGGCGCTAAACCCCAAAATCTAACCTTCCGAAACCTAAACCCTAAACCCTAAAACCTAAGCCCAAAACCCAAAAACCCTCAAACTCAACCCCAAACCCCAGAATGCTTGCTTTCTTCTCGGTCCTTGCTTCGGGGCTCTGGGGTCTGCGGCCAAGCCTCCTGTCTTGGGGTTTAGGGTTTAGGGTTTAGGGTTTAGGGTTTAGGGTTTAGGGTTTAGGGTTTAGGGCTCAGGTTCGGGGAAGAGTGAACGAAATGAGGGACGCTTCAGTTACGCGATCAATCGCTCCTGATTCAGGGCGCGAAGACCGGTATCCCTAACCTGACAACACGAGCCCGAAGCAAGGAAGGAGCTAGACCGTTAACCCGAAATCCTCAGCAGCAGGCCTCAGAAGCTCGAAGGGAAGAGGGTTCAGGGTTTAGTTATGATAGGTTTATGAATCGCCCTGGAGGCATCTGATGGTCTAGGGTTTCGGGTTTTGGCTTTAGCAAACATAACCAAGCCCACAAAACAGAAGACTTCAAATTCCAAAGTCCTGACTGTCTCAATAGCTCGGTCTCCGAAGAAGCCTGTGCGCCCCAAGCCTGCCAAAACCTCCATGAAGAAGCACCTGAAGCTAATTCTGTTTGCATATAAGATTTCATGGGTCAATTATTCAGGTGTGCTCCTGGAACCGTACTTAAAGGATCATGGGACTTAGTAGCTGGGGTTATAAGTGAGGTAACTATCACCCCAATTAAGGTACTTATAACTCTACTTACTAAGTCCCATGATCCTCCAAGTACAGCACCCAACCCCAAGCCTGAAAAGCCAAACACTGAACCCTTCCACCCTTCCACTTCCAGGGCACCCAAAAGCCCATGAATGAAAGCCTCCCTTCCCGATAAAATCACACTCGCCCTAAACAAAAAAAGACCCTGAAGGCGCAACCGGAAGGAACCCTAAACCCAAATTGAAAGCAACTCGATGCTACGAAGTACACAAATGGGGTTTTAAGTAATTACAACTATACTTGCGTTGCTTATAACACCAATTACTAAGTGTCAAGTTGCTTTGAGTCCCTCTCCTCAAACCCTAAACCCAAATCCCAATTAACTAAACAGCAACCCACCTTCAACAGGAATCCTTACAGCAACGGCTCCTTGCAGGAACCCTCTCTTAACTGTTAATGCACCGAACCCTCTCTTAATTGCTAATGAACCCTAAACCGTGGGTACTGGCCCCATACCGTAACAATCTATAGTAGGGCTACTATTAAGGTCCTCGTATACCTCTATCACGAATGTCATAATGCTACTCAAATGCTGCTAAATACTAGACCCTAAACCCTACGGTTGATGATATAAATCCTGCCTTACCCAAAATAAGGACTATCACATAATTCCCATGGATTAGCGTCCTTAAGGTAATGCAGGATTTATATCATCAACCGTAGTACGCAACTCACAACCCCGTAAGGTTTCCCCTCCTTGGCCTTCTTCGGTGGCGTAGCCGGGTCCTCGGCGACAGCAGGAAACCAAACAGGGCTTCGGGTTTAGGGCTTAGTGGGTTCCCTTAAGGGCTCCTTTATGGGCGAGTGCAACATGTCTTCGAGTTGTAGAGACTCACTAATCGAGGTTTTCAGGTCTCTTGAGCGGTTCATGGATGGTGGGGTTCGAGGCTTGAAACCCAAACGGTTTACGGTTTTGGGTTTTGGGTTTAGGGTCAAACATTTTGGCTCATACTGTAAGGGAAGCCTTGATCTATTCACAGTACACTCTTATCATAACTACCCTAAATTCTCGACCCAAAACCGTTTCCCTGTACAAACCCTTTGGGTTCGTGGGTGTAGGAATTAGGGGTGCTTCTGGTTTGAGGTTTAAGGTATTAAGCTTGATGGCTCTATCTTCTCGGTTTTCAACTGGAGATTTTGGCTTTGGGGGGTTGGGAAGTCATGGATACCCATGGGATGTAACTAAGGGTTTTACGATGGGGCTGTTTACCGAAGTTACAGGGGTTCTACAACGAGGGACCCTAGCAGCACGCAAGAGGGTCCCTCGTCTAAGCTTAGAGACATCGTCGCCAGAGCAAAGCTGTGCAGAAAGGCCAATCTGCTCCGAAAGGAAAGCATGCACTTGGAGTCTCGGAGGCGGCGTGCTTCCCAAAGCTAATGTAGGGGGCTTACTAGATTAGAATAGGGTTCCATTTTCAAGGGGTCTATAAGGGCTACTATAAGGCTCTATAAGGGTACTGTAATGTAGGGGCGTTATTGATGAGAATAAGGTTTGGGGGTATATGATACTATATTTATATTCGGGAACCCCAAACTTATGTAGGCGGCCTACATATTACCTTGTCGTGGTGCTCCCGGCTTTCACCCCTTCCCCGAGTAACTTCAGTGAGCCTTCGCTGCAGCCTTAACATGTAGGACTTGCAGCTTCATCTAGTTATAGCAACAGCACGAAGCCCTGAACCCCAAGCCCTGAATCCTAATCCTGCCCGTGTTCAAACGCGATGCCCACGTGGCACTATGGCGGGGGGTTTAGGGGTTTAGGGATTCTTCGAGTTGGGGCTCACCACCCCCAAACCCTAAAACCCCAAACCCTAAACCCCAAACCCTAAACCCCAAACCCTAAACCCAACCAAACACCAAACACTATCCTCTCAATTGCGACGGAGCTGCCTCTGAGTGCCAGTCCACCCAGACCTTCGAAGCTATGGGCTCAGAGTTGCATGGGTCCGCAAAATCGTCTCTAGGGCTTTAGGGTTCATGATTTAGGATCTATAGGGTTTATAAGGTTCATAAGGTTTAGGAATTATAAGGTTTATAGGTTTCATGATTTAGGATTCCCACCACCCAAACCCGTTCCTGTCAGGCGGCGGTTTAGGGTTTAGGGTTTAGAGTTTAGGCCTACTGTAAGGCCCTTAATAATTAGAATAAGGTTGTTGGGTGTAATACACTATAAATAGAACAAGGAACCCCCCAAACTAGTCTAGGTAAGCATTAAGGCTTCTATAGTAAACTCCCGCCCAAGCGCGCTTTCCCTCTTCTGCGTGCTTGTCTTTTCAATTCAACACCAGGCTCGTTGCAGGCGGGGCCAGGCCTTCAAAGACCCTCAGAGGCAGAACCGACTGCTTGACGGAGCTTTGCTCTCATGTCGTAGGGTTTAGGGGTTTAGGGTTAAGGGCGTAAAATTTTGAGGAGTTTTGGGTTTGGGGGTTTGGGTTTAAGGAAGTGGCAAGCCTTTGTACATGAGCGGGACCGAACGTGTGCTTCACTTGCAACGCCACGTTCTGCCTCTGAGACTTTTAGCTGGCGACCCAGCATCCACAGCAAGCAGCAAGGGGCCTTTGTAGAACCTTAACGCTTCAGGCATTGGCAACTTCAGCGAAAATTGCCAAACCCGAAAACTCGACACGTCATAAATTCAATAACTCCTACTCGTTTACAAATGCAATATTAGGTTTTAGAAGGACCGTGTGGAAGTTGAGAGCTGACCCTGAAGAGCCTGTAAGTAAACTGCAAATATCGCTGATGGATAAAAACCTTGTATGCCCTGCCATACCTGTTGAAACCGGTACATAAGCAGGACCATAGCAACCCTAAACCCAAGAAACAAAGAACCTTCAACACATCCATACCCGTCACTCCTCACTTCTCGAAACCCTCGCTCCCTCTTCAGAACGCCGCTCCCCCCCCTCCGTTTGTACCCCCAACACCCTGAACCCGAGCCCCTAAACCCCGAAACCCTGAAGCCCCGCCCCTCACCCCTAACCCCCAGCCCCGAAACCCCTAAACCCTAAACCCTAGCCCCTCACCCCTACCCCCAGCCCACGTGGGCCCCTAAACCCTAAACCCTGAACCCTGTACCCTGAACCCTGAACCCTGAACCCTAACCCCTAAACCCTCAACCCCCAAACCCCTAAACCCCTAAACCCCCAAACCCCCAAAACCCCTAAACCCTATGCTCTAAACCCTAAACCCTAAACCCTTATAAACCCTATAGATACCTTATGGATCCCTTTAAAGGAACCCCCATAGATCCCTTTAAGGAGCCTTAAGAAACCCCTAAACCCTTTAAGTTGGCCTCCTCCATCTGATCATCCTCCGGGGCCGGCTTGGAAGGCGGCGCGGCGTTGGAATTCCCGCGGAACGCCTCTGGGCGTGGGGTTTAGGATTTGGGGCCTGGGGCTTAGGGTTTGGGGTGTAGGGCTTACTGCTACTTTAATAGTATCATTGCCCCCCGAAGTACTAAGTAGGGTCTCTTTTCAGGTACTTATAACTCTATAAAATAGCTACTTCCTGACTCCCCGACCCTCATAGTAGGCTTACAACTGCCACAGGAAGCCTGAAGGCTAAACCCTGAACCCGTACAGCCGCTTCTTACTGTGAGTTTCTAGTTTCAGTCCTTGAAAAGGCGGGTCACTAAGCGTTAAGGACGTTAAAGTAAGCCCTGACCCTGAACCCCAAACCGGCTTTCGGCCTCAGTAGGCAGGCCAGGGGCATTGAGTACCGAGACAGCAATAACCAGGACACACAACTCCAAACTGTAAACCCTAAACCCAACACCCTCAAACCCCAAACCATAAACCCTGCAACCCCAAAATCCTGAAATCCCAAACCCAAACCTCAAGAAAACCCAAACCCTAAACCCTAAACCGTTGATACTGACCCCCCCCTCTCCCTCGGATCATGAGACTTAGCAAGTAAGGTCATAAGTACCCTAGTTGGACCTACAGGTACTCATAACTAGACTAACCTTAGCTACCAAGTCCCATGATCCTTTATGAACCCTCCTAAACTCGTATAGTACCCCTATAGATCCCTTAAAGGGACCCTTTAACCCGAGCTTTAACCCTAGTTACTAAGCCCCGTGATCCTTTCAGAAATCAAAAGCCTGTGGAGGCTCCCCTGGCGGCTTCGGAAGTTTTTGCTGAAACGCCTCGCCAGGCACAGGGGCCTTAAGTATCAGAAGGGTGGTTGGGGCTCCCTTTAAAGGGCCCTTTGAGCCCTGAACCTAAATATGGCCTTAATAATTAGAATAGGGTTCCTTTAAAGGGTTCTTGTAAAGGGGTCTATCAGGGATATATAGTAGGGTTCCTTAGTGGAATCTACAATGGTTCTACCAGAAGGGATGTAGGGTTTGGAATGGGGTTCCTGAAGTCTACCACAACTTTGGCACTGGAAACCCTACGGAATAGCATTGGTTATATGATAGGCTTCTATGTTGAACCAGACGCCGGAGTAATGATGCTGCTCTAGGGTTTGAGGTTTACGGGTTTAGGATGGGCTCTGGGTCGTTGCACACGGTTTAAGATGTGGGGGGTTTAGGGTGTAGGGTTTAGGTGTGTAGGGCTCAGGGTTCATAAGGGTTTAGGGTTTAGGGCTTGGTTTGGAAATCTGTATCTATTATGGTCCTTACCGAACTTAACGCTTGAGGTTCTTCTTCAATGCGCAAATTCAGAACCGCACCCCGGATAACCAGAAGTCTACGGCTCAGGGTTTAGGGCGTAGGGTTTAGGGCTAGAAGGGAGCACGACATATCTGGTACCCTAAACCCTGAACCCTAGACCCTAAAACCCAGCCTTCCGGCCTCTACTTCCACACAAAAACCGGCCCTGTAGCCTGAGCACTAGGCGTAGGGTTTAGGTTTTAGGGGTTAGAGTTTATATAGGGGTTTGGGCTTAGGTTGCTTTGAGGGTGAAGGCAGAACTTTCTGAGTGCACCAATCATGCATAGCCACAGTCCTCACGTGCGCAAGCAACTTTGCCGCTGGAGGGCCTCGGCATCGTTCTTCTGGATTTGGAGAAGGCGGCGTACACACAGGAGGAGTGCTTGGCACCGCTGCTGACCATTGTTCATGACCTGTCGGCAGGGCGTTTCGCCATGGAAACGGCGACGCAGCCCGCACCGTGCTTTTTTGTCACGGCACCACCTTGACGACATCGTCCGGGATTTGGACATCCACTCGGCGCCCGAAATGGATGAGGTCATCGTACTGTCGACTGTTCTGCCTTAGAGCGCGGATGACGAGCTCTCGAATCGTGAGCGGCTCTGGCGCCGGCGCTCCTATGGGAGCCCAGTCCAGTACCCAGAGACTCCAATATCCCTTAATTAAGGAATACACCTTAAATTATAGTAGGATCCCTAATACGACTTAAGGAATATTCCTTAACTGAGGGATATTGGAGTCTCTGGGTAAGCTTGGGTTTGCACAAGACGAGCCGACTAGCTTTGGGGTTTACAAAGTCACAGAGTGTCCACTAGACGGCTACTTGGAGGATCATGGGACTTAGTAAATAGGGTTATAAGTACCTTAATTGGGGTTATAAGTAATTACAACTGTAGTTACCTTACTTATAACCCCAGTTACTAAGTCCCATGATCCTTTAAGTAGGCAGACTGCCGTTGCCAACTTAGGGTCTAGGGCTTCGCAGGTCTGGGGTTTATGAGATGAAGCAGCGGCATAGTCGGACCAGAACTTTGGAGGATGCATGTGATGCATGTGTGTGTATATATATATATATATACGTACATACATACATACGTACATAAACACATGTACACGTACATATGCAAACTACCAGACACTGAATCCCATGAATCTCAGGTAAGGACCCAGGTCCAAAGTTACGTATCCCAATCCCCTCGAGTCTAAACCATAAACACTAAACGGTTTAGGGTTTGGGATGTCGGGTTAAACCCTACAGCCCTCAGCCTCAACTCTAAGCCCTGACGATGTCATGCAGCTCCCTCACGAAACGCACTGGGCTGCGCACCACGGGGACACGACTCGGAGGTTGTTTCCGGGACCTACAGCGAGCGATGATCGATCCATACGGTTTAGGGTTAAGGGTGCCTTGAGAAGTAATTTGTTTAATAGGTTTTTGGTTTTCCTGGGGTTCAACAGCTTTTGCTGTATAGTTTATAGTAGATGTTCTGTAGGGGGGGGTTATAGTTTGGGGTGGTGGCTGTGCGGTTTTCGGCTTTGGATGTTGGATCGAGGGCTGCGTAAATCAAAACAAGAGCAGAATTGGAGAAGCACAACCACATGAACGCATGGGGGAAAGCCCAACTGAGCCTTTTATTGGAGGAAAGAGTGCCTCCTCTGACCTTTCTTCGTCCATGTGGCCTTCGCCATTTTTCGAGGTTCTACAAGGTGCTGCCTTTAGTGGTTGGGCATCCCCTGTCAAACCAAACCTCAACCCTGAACCCTAAACCCCTAAACCCCTCAACCCCTGAACCCTAAAACCCCAACCTAAACACTAAACTCCTAAACCCTAAACCTTAGACTTTGAACCCTAAACAGCTAAACCCTAAACCCCTAAACCCCTAAACCCTCAACCCTAAACCCTAAACACAAGAATTCCTTTCATGTCTGAGACCGAGAGCCCAGAAAGACTTGAACCAAACAACCGTGTCAAGTGTCCTCAACCAAAATCCCTAAGCCTAAAACATTACTTAAAGGATCATGGGACTTAGTAATTGGGGATATAAGTAAAGTAACTACAGTTATAATTACATATAACCTTAATTAAGGTACTTATAACCCTACTTACTAAGTCCCATGATCCTCCAAGGATAGCCCTAATACCCCAAAACCTGAACCCTAAGACCGTTCTACCGAGACCAGAAACCCCTGCAAGCTCTTAGCCCTCGCCCTTCACAGACCCTGGAATAGACGTCGGCTTCACAACCCTGAACTGCACGGGCTCAAGGATTTCGGGATTTAGGGTTTAGAGTGTAGGGAAGTCTTCAATGTCCCCTTTCTTATCATTTGTCACCGACTTTGTCGTAATTAGCCTGGCCACAATCCCGAAACCCTGAAACCGATATCGCTAATCGCTAGGTTGCGAATGCTTCTTCTTTGACGAGCTCTTCGAAGTCTTCTGCTCTTATCGTGCGATTCTAGACTTCCAGGTTTTACTGTGTAGCGTCACGGTTTAGGGTTTAGGGTCTAGGGTCCTCTCCTGGACTTTGAAGTAACCAGGGAGGAAAAAGTAAAGACTTTTGTTTCATAATGGTTCCTTTAAGGAACAAGTACCAAAAAAAAGGTATTCAAGTATGGTACTCCAAACCCAGGTCTCTCTTAGGATGACCGGATGCTTGGGGCGCGTTATGGCCTCGGAGGTGTTGCGGTTCCTCCGGGTTCTCACCAGGACCTTGCCCATCACCTGAAGCGTTGGGCCAGTCTGCATCACCCTCCCCAGAGACTCCAATATCCCTTAATTGAGGAATATACCTGAAATTATAAGATCCCGGATATGATTTAAGGTATATCCCTTAATTAAGGGATATTGGAGTCTCTGGGTCGCTGGCTGCTTCTGGTCGAGGCGCCTCTGCCTGCGGCGACTCGTCCTCCGAAACCTCGTAGAGCCGGCTGGTGGATGCCGGATCACTTCATCAAATCAGCACCTTCGCAAGATCGAGAGCACACCCTCCAGGTCCTCGATGGTCTGGGTCATCACGAGCATCTTGCGCTTGAGACTTGGCACACTGTCGCAGTCCCCGGGCACGGATGAAGACGCCGATGACATTTTAGGGCGGAGTAGCCAAGTCTTCGGTCGGCCTAGTCTTGAGGAACCCTATAAGACCTCAAAAATAATTTCAAAAAAGACTATCAGAATCTTTCTAGCCCTCATTTACAAAAACGCTTGCAAACTTAGCCTGGCTAACACCAATCGTTGACAGCCCTCCCTCGAAAACAAAAACCCCTAAACCTGAAAAACTAACTCCTCATCCCCGTCTACGATTCTAAACCCCTTTGAGAAACCCCTTTGTAAACACCTTAGAAGAAACTCTCGCAACCGAAAATCTAAACTCCTCATCCCCCACAAACTCCCTTATGGCAGTCCCTTTCATACCCTAAACCCTAAACCCCTAACCCCAAAACCCTAAACCCTGAACCCTAAACCCTGAACCTAAAAAACCCTAAACCCCAAACCCCTAACCCCTAACCCTTAAACCCTAAACCCCTAAACCCTAAACCTAAAGCCCTAAACCCCTCCTTCGAAACTCTCCTCCGAGGCGCTGAAGGCTCACGGAGCCCACCGCCCTTTGCGCTGGAGGCCGAGTCCTAGGCGAGGGCTCTGCCCAAGGAGGTTCCAAAAGATGGTTTTTTAAGTTTTTGGTGGCTCAAGGTTTAGGGCTTTAGGGTTTAGGGTTTAAGGTGCAGGGTAGAGGCTCTCAAGATTCTGGAACTAGGGTCTATCTATGTGGTTTTGGTAGGGGTTCTAATCAAGTCTTTCTACGGCGTTTCCGGGCTTTCCGTAAATCCCTGAACTGAGGAGCATAGCCTGAAATTCGTTGTACTATATGGGTGTTGTCAAAATTAGGGTCCCTTTTTGGGTAACCTGAATATTAGGTGCCGCACTATATAAGGGACCCGAAAAGGGGCCATACTTTTGACAACCACCCATATAGTGTTATAAGGGCCGGTTTTGAGTGTTGTACTTGATTCACGAATACACTTCTTTCGGGCTCTGGTGTAGGGTGTAGGGTTTAGGCTTCGCAGAGGGGTATCCTTAATGTGATTTGAAGCAGTTCATTCCTTTATCAGGGGCTTTGGTGGTTATGTCTTCGGAGTCCAGGTTTCAAGGGTCTACGACTGAAGGCTTCAATGTGCTGGGCTTGCACATCTAAGACTTGAAGGGGGTTTATGGATTAGGGTTTAGGGTTGTGGGGGGGTGGGGTAGTACGAATACCCAAAGACTCCAACATCCCTTAGATAAGGAATATACCTTAAATTGCAGTAGGATCCTTAATATGATTTAAGGAATATTCCTGAATTAAGGGATATTGGAGGCTCTGGGTACGAGGGGGAGTGGAGGAGTGGAGGGACGACGAGGCCGTCAGCCTGTCACAAAAAGCGATTTCGACCCCATCCCAACCCAAAAACCCCTGAACCCTAAAACCCGACTTGGAGGATCATGGGAATTATTAAGTATAGGGTTATAAGTATCTTAATTCGGGATATATGCAATTATAACTGTAGTTGCCTTACTTATAACTCCAATTACTAAGTCCCATGATCCTTTAAGCAAGCCAACATACTGGCCACAGCAACCCTAATCCTGAACACAGCGCCATGAACCCGAAACTAAGCCCTAAAACCCTTAATTATTTCCACGAAGGGTCCATATACACTACCAGTACGGAATTAGGTCCCAAAAAGGCCATCCCTTATAGTGCCCCTATAGATTCCTTAAAGGGGCCCTTTACTAGTAACCCCCCTTAATTCCACATTTTATCCCAGGCGCAAGAGGCCGCCGGCGGGCTTCGTGTTGGGCCGAGGCCTTGAACTGAAGCTTCGGAGGGCCCCCACCCTAAACACGGTTTGGAGCTTCGGGTCCTAGGTTCTTAAAGGGCTCCTTAAAGGGATCTATGGGGCTCCTTAAAGGGATCTATGGGGTTCCTTAAAGGGATCTATGGGGGTTTAGGGTTTCGGGTCTACTTGGAGGGGCAGGGGACTTAGTAAGGGCTCTTAAAGGGCTCCGTAAAGGGATCTATAGGGTTCCTTAAAGGGATCTGTGGGGGTTTAGGGTTTCGGGTCTACTTGGAGGGGCAGGGGACTTAGTAAGGGCTCTTAAAGGGCTCCGTAAAGGGATCTATAGGGTTCCTTAAAGGGATCTGTGGGGGTTTAGGGTTTCGGGTCTACTTGGAGGGGCAGGGGACTTAGTAAGGGCTCTTAAAGGGCTCCGTAAAGGGATCTATAGGGTTCCTTAAAGGGATCTGTGGGGGTTTAGGGTTTCGGGTCTACTTGGAGGGGCAGGGGACTTAGTAAGGGCTCTTAAAGGGCTCCGTAAAGGGATCTATAGGGTTCCTTAAAGGGATCTGTGGGGGTTTAGGGTTTCGGGTCTACTTGGAGGGGCAGGGGACTTAGTAAGGGCTCTTAAAGGGCTCCGTAAAGGGATCTATAGGGTTCCTTAAAGGGATCTGTGGGGGTTTAGGGTTTCGGGTCTACTTGGAGGGGCAGGGGACTTAGTAAGGGCTCTTAAAGGACTCCGTAAAGGGATCTATAGGGTTCCTTAAAGGGATCTATAGGGGTTTAGGGTTTAGGAGGGGCAGGGGACTTAGTAAGGGCTCTTAAAGGGCTCCTTAAAGGGATCCAAAGGGGTTCCTTAAAGGGATCTATAGGGCTCCTTAGAGGGATCTATGGGGTTTAGGGTTTAGGGCTTAGGGTCTACTTGGAGGGGCAGGGGACTTAGTATGTCCTTTATAAGTAGGGTTACAATTGGGGTAACTCCATTTAGGGCACGTATAACTCTACTTCTAACCTACTTACTAAGTCCCCTGCCCCTCCAAGTAAACCCTGAATATATAGGCCGACATTCCTTTGAAGGGTTCCTTTTAAAGGGGCTTATAAGGGCTACTAGAAGGGCTATTACAAGGATTTAGTATAGGGGCCCTAATAATTGGAATAGGGTTTTCGGCCCATTATACTATAAGTATAGCAAGGAAGCCGCAGAATAGTACTGGTAATTACCAGAGGGTCATACCCTGCCCCTTCTTTTAGGATACCTCGTTTTATGGTTAGGATCTGTTGTATAGAAAAGTAGGTGCCTTAAGAAGGGGTAGGGTATGAGCCTCTAGGTATTTGGGCCCTGTACTATGCCCTTGAGGGCTCAGAGTTTAGAGACGAAGGTCCGAAAGTCTTTGCACAGAGCTCTACTGTTGATGATATAAATCCTGCATTACCCACAATAAGGAATTTACCATAATTCCCATAGTCTAGGGTCCTTAAAGTAATGCAGGGTTTTTATCATCGACCGTAGGAAGGCTATCTCCACTCAGAGACTCCAATATCCTTAATTAAGGAATATGCCTTAAATCATACTGGGATCCTAATATAATTCGAGGAGTATTCTTTAATTAAAGGATATTGGAGTCTCTGGGCAGCTACTCCAGGCTTTATGGTCTTTCAGCAAGGCTTTTTTATGGATTCTCAAGAGGCTTGGCAGGACGACTTCTTGTGGCATGGGAAGGGATACTGCACCTGGTGTTGCTGCGTTGAGAAGACGTTGCTTCTCGCGACGTAGCTGAGTGTAGCGCAACCGCTTGGGCATCCCCTTGTTGTTGGGCCTCAGTCGAAGTTTTCCGGACAAGACGAGGCATGGGGTTCACCCTAAACCCTAAACTGAAACCTTTTATTAGACCCTAAGGCCCTCAGCCTAAACACTGTTAGATTGAAAATTAGGTACCTTAGAAGAGGGGTAAGGTATGAGCCTCTAGGTATAGTAGGGGCCCTCATATGATTTAAGGAATAGTCCCTCATTGAACGGTATTGAAGCCTCTAGAAGGAACGAGGACTTCGGCTGTGGGATGCAGGGAAGGCAACCGAAATTCGCCAAACCTGAGGTCATCAAGATTCTACTCTCTGCGGGCCTTAAGACTTAGAATAGGGTTTTGGGGGTTCCTTAGTAGACTTATAGTATACTCTCCCCCAAAACCCTGTAGGCCAGCTCCTGGGATTTGCGGTTTAAGGTTCGGGTGGGGTTGAGGGTTTAGGGTTTAGGTTTTCGGAGTTAGGGTTTAGGGCAGGGTTCATAGGACATAGTAACCAGGGTTGCAAGTAAAGCAACTACCGCTTCAGCTTTGGTTGCTTTACCCAGAGACTCCAATATCCCGTAATTAAGGAATATACCTTAAATTAGTGTAGGATCCCTAATATGGTTTAAGGTATATTCCTTAATTAAGGGATATTGGAGTCTCTGGGTACTGGCAAGAAGCAGACGCTTTCAAGAAGTTCTAAGTCCCAAAACCCCCAAATCTTAAGCTTAACCCAAACCCTACACCCTAATTTCCAAAAGCCCTGAACTGAACCCTGAATCCGAAAAAATCCCAAACCCTATATCCGAAACCCCAGAACCCCAAGCTTGTGACAACAACCACCGGGAGCGTCCCAGCGCATGCCCAGAGACTCCAATATCCTTTGGTTAAGGCATATTCCATAATTCGTAGTAGGATCCCTAATATGATTTCCGGTATATTCCTTATTTCCCTTATACAACCCTTACAGATCCCTTTGAGGAACCGCTTATATAAGGAACCCTAGAGTATATTCGTTAACTGAAACCCTAAACCTTAATATCCCTAAAGAACTTTTACACATCCCCGGGCCGAAAGTTTTGGGCTACCGGGCCGGTCATCAATATGCAGACTCTTGCGGAGTAGCGGAGTGCTTCAAAGCAACGAATTCCCTACGCAGGTCAGCGGAGTAATTACTACGCCGTTTTAAAAATGTAAAAATTGTTCATTGCGGACGAGGCCCCAAAGTTCGCTTGTGTCAGGAGGGGAAGAGGCTGGGGGCATGGGTCCACTTCGTTGTTTAAGCTAGCGGGTCGAACTATCGGCCCCGGCGCAGTAGAACCCTGTTAGGAACCCTTTAAGGAAAAACCCTAAACCCTAAACCCTAAACCGTACATTCCTTAACTATGGGATGTTGGAGTCTCTGGGTGGGCTGAGCTCTCGGCGCCCGAGGAAGCTCCTCGCAGATCAGGCATTGGGCGTTGAAGGTGTAGGGCTTTAGCGATTTAGGGGTTTGGGTTTCAGGGTTTGGGGTTTAAGGGTTTTGGGTTTAGGGATTTTGGGTTTAGGGGTGTAGGGTTTAAGGTTTAGGGTGTAGGGTTTGGGAGTTTAGGGGTTTATTGGTTTGAAGATTTCGGGTTTAATTAGGGGTTTAGGGATTTAGGACCAAGCTTATAGGGTTTAGGGTTCAGGGTTTAGGGTTTAGTAATTTAGGGGTTTAGGGTTTAGGGTTTAGGGCTTTACTCGGAGGATCGTGGGACCTTCAAGTAGGATTATAGGGGTCCCTTTAAGGGATCTATAAGGGGTACTATAAGGGTTTAGGGTTTAGGGTCTACTTGGGAGATTATGGGACTTAGTAAATAGGGTGATAAGTACCTTAATTGGGGCCTTAAGAAATTATAAGTTTAGTTACCTTACTTATAATCCCAATCACTAAGTCCCATGATCCTTTCAGTCTTCGTCAGTCACGAACCTCTTGTGAGCTAGAATCGTACGAGCAACTCTTTCTGGCTGCAGCACTCTTCCCTTCATAAGGAGCTAGCAGAAGCCTTCCATGCAGGCTTTCCCCCTTCCGATCTTCAGCTTAATAGCTACTAACAGTAAGGTCTAGGGCCCAGGGCCCAGTGAGTGGGGTTTAGTACCCAAAGACTCCAATGTATCTTAACTAAGGAATATAGCTTAAATAATAATAATCATCATAATAGGATCCCTAGTGTGATTTAAGGAATCTTCCTTAATTAAGGGATGTTGGAGTCTCTGGGTACAGGGTGGAAGGTTTGTGATCCGGATTCCGATGTCAAAGCCTGAACTAAGGAGACTGTCGTCGACGGCGGCCGGCCGCCATCCGGTTCAAAACAAAAGCATGCAAATCTCCATAAAACCCTATAGAACCCCAAACCCTAAACCCTAAACCCCAAACCCCAAACCCTAAACGGACGAATTCTGCTTTGTGCTCTCACGGCGGTTTTTGCCGACTGTCCGTCAGGTTCCCCGTGATGGCTTACTGGGGGTCTAGAGGGCCAAATGCTCCTAAACCCTCTATGTGAAGGAATATGCTCTTTAAACCTAGATAGGGCTTCCCAGTTTGATTCGAGGAGTCGCTGGCATTATGAGTTGTGGGGCTCACCAGCGCCGGCCGTACATCGGCAAGGCCTGTAATATTGGGGCTTGAAAGTTTAGGTTTTGGTGTTAGGGTTTAAGATTTGGGGATAGGTAGAATAAGGTTTGTGGGTATAGTAAGGGGTGTCCAAGGTCAGTGTGCTATAGGGCCTCCATATTGGAATACAGTTTGGGAGTATGTTATACCATAGCAATATTCGGGACCACAAGCGAATGCTCTTGATAATTGCAACATAAGTAGCGTCAGCTCTCTAGTATACATATTCTCTATAATTCTATAAGGAACAATCAGGAACAGTCACGGTGATGTTCAGGCTTCTTTCATAGCATGCCCCACCGCTTTCCTAGGCTGGAGCTTTCAATTTCAACCAGTGTTCGAACTTCACGGTGTTGCTCTTCTCATTTTAAAGTTCCGAAGCGAGTTGGACTGACGATCAAAGGCCCTAAACCCTAAACCCTAAACCCGGGTGCTCGCTGTGCAAATGCCTGCTGCTGTCTAAAGAGTCGCAACCGTACACGCATCACCACGGTAACTCCTCTACTTGGAGGGACTTAGTAAGGGCTCTTAAAGGCCTCCTTACAGGGATCTATAGGGTTTCTTAAGGGGATCTATGGGGTTTAGGGCTTAGGGTCTACTTGGAGGGGCAGGGGACTCAGTAAGTAGGCTTTAAGTAGAGTTATAAGTACCCTAAATGGAGTTACCCCAATTATAACCCTGCTTATAACCTACTTACTAAGTCCCCTGCCCCTCCAAGTACTGGGTGTCGATTTCAGCGGCCCCCCAACATCATGTATAGTCAGATTCCCACTTTTAACCCCAACAAGAAAATCTAAAACTCCCAAAGTTAGAGCCCCATCTTCTCCCAAAAAGAGGAGAAGTTTAAAGCTATCTCCAAAGATCGGTACCTGGTCTGAAACCCATCCCCCAAAACGCTACCTGCCCAGAGACTCCAATATCCCTTAATTAAGGAACATTCCTTAAATCATATTAGAGATCCTACTATAACTTAAGGTATTTCAACAATTAAGGGATATTGGAGTCTCTGGGTGGTCTATAGTGTTTGGAGCCGAGGGCTCCTGTGTTCCAGGGCTGAGGGTGATCTTGAGTTTAGGAATTCACCCTAAACCCTAAACCCCTAAACCCTAAACCCCTAGACCCTAAACCCTAAACCCTAAACCCTAAACCCAAACCATATACCCTAAACCCTAAACCCTATACATCCTAAACCTGAACTGCCCTAGACCCCAAAACCCTATGCCTGCCCTGAGCCCTGATGCTCATACCAGAAGGCTCAGGCTTCAGGCTTTTAGGGTTTAGGGTTTAGGGGTTTAGGGTTTAGGGTTTAGGGGTTTGGGGTTTAGAGGTTTAGGGTTTAGGGTTTAGGGTTCAGCTTCTCTGACTTTGGAAATTTCAAGTCAAGCTATTCCAAGTCAAAACCCCACCCGCCCATAGGTTCCCCTCACATTACGAAATAACAATCTTTATTTTATATTCGAATAGAACCGAAAGTGGACACAGTCGGATGTGGAAATACTGAAAGACATGAAATTAAATGTGATCTCGCTCACAGCAGCAACTTCAATCTTTTACTTGCTTTACTTAAAGCAAGCAACCAACGGTGTTCACAACATAAGAATTTTATGGTTTAGCGACAGTACCAACTTCAATCTTTTACTTGCTTCACTTAAAACAAGCAAGCAACGGTATTGACACCATAGGAATTTTAGGGTTTAGCGACCGTAGTAAGTTCAATCTTTGACTTGCTTTACTAAGAACAGGCAAGCAACGGCGATGGCACCATATAAAATTTAGGGTTTAGCGACAGCACCAAGTTCAATCTTTTAGTTGCTGTACTTAAAACAGACAAGCAACGGAATTATACGAATTTTAGTATTTAGCGACAGTAGCAATCTCACCATTATACTTGTTCTACTTAAAACAAGCAAGCAACGGTGTCGACGCCATAGGAATTTTAAGGTTTAGCGACAGCAGCAACTGCAGTCTTTCACTTGCTTTATTTAAAACAAGCAAGCAACGGTGTTGACACCAAGCGAAATTTAGGGTTTAGCGACAGCAACAACTTGCATCTTGTTCTACTTAAAACAAGCCAGCAACGGTGTTGACACCATGACAGTTTTCGGGTGTGACAAGCAAGCCACGGTGTTGGCACCATAGGAATTTTAAGGTGTAGCGATCGCAGCAACTTCAGTCTTTAGCTTGCTTCACTTAAAACAAGCAAGCAACGGTGTTTACACCATATGGAAATTAGGGTTTAGCGATCGCAGCAACTTCTTGCTATACTTAAAACAAGGAGGAAACGGTGTTCGTACCGTAGAGAATTTAAGGTTTAGCAACAGCAGGAACGTCAATCTTTTATTTGCTTTACTTAACACCGGAACGAATGCTCATCACGGCGGCACCGAGCAGTCACAAGACCACCCTACTGGGATGGTGTCAAGGCCGAACAACAACATTCTCGTGCTGGCCTTCAACCGGGCAGTTAAACAAGCGTCCTCGTTCACATAGCAAAACCCACCGCATAAGATTTCTGGAATTGCTTTACTTAAAACAGGCAAGCAACGGTGTTGACACCATAAGGAGTTTAGGGTTTAGCGACAGCAGCAACTTCAATCTCTCCTTGCCTTACTTAAAAAAAGTAAGCAACGGTGTTGACACCATAGCAAATTTAGGGTTTAGCGACAGCAGCAACTTTAGTCTTCTGATTACCTTGCTTACAACAAGAAAGCAACGGTGTTGACACCATAGGAAATTTAAGGTTTAACGACAGCAACAAGTCCAATCCTTTACCTGCTTTACTTGAAACAACCAAGCAACGGTGTTGACACCATAGGAATTTTAAGGTTTAGCGACAGCAGCGGCTTCAATGTTTTACTTGCTTTATACACCATATGAAATTTAAGGTTTAGCCGCAGCAGCTTCAATGTTTTACATGCTTTACTTAAAACAAGCAAGCAACGGTGTTGACACCATAAGGAATTTAGGGTTTAGCCAACTTCAATCTTCTCCTTGCCTTACTTAAAACAGGTAAGCAACGGTGTTGACACTATAGCAAATTTAGGGTTTAGCGACAGCAGCAACTTTAGTCTTCTGATTGCCTTGCTTACAACAAGAAAGCAACGGTGTTGACGCCAAGGCAAAAATCCCAGGACAGTTATCTGAGACGGATGACCCATAGTCTTCCCAAAAAATCCCAGGACAGTTATCTGAGACGGATGACCCATAGTCTTCCCAAAACAAAAATCCCAGGACAGTTATCTGAGACGGATGACTCATAGTCTTCCCAAGGCAAAAATCTCAGGACAGTTATCTGAGACGGATGACCCATAGTCTTCCCAAAACAAAAATCCCAGGACAGTTATCTGAGACGGATGACCTCTGCAAAGCCACATCTACCTCCATGCCACATCCCCTCCCCACCCTAGAACCTAACTGACATCTGCTCTTCCCCACAGGGTGACCTTAAACGACGAAGGGTGACCTTAAACGACGAAGGATGACCTTAAACGACGAAGGGTGACCTTAAACGACGAAGAGTGACCTTAAACGACGAAGGGTGACCTTAAACTAAAACAACCAAGCAACGGTGTTGACACCATAGGAAATTTAAGATCTTAAAACAAGCAAGCAACGGTGTTGACACCATAAATTAAAACAAGAAAGCGACGGTACATCTAACTCCATGCCACATCCCCTCCCCACCCTAGAACCTAACTGATGTCTGCTCTTCCCCACAGGGTGACCGCCCTTGGGTTTGGCCTTAAACGACGAGCCTTAAACGACGAAGGGTGACCTTAAACGACGAAGGGGCTGACCTTAAACGACGAAGGGTGACCTTAAACAAGAGCAGGCACACGAAAAGAACGGCCCTGTTTTGCTGCAGAATGTGGCCCGAACGAAGGTTTGGCCTTAAACGACGAGCCTTAATGTTTCGCTTATTGGGGCGTTAGGAAGGAAAACCTCTTGCAGAATTGTTTCGCTTATTGGGGCGTTAGGAAGGAAAACCGCTTGCAGAATTGTTTCGCTTATTGGGGCGTTAGGAGGGAAAATCTCTTGCAGAATTGATTGGCCAAGGGTTTAGGCCCTAAATCTCGGGCCGAGGGTTTAGGCCCTAAATCTCGGGCCAAGGGTTTAGGCCCTAAATCTCGGGCCAAGGGTTTAGGCCCTAAATCTCGGGCCAAGGGTTTAGGCCCTAAATCTCGGGCCAAGGGTTTAGGCCCTAAATCTCGGCCAAGGGTTTAGGCCCTAAATCTCGGGCCAAGGGTTTAGGCCCTAAATCTCGGGCCAAGGGTTTAGGCCCTAAATCTCGGGCCAAGGGTTTAGGCCCTAAATCTCGGGCCAAGGTTTAGGCCCTCGCTAAATCTCGGGCCAAGGGTTTAAGCCCCTAAATCTCGCGCCAAAGGTTTAGGCCCTAAATCTCGGGCCAAGGGTTTAGGCCCTAAATCTCGGGCCGAGGGTTTAAACCCTAAATCTCGGGCCAAGGGTTTAGGCCCTAAATCTCGGGCCAAGGGTTTAAGCCCTAAATCTCGGCCAAGGGTTTAGGCCCTAAATCTCGGGCCAAGGGTTTAGGCCCTAAATCTCGGGCCAAGGGTTTAGGCCCTAAATCTCGGGCCAAGGGTTTAGGCCCTAAATCTCGGGCCAAGGGTTTAGGCCCTAAATCTCGGGCCAAGGGTTTAGGCCCTAAATCTCGGGCCAAGGGTTTGGCCACGAAGATTGATGATGCGGCCACGAAGATTGATGATGCGGCCACGAAGATTGATGATGCGGCCACGAAGATTGATGATGCGGCCACGAAGATTGATGAAAAAACCGCCCTAAATCTCGGACGAACGGTTTAGGGCCCTAAACCCTTCGCCCTAAATCTCGGACGAACGGTCCCTAAATCTGGGGGTACGGTTTAGGGCCGCCCTAAATCTCGGACGAACGGTTTAGGGCCACGAAGATTGATGATGCGGCCACGAAGATTGATGAAGTTGATCAGCTGAAAACGTCAGGCGGCCACGAAGCCATTAAGGTTTAAATTACTATAGGTAGAGAGGTTTAGGGTTTAGGGGTTTAGGGTTTAGGGGTTTAGGGTTTAGGGTTTTAGGGGTTTAGGGTTTTAGGGGCTTAGGGTTTAGGGTTTAGGGTTTAGGGGTTTAGGGTTTAGGGGTTTAGGGGTTTAGGGTTTAGGGTTTAGGGGTTTAGGGGTTTAGGGGTTTAGGGGTTTAGGGGTTTAGGGTTTAGGGGTTTAGGGGTTTAGGGTTTAGGGTTTAGGGTTTAGGGTTTAGGGTTTAGGCTTTAGGGTTTTTTTTCTGGAACGCCCTTTTCACCCTGGGACAGAGAGAATCCCATGTCTGTTAGAAGGCTTTAGGCTTTAAGGGTTAGGGTTTAGGGTGTAGAATTTAGAGTTTAGGCTATTAGGCTTTGAGGTTGAGGGGTTAGGGTTTAGGGGTTTAGGGGTCGGGGTTAGTGTCTAGGGTTTCGGTTTTACGGTTACGGCTTTAGGGGCAAGGCTCAGGGGCCACGGTTTGGGGTCTTGGTTTAGCCATTCAGCCTTATGGGTAGGGTTTAGGGTTTCTACAAGCCGCCCTAAACCCTAAACCCCTAAACCCTAAACCCCTAAACCCCTAAACCCCTAAACCCTAAACCCTAAACCCTAAACTCTAAACCTGACTCCGGCGACCTCATTTACAGTACGGGTCCTTCACAGCCGGTTCTGAAACGCTGCGTGCTAGCCTGGGCGTCCTCAGTGGATTCTCGGGTATGCGGTTTAGGGTTCAGGGTTTAGGATACAGCTACGTAGACCTACTAAACCCTACTTTTTTGCAGCTTCTTCTTATAAACGGTGGGATGGGAGTTACAGGGACCCTGCCAAAAAGTAGGTTCTGGTAGGTTAAGGTCTACTACACCGTACATACGACTTAGCGAATAGAGGCTCTTACTGTTGCCATGGAGGCTGAGAAAGAGCGGCTGCAGAGTGGAGAGCCATTTAGGGACATGAGAAACCCTGAGACTTTTGTCGAGCTTGGGGTTTCGGGGTCTAGGTTAGAAGGGGCCCCCAGCCTGTAATAGCGGTAAAATAGGAATATAATAAGGCCCTAACATAATCCTTATAGTCTCTATTGCGAGGTAGCTTCTAAGGTCTAGGGTTCTGGGGTTCAGGGTTTAGGGTATATTGTTTAGAGCTGGGAGTGTTGGAGCTGAAAGGGATTTCAAGAAGTCGGAACAGCGTTATGGTGTATATCGTGGCGCACTTGCGCAGCTATAGGCTATATGGGAGTTTCCGAAAATAGGGGGCCCCAATATAGCACCCTAAATAGTAGAATCCTTATTATAAGGAACCCAAAATAAGGTATCCGTAATTTTCTGAAAATCCCTTTTGAAGCTGTTCGAACAAGTTCCTCAGAGCTCTCTAGGATCCTCTACTCCCTTTTGGAGCTCCCTACAAGCGAAACACTAACACAAAAAGGAACCAACCAAAAATGTAAACAAGAGCCTTACTTGTAGGGACTTAGGTTTAGAATTTGGGGCGTTTGGGGCTGAGGCGTTAGGGAATTAGGACTTGCTACCGGGGCCCTGAGTTGTTAGCATGTGTGGCTGCATCCCCGGTCTGGGTTTCCCCGCGATTGCATCGAGGAAGAAACCTGGTCCATGGGATCAGAGGGGCCCAGAAAAAAGAAAAAGAAAAAAACAACTACGTCCTGCACTTGGATCGGGTCCTGAACCCCACACCCGACATAGTTGTTTACACACTATTCGTTATCATTGAAACAGTGTTATTATTGTTCTGCTTTATGTTACTGATACGGTTATTACTAATAAACTTCATGATGATGGTGACTACTACTGATTATCGGACTGTTTTGGCTTTTGGTAATACTGCGATTAGACTGTTATTGTCTTGTCATTACTGGTGTTATTGTAACTGCTGTTACTGTTTGTTTACCAATATTCTTCTTGCTATAACTTAAACATACGACCACAACCGCACGAACAACTACTACTACTACTTCTACTACTACTACTACTACTAGCCACCCCCCCCCCTCCCAACTACAGTTGTTCCATCCGGGCTGGGCAGCGGTAGCTGCTAGGCGCCTTAACTGCGATAGTTGCAGAAGATGCACGGGGTCAGGCTCCTTATCTGTGACAGCTGCAGAAATTGCAGAGGCTCAGTTTCCTTAACTGTCACAGCCGGTGAAGTTGCAGGGGCTCAGGCCCCAAAACTGCGACAGCAGCTGGAGTTGCAAGCTCGACGGGGAAGAAACTGATAAACCCCAGGTGGTCGGAAAGTACGAAAATGCTGTAAATACCGTGCAAAACCCAGGTGCTGCCAACAAGGGTTTAACGTTTCTAAAACCTGAAGCGCAACATCTTCTGAACATCAAAAACAAAGATGCCAGCTGTACGTGGGAGAGGCTCGCCAACACCCCTACCGCCCAACCTCTGCGTAGGAGGGTCTGTTTTTGAAGTGGTGTGTGTGGTGTGTGCGCGCTTGAGTGTGGAAATATTGTTCAGGGTGTCCGCAAAACAGTGTCGTGATCATCCCCGAAAACGCTTTCCCCCCACCCAATTTCGAGTTTTTTTGCAAACAGTTCCAAACAGCAAAGTTTAATACGCACAGTCGAGAAGTAGGGGCTCAGAATATCTAACAAAATCTGACATCACGAAAGTACCGTAAATACCGAGTTAAACGGCTCTTGTGGTGATACTGCTGGGTGTGTTCGCGTAACACTGTCGTCATCATCCCCCCCCACCCCCCCACCCACCCCCAGAAGCAAGTCCAAAATCAAGAGCCCGAGTTTGCAATCTCGACAAGTCGATGTTTAGGCCTCTTAGGATGATCGCACATGACGAAAGTGCCGTAAATACCGAGTAAAATGGATGTTGTCTTAACATGGTTGAGAGCAAGTGTAGTTGGTAGGGGGGGGTGCCTACTACTACTACTACTACTACTACTACTACTACTACTACTACTACTACTACTACCACTACCACTACCACTACTACTACTACTACTACTACTACTACTACTACTACTACTACGACTACTACTACTGCTACTACTACTACTACTACTACTACTACTACTACTGCTACTACTGCTACTACTACTACTACTACTACTACTATTACTACTACTGCTACTGCTACTGCTACTGCTACTGCTACTGCTACTGCTACTGCTACTACTACGACTAGTACGACAACTCCACTACTCCACTACTCCTAGTCCTACTCCTACTCCGATTACTACCACTACCACGGCTACTGCCACTGCTACTGCCACTGCTACTGCCACTGCCACTGCTAATGCTACTGCAACTGCTAGTGCTACCAGTACCACTTCTGCCATTACTACTACTACTACTACTACTACAACAACTACTACTACTACTACTACTACCACTACGACTACTACTACTACTACTACCACTACTACTACTACTACTGCTGCTGCTACTACTACTACTACTACTACTACTACTACTACTACTACTACTACTACTATATACTACTGCTTCTTCTGATACTACAACGACGACTACTAACTGTTACTTTTGCAGAGTCTCACCAGTACCTAAACCTAGGCCAATTGGAAAAAGAGAGTTGCAATCAATTCTGACCTCAAGTCATGAGCCTTCGAGCAAGCCACATGATTTTGGGTCTGCTAGCTCCGCATCCTGTTCGAGCACACGTACGTGTGTATGTGTGTGTGTGTGTGTGCGCGCAAACACTGAAGGAACGGAGTGAGCTTTTGGGCATTGGGTTACCCTAAACCCCTAAACCCTAAACCCTAAACCCCTAAACCCTAGGAATTGAGGGTTGAGGACGAGACCTGGGTTCAGGGATGCAGGTACATACCCAGAGACCCCAACACCCCTTAATTAGGGAATATTCCTTAAAATCATATTAGGGATCCTACTATAATTTAAGGTATATTCCGTATTTAAGGGGTATTGGAGGCTCCGGGTATGGTCAAATCCCTAGTATTCGATGCTGCTTGTAAGCTTTGTGCTTACGGCTTGGGGGTCTGGGTTTCGAGGTGTTCTAAGAGGAATGTCCTTGGTCCTGCATTACAATGCCCAGGATCGGAAATTTCTTGCATAACCCGACCCTACTACAGTTTGAGGGTTTAGGACCTACCTCAACCCCAAATAACCTGTCTTTCCAATGACTCATACAAGGAAATCATAGCCCCAAATCTGACATCCATTCTACATCCCAAACCCTTAACTTACCCTGCGGCCCTAACCCTAAACTGTAAACTTAACCATAACGTAACCCTGGATAAAGGCATAAATATAAAACGCCCCTACATTAGACTCAAACCCTGAACTAAACCCTGGGCGCCTTGGGGGGAGGACCACTCGGCGGCTGTGGCGGGCTCTTCGGCTGCCTAAGGGAAAGGGTTTAGTCTAGGAGCCCCAATCCCGAATGAGATGGGGCTTAGGGTTTAGGAGCTTTCTTCGCAGGAAGGTTGCAGGGTGTAAGGTTTGAGGTGTTGCGCTTGGGGTCTGATGGGTTCGGGTTGCAGGAACCGCGTCCTATCCAGGACTCAAGCTTGGAGCTTCAGGTTATAATAGTGAGGGCTTAGGGCCTCGTGTTGAGGGGTTGGGGGTTTCAGCAGTTTAAAGCCACTGCAACAAAATGGCGGCCGCCACATTCTTGAATTCCGCGCTATTCCTTCAGGTGACATGTGATGCCTAAACCTCAAACTCTAAACGCTCAACCCTAACCCTAAACCCTCACCTGCATGATCGCGCACGCAGTTTTGTCGGCCCGCAACTTCGCTAGGTCTGTACACTGCACAAAGAGCGCCCAAGCCCGTGAACTGAAACGTCCTGAAGCCACGGAAGTGTGTGTGTTCGTACTCAACCGTATTCCAGCAGGTATTCCCGAAATCCTAATCCGAAGCCCTGAACCCCAAACACTACAAGACACCGCAATATCCTAAGGCCCCTATACTCTGAGCAAAGTCGACCAAGAAGCAACCCTAACATAGGCGCCTTCAGAACGAGAGTAGGGCTTTGGGGTTTATTCCTGGCACTCCCTAAACCCTAAACCCTAAACCCCTAAACCCTCAACCCGAAAGCCTACAGCCTATGTATCGGGGGAGCTCCGTTCGAATTTTTTCAAGCATCCATGCGTCCATATTCCATGCGTCGAAGAAAGGAAACGGCCAAAAGTCACAGATAGAACCCTAAACCCTGAAGCTTAAACCCTAAGCTCTCTCGCCCTGACACCCTAAACCCGAAACCCTAAAGCCTCAAACTCTGAACCCTCAGCCCTGAAGCCCAACCTTTAAACCCTGCAAACCGCGGGCACTGGACACTGTAACCTCAACCCGCAGCCCGAAATACAAATGCGTAAGAATTAACGGCTTCGGGTTTGTGGTATTTCAGGGTTTAGCGCAGCAGGATCTAAGGTTAAGGCTTGGGAGTCATGTTTGAAACCTTCCGGGTCCAAAGACTGTACTTTGCACTATTTTGAGCCGTGTAGCAAACCATCACCTGTCGAGCGTGTATAACTCCGAAGATAGCACACGTTTACTTGCCCCCGTCTGGAAACGAGTAGAACTCAAACACTCAACCGGGAAAAAAACAGAGAAATCTAAAACACCCTGTCAGAAAGAAACGAAAAAGGGACTGAAACACAACCATTCAAAACAAATGGAACCCAAAACAGATAAGGTAGGGGCCGCAATAATTGGAAAAGGGCTTGGGCGGCTATTATGCTACACTTATAATACGGAACCCCCAAACAAGTATAGGTAATCATACCGAAGCCCCTATAAACCCCCCGTACTACCCCTTAGTAATCCTTATAGGCCCTTTTATAAGAACCCTTTAAAGGAGCCCTATGCTATATTGTGATATTCTACTATACTTATAATTCCCCTAACCCCTAAACCCCAAACCCTAAACTCTAAAACCTTACCCTAAAGCCTAAACCCTAAACCCTAAACCCTTACCCTAAAGCCTAAAGCCTAAACCCTTACCCTAAACCCAAAACTCTAAACCACTTATAATGAGGAACTCCCCCAATCAGGTGGGTGGTTGTCAATATTAGGGTCCCTTTCTGGGTCCATATGATAATACGGCACCTAGTATTTCGGCTACCCAAAAAGGGGCCATAATTTTGACAACCACCCAGGTGGAACCCTAAACCCTAAACCCTAAACCCTAAACCCTAACCCTAAACCCTAAAACCCTAAACCCTAAACCCTAAACCACTTAAAATGAGGAACCCCCCCCCAAACAGTTAGAACCCTAAGCTCCTCTAAGACTCGGGTCGACTCTGCGAGGTTCGCGTGAAGAGACCACTGGCGGGGTTGCTCTGAACTCTGAACTGAAAAGGATCAGGAGAATTAAGGGGAGTTTAGGGACTAAGGGGGTTCTAGGGATTAAGGGGGTTTAGGGGTTTAGGGGTTTAGGGTTTGGGGTTTGGGGTTTAGGGTTTAGGGTTTAGGGCATCGAGTTGAACAAGTCTGGGCTTTAAGGTCGTACCTAGAGAACCATGGGACTTTGAAACTCAAAAGGGCTTCTTAAGGGGTTCTATAAGGGATCTATAAGGGTTTAGGGTTGGAGGATCATGGGACTTAGTAATTGGAATTATACGTAAGGCAACTACCTTTACAAGTACTTATAACCCCAATTAAGCTACGCATAACCCTACTTTCTAAGTCCCATGATCCTGTAAGACGTCTAGATGCCCTAAACCCTAAACCCTGGACCCTAAACCCTAAATCCTAAACTAGATGGGGAATAGGCGGAACAGGCTTCCCTTTGAAAGCCCCCTGAAACGGTTCTAGAAGATTGGGGGTTCGGGGTTTTGGGGTTGAGGGTTGAAGGTTTAAGGTTGAGGATGTTCGGTTTAAAGTTGAGGGTTTTTACGGGTTTTGAGTGATTCTCGTAAACTTTCCCCTCCATTTCGAAGGATTAAGGACCGTTTGTAGTTGGAACGAGTTCCTCTGAGGGATTGGAAAGTTGTTATTGGGCTTTACAGTAAACTTCAAAGTCACCCTAAACCCTAAACACTAAATCTCGAAGCCGGTTCAGAACAGCCCCGCTCGAAGAAGCGATTGGGAGGCTGGCTTAAGCCAGGCGCCGGGCTGCTGCATTTGATTCAACTAACTCAAAAATCTCGGGCCACACGCAACTTTAGGGTTTAGTTAGGCTTTAGGGTTGAAGGTGCAACTTTAGGGCTTAGTGTTTAGGGCTTACGGTTTGAAGTTTAAGCTCGGCTTTCCATGACGCAGCCTCTCACCTATTGGAGCCCTTCTCTCATGGAGAAGTTGCCCGCGGGGTGCCACGGAGCGACTTCCAAAAAAAGAAAGATATAGAGTATAGTATCCAATATATGCCAGTATATGGTAGTACACTGTAGTAAAAAATATTGTAGTAATATATTTAACTCAGTATATTATAGTATAGTATACCATCACATATTGCAGTATATTAGAGTTTTCCAGAAACGAGGGCTCTCTTGATTCTCCACGGACCCCACTCCTGACCGACACAGGGCTTTCGCGGTCTAGGATTCGGGTTTCGGGGTGAGAGTTTAGGGCTTTAGGGGTTTGGGGCTTAGGGTTTAGGGCTTTGGTTATGGTTTAGGGTTAAGGGAACCCTGAACCACGAACACGACCCGTAACCCGAAACGAAAGGAGGGGGCCCCAGGCTTACATCATACCTGGACCCCAGAATGTATTACCTCTTCTTCTTGTAACAACTGCTTTATATAGTTAGAACCCTACAATCAAAAAAAAACTAGGGTATCAAAAAAAGCACCGCATTCGGGGGTCGAAACACCTAAACCCGAAACCCTAAACCCCAGTCAAGCTATCACAGAGTTTAGCGTTCTTTTTGGTTTGAGGTTTAAGTTTAGGGCTTAGGGCCTTGAACCCCGAACCCTAAACCCGAAACCCTAAACCCAAACCCTAAGCTCTCTGTCATCAAGTATACCCTTCGGGTGTAGACCTCGGGCCGGCCTCGGGGTTCTAGTGTATGGTAGTTCAGAAGGGTTTAGGGTTCAGGGTTTAGGGTTTAGGGTTTAGGGTTTTAGGGTTTTAGGGTTTAAGGGTTTAGGGTTTAGGCTTTAGGCTTTGCACGGCTTGCTGTAGAAAGTAGACGTTTATAGGGTAGGGGTAAATACTGTTGATGATATAAGCCCTGCATTACCTTAAGGAACCTAGACTATGGGAATTATGGTATAATCCGTATTATGGGTAATGCACTATTTATATCATCAACCGTAGTTTATGGTAGTTCAGAAGGCTTTGCACGGTTTGCTGTAGACGGTAGGCGTTTATAGGGTAGGGGCAAATAATCCTGGATTACCCATCATAAGGAATATACCATTATGCCCATAGTCTAGGGTCCTTCAGGTAATGCAGGATTTATATCATCAACCGTCGTCCCTGTAAAAACCTCAATCCTAAAACTGTTTTCTTTTTTTCTGGGCTGCGCCTCGCCTTTGGTGCGCCTTGGGCAGGGCCCGGCTTGGCTTGGCGTCTCTTGGTAGGGTTTAGGGTTTAGGGGGTTTAGGGGTTTAGGGTTTAGGGTTTAGGGGTTTAGGGGTTTAGGGTTTCGAGTTTAGGGTACGGCCTGAAAGCCGCATCAAAGCCGAGTCGTACTTGCTGCGGCGTGGTCTGGTCTTCGCGGGGCGTGAACATGAGCCAAGAGCCGAGCCAAGTGGCGCAAAGCCGAGCCGCAACTAGGAAATGAGAAAGGGGGCCGCCCTTTCTAGTTAGGGTTTAGGGTTTAGGGTTCAGGGTTACTGCAAACCCAAGATGGTTAAACCCTATAGACAAGTTTGTAAAAGATGCCCTGCCACTCAGTCGAAATCGCCGCCGTGCTGCATTGTGCAGGCGTCATGGTACCCCCGGGCTTGCGCGGTGTAGGGGTTCCACATTTGGTCATGGGATTCAGGATGTTAAGGTTCGCTGAGATTCAGGTAAAGTTTAGCCTGAGCCATAAACTATGTGCGCAGCTTTTGGGGCCACAAAACCTGGCTCCAAATCGCAAAGTCTGGTGATAGACGACCCAGCTACTTCAAGTATAGCTCCAAGATACGACGAGAAGACTAGAAAGTTAATACATAGAGTCCTTATTCTGAGCAGTAGTAGTACCACTGTTTCTCTTACTACTAAGTTACTACTAGGTCTTTACGAGGGTGCAAACCTTACTCCCCACACCAAGTCGGTGAAACCTGTGCGGCGATCATCGCGGCTGGTTGCAAAACAGCAACTGAAAATCTTGAGGGTCAGAGGGGCTTACTGCGTTTATCCATGCAGGCTGACATACATCTGAAAGAACCTGTATCTTTATCCGATATCCCAGATCGAGAACTATCATCTGCTAAACAACTCCAGATCTCATCTCTCAATCCGAGCTCCGT